AATGCACATACACCAATAAGCTTCTATGATACAAATCAATGGGGTCATTTTTCTTTTGTTTTTGCGATGCGAAATGCTTCACTCCATCCAAAAGGGTTGCTTATTCATAATCTTGACCATCATTTATAATGTAAACCATTGAGCCGTGATCTAATTACGCACTTGGTGAGATTGAAAACTGCTGTTCAAATTATTGAGAGAGTTGAGAACTAATCCCTTTCTTATCGAATTCCACGATTATCTTATTCTTTAATTGCCCCATTACACTGCTCCACAAGATCTCATCATAATGCAATGGGTACACAAAATGATGCATCTTAAAACTATAATGTTTCAATTGTTTAAAGGTTTGTTGGATCTCCTAGAGGTGATCTCTATTCCTACCCTTTAATTGGATTATCTCAATCTGATATTCTAATTCCACCTACCTCACCAAGGCTGAGAAGTACTCCTTAAAAGCATTCCATTCCAATTGTCCTCTCGAAATCACATCGATTATTAAGAATTTCTCATTGTAATTTTTACTGATATCGTAACAAACTTCACTTCTGTGTGTCCTAGTTCCCTAAAAGAATTGCAGAGGTGGCAAAGAGGCAGGAATGACCAAGAAATCCTCCTGTTGAATGCACTTCGGCTGTTTCGGGAATTGGTAGGATGTGATAATTTCGCCATCTACTTAATATAAAAAATTTAACAAACACAATCCTTGACCAAAGAAATTGGACATATTTACATTAGGGGAATAGACCACTTTGTATTTGGAGAAGATGAATGAATTCTCGTGTTGATCGACGACGTATCTGAGATCATCTCTTTGGACATCGAATTTACCTTTCTCTTACTGTTGAACCTCATATTTGCAAAAGGTTTTCTCCAGATTGTGTCTCATGAAGGTTGAAAATGCCAACATGTCCTTGATGTTGTTATTCAGCAAAATCTCAATGTAATTGTGTTCACCCTTCTGAATCAAATAGAACTCCTATTCCTTCAATCTTGGATTCCTAATCACACCCTGAGACAAAGCATTGATTGTGTCCTCATCCATGTTCCTCTTGATGTGTTCATAGTAATAGTCGATGTCTTGTTTGATCTTCCTCTGATTCTTGTTGGTAGAATACACATTCATTATTATGGACAGTTGACCAGGTATAATGTCAGAACATAGTTCGGGATACTTCTCAGCGTAATTGCTGATATTCTTCACATTCTAAAAGCTGAATAGATAATACTATTTGTCCAACTGCCCATAATATTGATTGGAATCTATTTGATGGTTCATCAAAATCGTATTATTGATCAGATACTAAATGAATGGTTTCTTGGGTTGATATGGATGAAACACTTTCCAACCAACGAAGGGTATTTTATACTCCTTCTGTTCCTGCACCTTAGTTTCAACTACGGTTTTGGTTTTCCACATTTGTCTCATCGAGACATTCTTCTGCAGAGAAGGCGCAGGAACAGGATTCTGACTTTGCTTGTATTGCTCTAAGGCTGGAGTCTCTTCATCGATCTCAAAGTAAGGACTCAGGATCAACTTCACTCTATTTGTGGATTCAGTGGCCTTCCTTATTATCAGAAACAATAAGGTTCTCTCAATGGTTTCCAATATCAACTCTTTCAATTCCTCCGCTGTTTACTTCAGACTCTCAAATTGATACTCAGAATACCACACAATAGAAAAGTTTTACTCCTGGACTCTCACAATGAACCAGAAGGGAATCACCTACGATTCATCTGCCAAAAATTCCTTCTCCAGTTCAAACTCCTCAAATTAAGGCATGTTGCAATTCTCTGTTGTCAAAATGAACACATAATATTCATCTGACAAATTAATGTACTTCAACAACTAATTCAACTCGGAGGTGTTGCGAATCTCATCCGAAAATTACGATGCAAAATGCTTATCAAATTTTCTGTCTGATTATTTGTACTCCACAAACTTGTTGTCCATTCCCTCAATCATAGTGTATATCAATTTTATGTTGTCCTCGTTAATTGGCAACAATCTTTGAATCTCCATCTGGAACTTCTTCATAAATTCATTGTTGTACTTCCTGAAGGGGTCAGACCACCTCTGAATCTTTATCTTAATAGAGGTCAACTCGTCAGTCTGACTGGCTTGGAGAAAGTCCAGACCTTCATTCAAGATCTTGATCAGACTCCTCTTATCGTAATAATAAATCAAGTAGGAGATGGTTAATTTCAATCTCTTTTGCTTCAACCTAAAATTTTCGATCAATTGCTAAATACTTGAATATTCTGCCTCCCCATCCCTAAACTTAACACTTAGAAATAGAATGTTCTCTTTCTTCTCTTGTTTGTTATCGTAATAATACCATTGCTGAGAACCCTCAATCTACTTCATACTGATCTTGTGATCGTTCATTAGCTTCTACAATCTCTCATCCCATTTCTGACATTGCTTCTAAACGAATTGTTATTTGATATCATTTAATCGTTGCTGATAGTTCTATCTTCTGAATTATTTATTCGGACTTTGAGTTTCCTCCCCAATTTACGATTTCTTCTGCATCTTCCTCGCCTATTGATCAAACAGCAATCTGAGATCCTGCTAAGCTTGATTCAAATCCACATCAAGTATCTCTATCTGACACCCTTCAATGGCCTCTTGTAATTAACAGGTGAACACGCTATTCATGAATTGCTGATGCACCTCCTTGGCAAACACAGAATTGTACTCCTGCTGCACAAAATTTATTAAAGCATCCACCTTCTTCTCTTGGTTAGCATTCAAAAAGGGATGAGATGTATGATTACGCTCTATCTGCTCCAAGGAAATCAAATAAAAAGCTGTGTTCTCCAGTGTGAAGGCAATCATCAACAATCTCTGTGGACCAACCACAATAAACAACAAGTCTTAATCCAATTGACTCTATTATCGCAGCACTATGTGATTGGCTATTTGTTGCAAGACTTGCAGATACCCTGTATTCAATCTGTTCTTGGATTCCTCATCAATTTGCTTTTGCTTTATCTCGTAATACAAATACCCCTTCTGAAATAGGGAATTGTAATCCAATTGGTTGGTAGGAGTAGGGTAATACGTTGCTTGGGATTGAGCATACTCCAAGAATTACTTGCTCACCTATTCCTTGGTTTGAAACAGCTTCCCTTGTCTCGTGATGAATTACAGAGTGAAGAAGTCAACCTAAGAGCTGTTCTACTTCTTGATGAGAGATTGTCTGTACATGCTATGAGTAGTATGGAGAGTGATAACGATTTACTTTTCAAATTCTTTAATCTTATCAAAATATTCTATGAGCACATTCCTCTCCTCCGAGATGATATTCTCTGTGAATATATTACAAATGATCCGATCCTCCTGCAAGATCAAATTCTGAACTATTACAATCTTCTGTCCCAATTCCAGTTGGGCAACAAAGAACTTGTTGGTTCTGTCATTCAAAGAGGGCACTCTCCAATAATTCGACTTAATCCTCACACTTGTCAATATCTTGTACATCTGCTGCAAATCCCAAATCAATTCCTTCTTCCATTCCCAACATCTCTCCAAAACATACAGTTCTGGGTTCTTCTTCAGAACGTGAGTTTCACTCTTAATGAGCAGATTCTTTAGAGAATGATCGAATTCTATAAGGGAATTTCTCAGAATTTGATTGCTCCTGAAGACCTCCTTAATCCTATTCGACAAAATGGGCAGCATTTTAGAATCATTGTATATGCATATCAACCTAATTATGGTGTGAGAATGCCACAGAATTCTGATCATCACGAAATCCTGCTCCTGCTGATACAATAAACAATTCTGTATTTGCTTAGTTGAAACCTCCTGCAACTTTTAGCGAATGTAATGGTAAAATTGGTTTTTGTTGAATTCTTCTCCCTCCTCCTGAAACTGCCTAAAATCAATTGGTCGTATCAAATATACTAATGAGATTTGCTTGAAATTTCTATTGATGAACTTCTGACTCTCAAAGGCCTTCTTCTTCACCAATAACCCCATACCCTCCTCTATGGATATCTTCTACATCTGCATGTCCAGAACAATCTCCTACAGCTGATCCCTTTCCTTATACATCTCAAACAGCATTTTGCAATTCGTGTTTATCTCATTATCCTACTCAGTCTGCTTCTTCTGGGGACTCTGCGGCCGATCCATCAACTAATTGCGTTCCAAGTAGATGACCACATTGTCTTCTCCTATCTGATAGAGTAGCCTCATCTGATCATTCACTCGTATGCTTAAGGTCTGCGAGTTCTCCTCCTTGAACCCTTCCTTCTTCCTCATTTCTAACATCTCCTTAGGGTATTTGTTGATGTACTCTCCCACCTATTATCTCGTGTTATACACCTGCTTGTTACTATTGAGTGGCACCATGATTTAATCTACATCCATCAGGACTCCGTTCTTGTTTCTTAGGTTGATGTCATACAATTCCCCATTCAGGTTTTCCATGTAATCTGAAATCACCTAAGGATCTATAACTAATTTGAATGACTCGTAGCCATTCAACTTCTGGGATCCAATCAAAACCCCATTGAAGGAGAATGTATACCCTTGTGTATCCCATAAATCAAAGGCCAAGAAGCCTCCATAACTGAAATTGGTAAAATCACTAAAGATTATGTATTTCTTGTTCTCATAGGATTATTGTTGGCACCTCAATTAGGAGATGGTCAGATCAATGGCCTATTGGATGGTTTTCTTGATGTATATGTTCTGATTCGAATAATGATTGCGAATGTACTCAGTAAGGAGTTCAATCAGGAGGGGCAAATTGGTGGCTGGGTGATTTCTGAGGAATGTAATAACACTCTCCTCCTTGATGATAAATATGCTCAATAATTGATTGGTCAGCATCTTTATGAGAGACGTCAGGGCTTCAATGAGGAATTCGTACTTGAAGTCCAAGGACGTGAACATTTCAAATTTGGCCAAGGAGGGTGACAAGTCTAACAACAGAGTCACGTGAGTGCAATTATTCATATTGCTATATTAATTTAATATTTACCCAAAATGATTGATGCTTCTTAGGGTTCTAGAAACGACGCCATTATCAATGATTTTGATGATCAGGAAGCGAATAGAATATAAAACCCAAACCAGTCCCAGAAGACGAACATTTCACTTTCTGAGAAAAATCAAGAGAGAATCGAGACTCCAAGTTGTTTTTATAGGAACAAGCAAGTGGAATAAGAGAAATAATCTATCAAATTTCAGATCGATCAAATGATTAATCATCTCAATTAGATGAAAACAATGTGCGAAAGGAAAATCGAAAAAAGTTTTCAACTCTCAAAACCATTACAACGAAACATGGTGTACACGTTCAAATTTAATATAGTTATCTGAATAAGTTCACATTTATTCGCATCCAATAGCTAATTACTCAACTGAATTCTTTCAAAACCCAAACCCTTCCAAATAATCTATTAGAATGTAAGGTTTATTATTCTACATCAGTATACGATTTGCTTGAAGTGAAAATGGGGCAGTTTTACCAACAATACTAGAATCTGTACTTTGATATCAAGATGTTTATTGAAAGAAGCAAATTCTACTTAAACGAAGATAACGAAAGAGACATTAAACTCATATCACAGATTATTAATAATTGATATATTCATTTAACATAATGGACAGATCTTTCGTAAATAGTTCTCCATTGAACACTAGCAAAAGCAAACAAATGTACACCTTCCCTAAAGCCAAACGCTGGGTTGACTTAAAGGACAATCTGTAAGCGAATGCATTTTTACTTAGATGTCCTTCAATATATTAATTACCTACTACTTTAAGCAAAAGAGCGGCAGGCATTGGTTATGGCAAGAAAGTAAATCTCACTCACGAAACCATCACGCCTGCTCCTAATTTCTATAAGGTCCATCAAAGTCAGGAGAATGGGTGGACCATGGGATTAGGAAGAGATGTAAACAGCACTTCGTTATACTGAATAGCATGCAAACAAATATGAGAGCATATTCTTGGGACTAGTACAAAACACTCCAGGACCTGGAACTTACAAATTCAAAGATTCCCTCTCTCCTGTTCGTTACAGCATGAGATAGAGATTGTCGAGTCGTAAAGAGAAAGAACGAAAACCTGGACCGTATGGGTAATCATTTATTTTAGAGGTCACTACAACTTACCAAGCAGTATTAATAGTAGAGGAGTATATACTCTTAGTCAATACAGAAAGTATTAAGTGAATTAATCATTACCTAAAGTTCCGGAGCCATAGTCTTGGCTCCTCCCAAAACCCATTCAGAGAGGAAGGTGAAGGATGCTACCCCTGGTCCTGGCTCATATAAATAGATTGGAAACATGGACCCATTGGGAACATACTTCTGCTCAAAGTTTAGTGCAAGCAAATGCAACAAATTCCCAAGAGCACAACGTTCTATGTCTGATAATCATAATCGTTCCCCAGGACCTGGGACATATAAATTGCCCTCTGATTTTGGGTTTTGATTTATTTATTATGGAAATTGATTTTATCCCTTTCGCACATGACTATTACATCATGAATCTACCCGCTCCAGGCACCAAAATGAGTTAACCAAACCAAGAAACCCTCTTTGAAACTCTCAAATACTCAAACACAGATTACTTGGATCGTCCAATCCAATTCGCTCCAGTTATACGTCTCTTCGGATATGAGCCCAAGACCAAAGAGCGGATGTGCGTACATGTTCATGGCTATTTTCCTTACTTTTACATCAAAGTTGATGAATTGAGACATTTATTCACAGATCTTGATTTTGTCAAGGATTTCATAAACAAAGTGCATCAAGTGTACGCCTCCACCTTCCTTGCTCATTACCCCAAGTAATCCCAAGAAAAGTTCAAAATCATCTATCAATATGAATTATGTCAGAAATTGGATTTTTATGGGTTTCATATGTAGAAGCAACTCTTTTTAAAATTGTTCATGTATGACAAACAGTATATGTCCTAATTGGTTATGCTACTAGCAAGTGGTGCCATCATGAATTACAAGTTTTAGTCATATGAAGTAAGACTATTTATGTAATGTAATTTAAGTCTCATCTCACCTACTTCATGCACTTCTATAGCGATGCAAATCTATTCGGAATGAGTTAAATCAAGATATTCAAATTGAAATACAGAAAAAGATTCGAAAAAGATTTAGAAGCATTGTTGACAAAACCAATTCTATTTAGAGATTTACATACAAGCCAGTATTCTCATCTCTACAAGGTTACCACTTGTCCCTTGGAAATAGATTGTCACTACACTTGCATTCTCAATGAACGCTATAAGGATGAGAAGGATAGGTTGGAAATCTCTAGAGCATTTACTCAGAACAAAGAATTTGAAGTAGAATTGACTCCATCTCTTAATAAGCTCTGGTCAGATGAGGAAATCAATAGGGCGAGATTTAAGTTCAGTCAACCAGTCTCATTTGTCGTGGATAAATCAAAAAATAAGGAAGGATAGTTGTGGGAACACTATCCTTCTGTTAATGTCTTGAATAAGCAATTCATGAAACAGTATTTACAGTTATACGAGGATGCTAAGAAGAATCACATCAAATTTGATATCAATACTTGTTTCATAAATCAGAACATTGCACAAATGTTCTTTAATGGCTAATAGGATGAAATGGAATTGTGTAAGAAATCCATACTCCAAAGATTCCAAGAGTATAAAACCAGGAAGAAGGATCTCTTTGAACTTATCAAAGAGGAAGGTAACATTGATTATGAATACGATTTCGATGATAAGTTTATTGATCAGTAAGATCTCTAATAAGATAATGAAGATGAAGATCTAGAAGATGCAGAAAGCATTATTAAATCATAAGAAGAAAAAAATGTATTTGATATCATGAAAGAAAACCAGAAACTTTAAGATAAAAATAGATTTAGAAAGAAATATCATGCAAACAAAAATAACATCAAATTAGGCTACATCTTCTAAATTTGTGAGTTCTGCAATAGCAACTTTCTCATGTGCAATTGCATTGAAAAAAAATAGAAAAAGTATTCCCTACTCATCCCAAAAACTCATAAGAGTCAAATCTATCAATACAAAGTAAAACCACCCTCTCCAAATGAAGTATACTTGCAGCTACATACGTAAATGAAATTAGTCGAACATTAATATGCCTATTTTGGAGACATTAAAGATTTGTACAAGCATTATAATATCAAACATAAACAACTACCATAAAATCACATGTATGCTTTACTTTTAGATTAATAATGCATTAAAATTCCAGATAATAGATTTTATGCTATAAGCATCCAGAATTCAACTAAGCTCCCTAAATCTTATAAACTTGACGTATTTAAAGAACAATAATATAATTGCAATTTAAGACAATATCAATATTAACATGAACCTCCAGCTATTTAAGATGTACTTTTAGACATCAAGAGAAGATCAGCTATGAGAAATGATCCTTTAGATTCAATCATTGAAAGTTCTCAATACTTTTATCCAACACCATTATCAATAATTAGTGAAGACGATATTACGTTTTAAGAAGATTTGGTGCTAATGATATTTGAAATATTTTCTTATAAGGATTCAAAATTATTACCAGATCCAGAAAAAGATGAAATTTCTTTTATTATTCTTCACTCCTACAACGTTAAGAGTTCAAAGATCATGAATAAAATGCTTATAATCCAGAATGAGGAGAATTATTTGAAGGCAGTTAATGGGTATTTTGAAAGGATGAATGCTCCCGTTGAATACACTATAGTTATGACTTAGAATGAGATTAATCTAATGAAAGCCTTTACGTTAATTGTACATCTAATTGATCCTGATTTCATATCTGGATATGATTTAGAAACTAGGAGCCTTTATTACGTTGCAAATAGAGCAGAGTTCATTGGTTATGATTTCTTGACAGAAATAAGTAGAGGGTAACCAACTTATGATAAATTGATTGAAATATTTGATATCGATGAGATCTTGTTTAACTTTGGATCGCCATAACCTATCAATGAGAAATTATAAAAATACATGGATTATCGATTGTTAAGACCAACAGCTAGTAAGAAATAGAGTTTTAATTAAGATGCAAAGACCAAGTCATATAATTCTAAAGGAAAACTAAACTAAATTAATAGTAGAAGGAAGAAACTCAGGTTTATAACATTTGTCGTTGGGAGAGTTTTAATTAATGTTTGGAGAAATGTAGCTACAGACATTAAAATTGTAGATTATTCCATAGAGAATGTTTACTTTCAGATGTTTAAAGAAAAAAATGCTTTGATACATAATCAAACTCTATCACAATGGTTTAAATCAGAGACATTCCTAGTTTTCTAATATTTCACCAAAAGAATCAATATGACATTTGATATTTTAGAAATGATTGGTCTAATACCTAGAACTATTGAAATAGCCAAACTCTTTGGTTGTGAATATGAATCAGTCGGTTTTAGAGGTAGTTAATTCAAAATTGAATCCATTCTTAATAGAGTGACAAAACTAAACGACTATTTATTACTATCAGCAACACGAGTACAGGTTTCGACTTAGAAGATTTTAGAGAGTATGCCTCTTGTTGTTGAGCCTCCTAAGATATTTACAGTAGAGTATTAATATTTGTTATTAAAAGTCCCTTAATCGTCCTTGATTTCCAATCATTATACCCTTCGATTATGATCGCATATAACTTATGCTTTAGTACTTGTTTAGGAAGCATAAAGGAAGAGTTCTAGGAAGGAGGTAAGAAGAGGTTTGGAGTAGTTACAACTGACATTGACTTTGAGTCTTTGTTACAAAAGTATTAAAGTCAAGAAGAATTGATGAAACATATCTTAATTACTCCTAATAATGTTGCTTTTCTTACAAAAGATGTTAGGGTCGGAATAATACCATAAATTCTGAATGAATTTCTAATGACCAGAATTATGATAAAAAAATCTACTTCACTTTATGATAAACATCCAAAAATACAGAAGTAACATGGGTTCAGATAATTGGCCATTAAGCTGTTTATGAATGTGATGTACGGGTATTGTGGAGCATCCTTTTCTGGTCGAATGCCTTCTGGTGATATAGCAGATTCAGTAGTTGAATTAGGAAGGACCATTCTAAACTAGTGCATAGAATGCATAAACACAAATCCAGCATGGTAAGCCAAAGTATTATATGGTGATACAGATAGCTTATTTGTGATGCTTCCTGGCAGAACTGTTAATGAGGCTCTATCGATCGGAAATTAGATAGCAGAACATTGTACTAGCTTATATCCACATCCAATTGAATTAAAGTTTGAGAAAGTCTATTCAGAATCGTTATTGGTAGCTAAAAAGAGATACGTCGGTAATAAATTTGAAAAAGGACAATTTTAATTGGATGGTAAAGGGCTTGAAATAATCAGAAGAGATGGATTCCCTGCACTTTAAAAAATATAAAGAAAAGCCATAAATATTCTATTTAAGACCAAAGATCTGTCTCAACTCAAATTATATATGTAAAAATAATGGGCTAAAATTCTATAAGATCACGTTGATATCTAAGATTACATAATGGCAAAAGAAGTCAAATTAGGATCATATAAGGAAGGGAGACTTCCAGCACATGCAGTAGTTGCTACTAAAATTATGAACTCGGATCCTATGCGAAGACCAAAAGGAGGAGAAAGAGTTCCATATGTAGTCATTTAAGCATAGGGAACATCCAAACTCGCTGATTTGGTTGTCAACATTTATGATTTTTAAAGCACTATGAAATTGAACCCACACTACTACATCAAGCAGATTAATGCAGCAGTAGGTCGATTATTTGCTTGCTTTGATATTGACATAGCCGATTGGTACAGTAATCTTCCAAAAATGCTTGCGAAAAGAGACCATTTTAAACAACATCTCACTTATAGCAATGCGCATTAAACAAAGGCTACTTAATATACACTAGTTAAATACCTTAATATATAGTAATGTTTGCTTTGTGGAGAAGAGTCAAAATATGAAGTACATTTAAATTATAATTATTAATAGTTATGTAAACCATGTAGCCAGGATGGTAGAACTGCCTTGTTTCTACTGCAATACAAACAAAATCTACTGGAAATAGATAAGGCCAACATTATTTCGTCGTGTAAAAGCTGCTCCATTGGGTATTAGAATTGCAAATTGTGGTCATGCAGTTTACTTTTCAAAAGGGAAAAGCTCAGCAATTATTTGAATACTGTAGCATAAATGAATCAAAAATACTAACAGTTAATTGAGTTTATGAGTGATTATTGAAGAAATTATGTATATAAGTATTAATATGTATATATATAAATATTAGCAATAAAACAAAATTTGAATTTGAGTTGTTTAATAATTAATTTCAAAATGCAATTCTAGACAATTAAAAAGGAATCCTAAGCAGGCTCAAAACCATCTCCGAAACATGAAAGTTATATTGCTAAAATATTTAATTACAATACATCTCAAAAATCAGGGATTCTGAAGAAAGAATTGCCATTATAAGACCATTAATTATGTAATTAGGTATTTATAAGTTAGTTATTTTATGATTACAAAATCCCTTTAGTCAGTGAAATTGCAGGAATCCCCCATTCAAAAATGCAAGGCTGATCAAACCAAAAAAAAGAAAGTCAATCGAGTTGTTTTCAAAACTGAAATCGATGAGAACAAAAACCTTTAATTAGGATTTCAAACATAGCGAAAGAGCTACGATTGCGTTGCAGTAGACAATAAAATCAATAGTTTCAATCTCATTTCTAGCATGTTCGAATTGGAATCCAAAAACATGGATCTTTATATGGATCTTTAGGATAAAACTACTCAAATTTAACAAATGCAAACTTAAATTGAATAATAATAAATAAAACATTAATAATAAATTAGATAATATAGTTAAGAAAAAAAAGAACTTCTCCTCAAGTAAACATTATTGCAATTACAATAGAATTTAAAACCTTGAGAAACAATCTGAACTGCAACGAAAATACATAGAATAGCTCCCCTAATTTGAAGTTGAAGCTTAAGAGTGGAAAATTAGATTCCTCAAGTTGAACAAACAATATCATCTATAGTAAGAGACTCTCGTCAGATTGGAGGCTGAGTAACAAAGTAGTCAAAGAAGAAGGACAGATGGATTCAATTGTTTTAAATAATAATTATGAAAGAATTGTTACAGAATTTATCAGTAGCCTCACAATATATAATTGTGAAGTAAACTATCATAATAATTTATTTTCTTAAACAACTTTAATTATTTTCTTTTTTTGACTATTTGCATGAGATGTCAAAAACAACCTATCACTCTCAGTTTTAGTGTTATAGTCCGCATAACGAAAACGAGTAGTTAAGCGTGAAGAAATCATTTGATTCCATAATTTCAATATATAACCCAGAAAATGAACTTATAGACATGAATTAGGAAAAGAAGGGTTTTTCACAACTCTTCGATGAGTATGGATATGTAGTCTTTCGCAATGAAGATTTCGAAAAATAGAAATTTATTTAAAATTTTGATGATGGATTCCATGAATCTATGCCTTACGATATTAGCCCCCAAACTTTGGATGGTGAATCTGTTCCTTTGTGTATTAGCCCACAAAATTTGGATGATGAATCTATTCCTTCTGTTATTAAACCTCAAAATGATGGATGCTATGAATCTAACCCTTTTAGCCCCTAAAATTAATTTAAAAGTCAAATTAGCATACCTCAACCTGAAAATATAGTTGAAAAACACACAATGGAAAGAAAATTTCCTGACAAAAATTTTTGTAGATATATACTCCTATATATATTTCGTACAATTGAAAATAAGTAATATGAGGAAATCATTTCAAATATTTGCAGCTAGTTTTAGGTCAACTACAAGGACTTTGTTCAATACTATAGTAAATAAAGAGTTCTGATTATTGGTTACTAAGCTTTAAAAAAAGAATTGATTTATAATGATGATGATTCCATTCGAGATCAGAATCGTAAGAAAGCATTTAAAGAGGTTCTGGTTTGGTATTTAAATAAGCTTGCAACCAAACAGATTTTGTCAAGCAAAAAGCAAAAAATTAAGGATTACATTAAATTTAAGAATTATGTTATGCTATATAACATACATAATCCAAAAGGTTGGACGGGAAATAAAATATAATGGAATTGAATATTCAAATATATTAGTAACGAATATATATAAATTTATTTTCTATCAATCGCATTCAAGCAAAGACTTTATTTTTAATTTATCTGAATCACTCAAAGCACTCACGTAGTCAGAAGATTTTCCAAGCTAAGTAAATGTCTACTAATGATTTAAAACACTTATTTCTATTTATTAACTCTATACTTAAAGTTTTAATTTTGAATTCTCCTTCAATAAAGTTTTGTAATCATTTTCTAAATTTTGATATATTCTCTAAATAATCAATAACACAATACATTTTCTTATTTCAGTTATTCTAACTCCTTTTCTAATTTTTAGATTTCTAGATTTTTCCTATTCAAAACAGCCTTATGTACGATGAAAGTATCCACACTTCTATTAACAATTTTAGCTTAATTAAACTCCTTATCATTTTCTTTAGTTTCTCCAATAGTAGTATAAATTGACTAATCATTTACTTTTTCATAAATAGAAGAGGAAAATTTTAGTGTGTCATAATATTACTCAGAAGGATGTTTTGAGGAAATCATTTTAAGGGCACTCGAAATTTATATTGTAGGTCTCTTTTTAGTCTCCCCATTAGCTTCAGTTGGAAACCTTTGAATTTAATCAACGGATTAAATAAACTTAGGATATTGAGAGGAGGTCTTTAATTGTGTTTATAAAGAATTTGACTACTCGTTGATTTGATGGCTTACCCTTGGATGATGAGTAACAATTAAATGGGTAATGGGAGAGTGTTTTCTTGATTTAAGAAAAGCTGGGTTTGTTTAATGATGTTAAATATTCTGATTTTAGATGGTTTTCAATACTTGTACAGGAATCATTAATATATGTTAGAGTGAAGTAAAACTTAAATTGATTTTAAATTAATAAAATATTTTATAATTATAGCGCTTTTATTTAGTATTTATTTTTACTCTTGTTCAAATCCATACCTTATTAAACCATAATCATTCTTTTGTTCTTAATCTAACTATTTAAAGTAGTGATAATTAAGTAGAAAATTATGGCGTCTTCATAGTTAAGAATAAAAATATATAATTAATATTATGTATATGTACTAAGTGATGATATTTAATTTCTCTTGAGCTTATAAATCATAAAGCCAAATAGAATATGGTTACCATCCACATTCCTAATTAATACCCGAATTGTGATATCTACTTATCTCCTTCTGATGCATTTTCTTACTGTTTTGCTAAATCAACTTCTGGAGCTAGGGCTAGTTACGCCATATCATCATCTTCATCATCTTTTTTATCTTCTTGTTTGTCCTCTTCTTTACCTGCATCTTTCTCTTCATCTGTTTTAGATTCGTTTTCAGAATCCCCTGCATCTTTATCATCATCACCATCCGAAGCAGGTTCACTTTCTTATGCTGGCTCTGAGGCTGGTTCACTTTCTTATTCTGGCTCAGAGGCAGGTTCACTTTCTTATTCTGGCTCAGAGGCCGGTTCACTTTATGAATCATCTTAGTTCCCCTCCTCTTCTTGCTTCTCTTCTTCAGGTTTAGCTTCTTCTTCTTTTGTTTCTTCTTCAGGTTTAGCTTCTTCTTCTGGCTTTGTTTCTTCTTCAGGCTTATTTTCCTCTTCAGGTTTCGCTTCCTCTTCTGGCTTTGCCTCTTCTTCAGGTTTAGCTTCTTCCTCTGGCTTAGCTTCTTCTTCAGGTTTAGCTTCTTCTTCAGGCTTAGCTTCTTCTTCAGGTTTAGCCTCTTCTTCTGGCTTAGCTTCTTCTTCAGGTTTCGCTTCTTCTTCTGCTTTAGCTTCTTCTTCAGGTTTAGCTTCTTCTTCTGGTTTCGCTTCTTCTTCAGGTTTTGCCTCTTCTTCAGGCTTAGATTCTTCTTCAGGCTTAGTCTCTTCTTCAGGTTTCGCCTCTTCTTCTGGCTTAGCTTCTTCTTCCTCTTTAGTTTCTTCTTCTGCTTTTGTTTCTTCTTCAGGTTTAGCTTCTTCTTCTGGCTTAGCTTCTTCTTCTGGCTTAGCTTCTTCTTCTGGTTTCGCCTCTTCTTCAGGTTTAGCCTCTTCTTCTGGCTTAGCTTCTTCTTCAGGCTTAGCTTCTTCTTCAGGTTTAGCCTCTTCTTCTGGCTTAGCTTCTTCTTCAGGCTTAGCTTCTTCTTCAGGTTTAGCCTCTTCTTCTGGCTTAGCTTCTTCTTCAGGCTTAGCCTCTTCTTCCGCTTTAGTTTCTTCTTCTGCTTTTGTTTCTTCTTCAGGTTTAGCTTCTTCCTCTGGCTTAGCTTCTTCTTCAGGCTTAGCTTCTTCTTCAGGTTTAGCCTCTTCTTCTGGCTTAGCTTCTTCTTCAGGCTTAGCCTCTTCTTCCGCTTTAGTTTCTTCTTCTGCTTTTGTTTCTTCTTCAGGTTTAGCTTCTTCCTCTGGCTTAGCTTCTTCTTCAGGCTTAGCTTCTTCTTCAGGTTTAGCCTCTTCTTCTGGCTTAGCTTCTTCTTCAGGCTTAGCCTCTTCTTCCGCTTTAGTTTCTTCTTCTGCTTTTGTTTCTTCTTCAGGTTTAGCTTCTTCCTCTGGCTTAGCTTCTTCTTCAGGCTTAGCTTCTTCTTCAGGTTTAGCCTCTTCTTCTGGCTTAGCTTCTTCTTCAGGCTTAGCCTCTTCTTCCGCTTTAGTTTCTTCTTCTGCTTTTGTTTCTTCTTCAGGTTTAGCTTCTTCCTCTGGCTTAGCTTCTTCTTCAGGCTTAGCTTCTTCTTCAGGTTTAGCCTCTTCTTCTGGCTTAGCTTCTTCTTCAGGCTTAGCCTCTTCTTCCGCTTTAGTTTCTTCTTCTGCTTTTGTTTCTTCTTCAGGTTTAGCTTCTTCCTCTGGCTTAGCTTCTTCTTCAGGCTTAGCTTCTTCTTCAGGTTTAGCCTCTTCTTCTGGCTTAGCTTCTTCTTCAGGCTTAGCCTCTTCTTCCGCTTTAGTTTCTTCTTCTGCTTTTGTTTCTTCTTCAGGTTTAGCTTCTTCCTCTGGCTTAGCTTCTTCTTCAGGCTTAGCTTCTTCTTCAGGTTTAGCCTCTTCTTCTGGCTTAGCTTCTTCTTCAGGCTTAGCTTCTTCTTCAGGTTTAGCCTCTTCTTCTGCTTTAGCTTCTTCTTCAGGTTTAGCTTCTTCTTCAGGTTTCGCCTCTTCTTCAGGCTTAGCTTCTTCTTCAGGTTTAGCTTCTTCCTCTGGTTTCGCCTCTTCTTCTGCTTTAGCTTCTTCTTCAGGTTTAGCTTCTTCTTCTGGTTTCGCCTCTTCTTCAGGCTTTGTTTCCTCTTCTGATTTTTTTTCTTCTTCAGCGGGTGGTTCTTCCTTAGGTTCTTCAGCAGGGGGTTCTTCTTTAGTCTCTTCAGCAGGAGGTTCTTCCTTTGTCTCTTCAGCTGGTGGCTCTTCTTTAGGTTCTTCAGCTGGTGGCTCTTCTTTAGGTTCTTCAGCAGGGGGTTCTTCTTTAGTCTCTTCAGCAGGGGGTTCTTCCTTAGCTTCTTCAGCTGGTGGTTCTTCTTTAGTTTCTTCAGCAGGTGGTTCTTCTTTAGGTTCTTCAGCAGGGGGTTCTTCTTTAGTCTCTTCAGCAGGAGGTTCTTCCTTTGTCTCTTCAGCTGGTGGCTCTTCTTTAGGTTCTTCAGCTGGTGGCTCTTCTTTAGGCTCTTCAGCTGGTGGCTCTTCTTTAGGCTCTTCAGCTGGTGGCTCTTCTTTAGTCTCTTCAGCAGGGGGTTCTTCCTTAGCTTCTTCAGCTGGTGGTTCTTCTTTAGTTTCTTCAGCAGGTGGTTCTTCTTTAGTCTCTTCAGCAGGAGGTTCTTCTTTAGTTTCCTCTGCAGGTGGTTCTTCTTTAGGCTCTTCAGCAGGAGGTTCTTCTTTAGTTTCCTCTGCAGGTGGCTCCTCTTTAGGTTCTTCAGCAGGTGGTTCTTCTTTTGTCTCTTCAGCTGGCGGCTCTTCTTTAGTCTCTTCAGCAGGTGGTTCCTCTTTAGGTTCTTCAGCTGGTGGTTCTTCTTTAGGCTCTTCAGCTGGGGGATCTTCTTTAGGCTCTTCAGCTGGGGGATCTTCCTTAGGCTCTTCAGCAGGCGGATCTTCTTTAGGTTCTTCTGCAGGTGGTTCTTCTTTAGGCTCTTCAGCTGGTGGTTCTTCCTTTGTCTCTTCAGCCGGGGGATCTTCTTTTGGTTCTTCAGCAGGTGGCTCTTCTTTAGGCTCTTCAGCTGGTGGCTCTTCTTTAGGCTCTTCAGCCGGGGGATCTTCTTTAGGTTCTTCAGCAGGTGGTTCTTCTTTAGCATCTTCAGCAGGTGGTTCTTCTTTAGGCTCTTCAGCCGGGGGATCTTCTTTAGGTTCTTCAGCAGGTGGTTCTTCCTTAGGCTCTTCAGCAGGGGGATCTTCTTTCGGTTCTTCAGCTGGGGGATCTTCTTTTGGTTCTTCAGCTGGTGGATCTTCCTTTGGCTCTTCAGCCGGGGGATCTTCTTTAGGCTCTTCTGCCGGTGGCTCTTCTTTATTTTCATCAGCAGGAGGATCATCTTTTGTATCTTCATCTTGTCCTTACCCGTCCTCATTATTATCTTATTCTCCATCTTACTAATCTTACATAGCATAGTTTTTGTTTATTCGTTTAATATTATGTTCGCTATCTTATTCTTCTCTATGTAATGTTTATCCTTCTTTATTATCTAAATCTTAAACTTGATTTTCCTACTAATAGTATTATTATTATTATTTTGATTAATCAAATTTACTATTATTATTTTATGACTATGCTTAATCCGCATTGTTTTTGAATTCATTATCAACTTCTCTGTTAACATTATTTTCTCTTTTATCTTCTAAATTTTTAATAGCTTCTTAGTTAGCAAATAATTTTTCCTTTGTGACTTCTACCTCTTATTCATTGGCACTACGGACGTTCTCAGAAATTAGAAAGCTTCGTTGATATTAATCAAACTGCAATAAATTCTCCTTCTAGGTATTTGATCTCAAATTACTAAAATAATACAATTATCACAACTTTTTTCTTCTATCCCTATGTTGTTGAGGATTATCAACCAAATCTTTTAGCCTGCAATGGCTCGTCAAAATTAAAAAGCATAAAAACAGGGTGAGTGTGTACTTTGCCATCACTTTTTTGATGACTTGATAATATATAAAATATTCGTTTTTAATTGTTTAGAAATTTTTAGAAATGATCATTCAAAAGGAGATTGTTTGATGCATCACTATGAAAAATTCATAAATAAAATGTTTTAATAATATAGCCTTATCTAGATGATTGTAAAATGTGTTCTCTTTCGAATCAAAAAATTACATTTTTCATAAAAATGCAAAATAAAAGTATTTTATACATATTAATAGAAACATTTATTATTGCTAAGTTTAAATATTTATGCAGATTTTTATAGGTTTTTCTAAGAAACAACAATTTTGTAAATTTTCTTTTTCTTAATTTCCATAAACCAATATGAATTTAATGCACTTCATTAACGAATTCAATCTTAAAAAAATAAAAGTCTACGTTGTCAATCGTTTTCTAATTAAAACAGTCGAATAAATATTAGATTTGACTGGTACAATAGGATAGATAGTTGAAGTATTAATTTAATCAGTAATGTTTAATAAAAAATTTGGTATTGCCATTCAATCGAAATTGTTAGCCTATGAATCCTAAAGTTGGTTGTTAGATCATAAAAGTTCCTTTATGCCATAAAATAAGTCAAAATATTTAAAGATTTATTTTTTTTTTTATTTCTTATTCTAAACACTAATCTTTAAGGCTCGAAAGCTGACACATCTCATATTGAAAACCATCTAAATAAGAATTATTGGTTTCTCCTTTTTCGAAACTTCTGACAGTTATTTACTATTGTGTTTAGAATAAGAAGAAAAATTTCAGGTCAAAAATGATTAGCAAGATATATTTAACATATTAAACATAAGATAAGTATGATTATTTAGGAGGATCTTCTAAATAAATTATTAGTCCTCAGTTTTGAAAGATTATTTAATCAAATTAATTAATATGAAAATTTCTAAAAAAGCCTTAATCTATTAAATTATCAATTTCTTTTGTCTTGCTTTAGGATATTTAACCTATAGAGAGAGTTTTTCAAACTAATAAACAAAGAAAAATTTTTAAAGAACCATTGCACTTATTAGCTGGCAATAAAAGTAAATAATTTTATAATTTGATAGCACATTATAATATAATGTAAGTATTTAACACTAAAGATTATATGCCCTAAAGGGTTGGGCTTCAATTTAATCCTCCTACTATAGTAATTGAATATTGGATTCCCAGTTAACGAAAAACTTATCGTCATAAAATAAAGTTAATGCGTCTAACTAGCAAGTCCAACACAGCTGATTTTGTCGAATACATTAAAAAAAGGCATCAATCATATGTTTCTAATTCAAAACTTTTAGACGAGTAACTTGAAAGTAAAATACATCTAAACAACTTAGCGCTAATAACTAGGCTTAAGGATAAATTAAGTGATTAATCTCAAAAAAAGACAACTGATAGCAAGCAATAATCTGAAATTGGAAGAAAATATGCAAGTTCTAAAACACCAAACATAAATCCATTTACCAAAACATAATAGGTATAGCCTAATTAAAGCAGTTCTACAAGCAAACAAAGAGAAAACCAATTCGAGTCAATTAAAGCTCATGTCTTTGAAGAAATTAATATTAATTCTGATGAGGACGAAAAAAATTAATAAGATGATGACTCTGCAAATTACTAAGATGACTTTGAATCTCAGCCAGAATCTGACTTAGAAAATTTGAATTTAAATAAATTAAATGTTGAGGAAGTATAAAAAGTTAAGGAGAAGATGGATGTAAAATATGTTAAGAATCTTCTGAAACCTGGAGATCCGGGATTTGTTTATGATAAATAAGTTGAATATAAACCCAAGAAAAATAGTGATTGGGATGATTATTGAAGATGAGAATATTAATTATTAATTATAGATTACTATTTTGATATAAAATGATTCATCTGATCTAATAAAGTTCTACATATTTAGGGTCTTCTAATTCCTTATTTATTTCCTATCTCATCTTAAATTTTTACGGTTTTCCTGTGATTGTTTAAGGAAACTCATTGACAAACTTAACGAATTTTGGAATTTTGTAATAGGCTATCTTCTTATGACAATATTGATAGACATCGAGTCCTGATATATCTTCTGCGTTTTTCTTCATTTTTATTAATGCAACAACCTCTTCGCCATATTTTTCATCATTGCATCCAATTACTTAAACTTATTCTACACCATTCATATGAGACAAATATTCTTCTATTTCTTTTGGATAAATGTTTTCTCCACCCCTAATTATCATATCTTTGTTCCTTCCTACAATAGCTATATATCCATCTTTGTCCATTGTAGCAATATCACCACTATGCAGGAATCCATTTTTATCAATTGTCTCTCTAGTTGCCTTTTCATCTTCCCAATATTTTTTCATAACGCTGTAACCTCTAGCACAGTACTCTCCTGGTGTATCATATGGAACTACATTTCCATTTGAATCAACTATTTTCACTTCTGCATTTAGTGGACATCCTACTTTGGTTGTCTTTATTTCAAATGAATCTGTTGGTTTATTTTAGCATGTGATAGGACTGCATTCTGTTTAGCCATAACAATTTGAAATGTCCTTAACTCCTAAGACATTAATAATCTATTTCATGAGTGCTTCAGAAGCCAAAGATCCAGCAATTAATCCAGTTCTCAAAGTTGATACATCGTATTTGTGATTATGCCTCTCATACTCGTTTATATATTCAATAAACTAAAAATATTAAATAATTAAAAACCATTGTAGGAACTCCATAAATCGATGTGCATTTATAATTAGTTACAGCCTCCAAAGTTGCAGCGGCACTAAACCCATCACTAGGATAGACCATGGTTGAACCATAATTTATACAGGCTAAATTTCCAAGTACCATTCCAAAACAGTGATATAATGGAACTGCAATAGCCACAACGTCTTTTTCAGTGTAGTTTATTCTTCCTCCAACATATTTACCATTGTTTAGAATGTTGATGTGACTTAAAGATGCTCCCTTTGGTTACCCTGTTGTTCCAGATGTAAATTAAATATTCGTTATATCATCTGGATCTTATTTTTCCATTCGAATGTCGACTTCATGAAGGTGATCTGCATTGCTTAGAGAAAATATATCTTTGAAGTTGTAAAAACCGTGTTTGTGAATGTTATCTATAATTATAGCAGCTAATTTTTATAATAATTTTTTAGATACATTTTAAATAGGGTAGTCTCTTTGATTAAAGATGTCCAGGAGTATCCAATTCTGGTGCCAATTCCTTTAGCATGGCAACATAGTTCGAGTGCTTGAATGAGGATTTCATGATTAAAGCTTTACAACCAACTTTATTAAGTGTATATTCTAATTCTGAAGTTTGGTATGCGGGATTAATATTGACTAAAATTAGATCGGCCATAGCAGCAGCGAATTACGTCAACGCCCACTCCACATTGTTTGGTGACCAAATCCCAATTCTATCTCCTTTTTCTAATCCTAAAGCTATGAATGCAGCTGCAAGTTCTTTGCTCCTTGTATATAATTCAGAGTATTTCATCTCTATTCCTTGTAATTGAGAAATGATCTATGATAATCTAAGTACTTACAGCTTTGTTGTCAGGGTATTTCTCAGTGATATCTTGAAGTTGTTACCCAATTGTCTTATAAGTTAGGGGAACACTGGAAACCCCATGATAATAGGATTAATAATATCTTATGAGTTTTTATAACATATATTTAAATTAATATGTATTTCACAAATAATGACGCTCGATTTGAGGTATCTAATATGGCGAATTAATTTAAACTGGGATTTAATTAATTATTCTAAAATTTGTTTAAGTTTATAATAATTTTAATTTTTCTTCTAAAATTCTCATTTCCTCTTCATGCTTTTCTTCCACAAATTCAAATTGTCTCCTTAAATCCAAAAGTTATGATTTTAAGATTACTATTTCAGCATTTAACTACTCATTCTCTTCCTTCATACCATTTGTATACTTAATCATTTAATGCAAATTGATCTACTTCAATTCCAATTCATAATTTTTATCCTTTATTTATTACTCCTTTAAATTTATTTAGACTATTTATTATTCAATGTGATCTAAATCACTGAGATTCTTTCTCTTAAGTCTTTCATTCTCTGTTTCTAAAAGCATAAGTTCTCCTTGCAATTTATCGTTCTTCTATTTTACAGAATCTATGGTCTTAAGCTTTTCAATCAGGATTCCATTTTAAGTTCTCAACTCACTAATATCATATTATAATTGGGATATCTATTGCTGTTATTGCAGATTTCGGTTTCTTAAATTTTAAATTTCGATGATGTATTTTGTGTCTTGATTTTTGTCTCTCTACTCGGATGGGACGCAGTTAAAGATTTCTAATTGATCTTTTAAAGATTGGTTTTCGCTTGTCAATTTGCCACCTTAAGGATAATGGATAAATTTTACATAATGCTGAAGTCTCTCTTAATTATTCAGTAAGCTATTCATTTTATTCATAATACGTCTCATAACCATATTTGTAATCTTTTAATTCTTGTTCCAACTGTTCAATTTTATTTTTGAATTGTTTTTTCATTTATCTTTTTTTCTCTTATACTTTTAGAACTGCAGTTGTTTTATAAAGTAATTACTTTTCAAGTTCTTACACTCTGATTGGCTTTTCTTATTCTTATTGAATGGTTAAAGATTTAACTGGTTGTTTAATTTGAAAAGTAATTTACTTATTTTGCTTTTCATAGCACACATCCTTTTGAAGTTGGTCAATTTTTTTATTCAATTATTCAATTTCATGTTCTTGGTTTTATATTGTAATTTCCTTATTCTAAATCCTTTCGTTCAATGTTCTCTCATTGCTTTATACCAACCTGAATCGCTATATAGTGTTATCTTATTTAGAAATTTATTCATTCAAAGCTTTTATTTATTCTTATAATTTTGGAATCTATTGTAATTCCTACATCAATTCAGTTATTCTTTGTTCTAGTTTTTTCTCTTTCTTTAAATATGTTAATTCTTTATCATCAAATTTTACCTTTTGTGCTCTGATTTAGTTGAGATTAGATGGTGCGGGTTTGAATTACATTTTTAACAATAAAATTGTTAGTTATAATTAGTATTAGACTTAATTGATTTTTTCAAAGTTCTTTCTTTTCTTATAGAATCAGCAAAATAAATATAAAAACCTGTTTAATTGACATTACCTCTGTTTATAAGTCCTTGCATATTTTTTTAATTAATTTTGATAAAGACCCATTGAAGAATTAAAGAGTTTTGTGTTTTTTTTTTGAATTTTACAAAAGAGTGAAGGGATTTAATTTAGAAAGAGATATAGAAATCTCTAATAACTAGGTAGACTGGTTAATCATCTTTTTAAATAATGCAACTTATAGATAGTTGATAGATTAATCATTTCATTTTAGATCTTTAATTTCTTAATAAAAAATTGAAGAACATCTTATTGCATTAAGATATTCTTATAAACTAAATAGATTAATTTTTAATAATTTAAGTATGTTACAAAATAAATTAATGTTGAATAAATCATTTCGAAACTTTCAATCACATGGAGTTCTACATATTGGACAAACGTTTTAGGTCTGAGTCCATTTTTAAATACAAAGAAGATGGAAAATATGGGTTTCATGGCATGTTAATTTCTGTCTTATCTATCCGACTTTCAAGTCTTCGAGACAAATTCCGCATTGTATTTAAGAATTATCAAGAGTTTTTTATTTCTTTTCAGCCCTGGATGAATCCTCATTAGAAAACTAAATAATTAAAAAGATTAATACTTTGATATTAAATAAAAATGGATCTTCATCATCTTATATCTAATGGTACTTCTTGGCCATATTTAAAATGATTTAAGTTACGATTAGGCCTTATAGTAAAAAAGTATCGAAGTACATAAAGGAGGTTTAAGTATAGAGTTATGATTAAGTAATTTGCATAAGTTTGAAAAATGGGAATTATATCAATCCATAAACACATTATATACACCAAAAAAATTAAGTAATTCTTCTTAGCCATCTCATTTTATCACTAAAATAAATTGACTTAATTAAAATGAACCAGTTACGATAGCATTTTTAATTAGGATTCATTAAATGTGGATCTTCATGAACAGGGATCTACTTTAAAATTGTGATCAACTAGTAAGTCATAAATGAACTGAAAATGATTAAAAAAAGTGATTAAGTTATTATTGTTAAAGTGAATATCTTAGTGCTTAAATCGTCGAAATTGTTATAGATAGTAAATACGAACAATGATTTTAAAAAGTAATAAAGTGATGTCATAATTAAAAATACTATTCCCAAGAAAATCACTTATTTTTTTGATTGTTATTCTTGGATTAGAGTAAAGTATTGATTTTTTTCTTTTCCTGTAAATATAAAGTATATTTATTAAAGAAGAACAAATATTAATGCTATTCCTTTAAAAAAACAGAATACTGGAACAAGCATAGCCAATGCCAACACTAAAATATTTATGAAAATAATTTACTTTCTCCAGTGAACTTTTTAACATGATCACTGTTGATTAAGCATATTGTCATTGAAAACTGTAGTAGGGATAAGATTGCAGCAACATATCTCGAGAATTGATAATCTGGGAGCATCAACACCTCTTTCACAGAGCAAACAACACCTAAATAAGTTGATTTGATACCAACTGAAAGTTTCTTGTAGATTATGCTTACAATCAGCCAAATCCACCAGAATTCAGTAATCGTACACATGAGAGTGTATATTTTTTCTTGAGTTCCTTCCAACATAATTGATAAAACTAAAGACACTATCCCCAGGGATCCGTCAAATACTCCCAAAGCCACCAAACCATCTGAAATTGAATCACAATACATAAATCTTATTTTATAATAATTTATTTGAAAACCTAATTTTAGATTAGAAAATATACATAATTTTATAATAATTATACACAGAATTTCTAAATTTCTTTTGATAATATTAATTATTCTAATAATGCGTACTATTATTTGAACATTGATAAACCATTTAAAATAGTTATCTGTTTGAATTTTATAATACTAGTTGTTATTATAAACATAAATAAAATCTTAGTTATTCGAGAGAAATATTTCTTGGTTATATAAATATTCTAATTAAAATATGAGCGAAAATCCTTTTGAAGTATTTAAAGAAGATATGGAAAACGAAGAAGTATATTTAAGAGTCAATGCCATGCATAGAGTTGGGATTATTTGCACATTAATTGGAGTAGATCAAATTAAATCTTAATTGCTACCTTACTTAGATTGTAACTAATTATAATTAATTAACGATAAGCCCTGTTGAATAAAGATGATGACGAAGTGTTATTCGCCATGGCTGAAGAACTGGGCAATATAGCGTAGAATTGACAATTAAACCTAGGGAAATAATTCCTAATTACTCTTCTTGTTTGCTCAATCTATTGGAAAAATTAGCAACCTTTGATGAAACAGTCGTAAGAGAACAAGCAGTTAAATCTATATCTGTTGTCTGTCAATTTTTAAGTGATCTTGAGATTGTAAATGTAATTGTCCCAATGGTATAATTAATTTCTTTTATAAAATTCATAGTGGTTAAGATTAGCATAAAATGATACTATTTTCACATGTAGAATATCTGCTGTTAATTTAATGTCTCCAATTTATGCAAGAGCAGGAACTTAACAAGAAAATATGAGATTGTAAGGCTAGTTTTGAAATAACTAGACAATTCGCTGAATTATGTAAGGAAGAGGCTATAATGGTTAGAAGAGCGGTTGCTAATAAAATAGGAGAAATAGCATAGGCAATGGAAAAATCTCACGTTGTTGGAGACCTAGTTCCAGCTGTCAAAAATCTTTGTTATGATGAATAAGACTCTGTTAGATTATTATGCGCTCAAAGTTTAATGAGTATTTCACTAATTTTAAATTTGACTGAAATCAAAGCATATATACTCCCTTTAATTATTTTATAAGCTGAAGATAAATCTTGGAAAGTTCGAATGGCTTTGGCATAAATTTTTACAGATGTAGTCTAGAATATATTATTTAAGTTAGCAATTGCAGTAGGCAAGGACATTACTGATTTTTAATTAATTCCGATCTTTTCAAATTTATTAAAGGATACTCAATGTGATGTCAGAGTTGTGGCCGTGAAAAGCTTGCTGAGATTTATAAAATTTATATCTCCAGAGAGGTTAAGTTTAATAGTTCCAAATTTATAAATTCTATCTGAAGATTCGTTTTGTTAGGTGAAATGTAATAGAAATATGTAACTATAGAAAATGTTTGCGAAGTAATAGGATAGATCGCGAATTTGTTACCAAAAGAGTATTGTTAGAATAAATTACAATAATGTTTATTCGAATTGATGAGCGATGAAAATACTGAGGTCAGAAGAAATGCGATCAAATCTGCTGGAATTTTTGTTATTGCAATTGGATTTGAAGAGCTTAATTAATTCATACCACATCTAAAGAAATCTATGATCGATCCTAAGTGGAGAGTTAGGAAGGAGACAATTAAAACTATTATTTAATTAGCCTTGTATAGATGTTATTTAAATTTATAAATAGGTCTGTTAAGCATTTGGATACTTTTACGTAGTAATTGGAATAAGCATTCTTATTGTTTTTGAGAGATAGAGCTGCTGAAGTCAGATCTATTGGATTAAGTTATTTATCTGAATTGATTGCAGTATATAAATAGGAATGGGCTTTGGGTAATTTTCTTTAAAAATGTGTGGAAATTTTAGAAAAAGATAATGGGTGTTTTTTTCGAATAAATGCTCTTTATGCAATTCAATAAATTTCATTTGCTGTTGAGAGTCATCAGGTTGAACAAAGATTATGGCCAATTGTATAGAAATACTTAAAGGATCCGATTCCAAATATAAGATTTGTAAGTTTGAAAGTAGCTAAATCTTTAATGAAGAAGATTGAGAATTAAGATGTGTTGATTTAAATAAAATAGTAAATATGAATTTAGAATAGATCTTTAAATGAGATGTTAGATGATCCAGATAGGGATGTCAAGTTTTATGTTTAAGAAGCTTTATAATATTGAAAGCATTATATATATATATATTTTATTAAAGATAAGGAAGATAGTTTTTGATGTTAATTCTATTAAAACAATGATTTAATGATAAAATATATTATAAATAAATAATTGATATTTGTTTTACACATTCTTTTAATTCAGATAGTTAAAGGTTATCACTCAATGATCAATCCCTATTCTGATTGAATTTATATTTCTGTATTATTATCATCAATTTATGTCCAATTGTATCCTTCGTGATTTAAGACTTTATTTATTTTGTAATTCAATTTAATTGTTCTGCTCTATAAAATTGAAATTGAGCTCTTACTTAATCAGTGGGATTTAACAAAAATATATATTTTGATCTCTTAACTTCTATTACAAAGTCAATGACATTAACATCAGCAAACTCAGTCTCCAACCACCCAAGTTAAGATTCCATCAACAATAAGTTATTATCTTTTCCATTTGTGATCACTCCCTATGATTATTAAGTATATGAATTACTTATCCAAAGACTAAGCCAATAAGTTGTTATACATGCTATGCATCCAAAGGTATTTCGTAAAGTGTTTTTGGCAAATATTATTTAGTTTGAAATTAGGAAAGTTTGAAATCAAAACCTAATCCACCTTCCTTGATAGTTCTGCATATGGCTGGGTATTCAACACTATTAATGATACTAATTCCATTTGGCAATATGTCATGTATCAAATCATTTGCCAACATCAAATAAACAGCCATATCAATATCATCAGTGAGATCTATATTTGAAAACTTGAACCCATCTATCTAATACTCTGTGATCCAGAAGGAAATATTAGATAGTAGTAATCTCAATACTTCCCATTTACCGTAATCCAATTAATCTGTACCCTCACGAACATACTGGAATTCACTACCATCCCAATTTTTTAATAGCTATCCGATAAGTTGATGATCTATTTCCATCAGAACAGAAAGTCCTTATTGATGGAGATTATCAATGGTCTTTTTCAAATCATCAGGATTTGTTTAATCTATGTCTAGAGCCATCAAGACTTGCTAGGTAATTAGTATTGCATTATATCCAGGAATATTCTCAAGTTGATTAATTCTCTGTTTATTTATTTTCAATCCTTTGCTTTGCTATTTTTATTATAATTATTATTATTGGAATTCGTATTTGTTTTCAGGATTCCAAAATATTGCTTATTCTCCTTTTTTAACCTAACTCCAAACTGATACTCTTTATAAATCATTGCATTATGTTATTAATGGGCTTCCGTGCACTATTTAGTGATTGTCATCGTCATCCTTTGGTATAAACACTTCCCAATTACCACCGTTGTCAGTAGTACAACTGTACTCATTCAATTTCAACTCTTGAGCATTTGGAGCCCATTCTCTATATGTGATTCCATTATCTGAGACTACAAAGCCAAACTTTTGATATCTATATAAACCTATTGCTTTACCCTTTTGCAAAGTCCTTTATTGATGATTCAACCTTTATGATTTATTCTAAAACTTAAAAAAATTTCTCATTTCTACTCTGTATTACTTCTTTCAATTCGGGCTCTTCAATTACTGTCTGTAATTAATCGACATTCTTCTCATACTTTTACAGAAACTCTTCATTCTCCAATACTGATTACTAATTTTGTAAAATGCCATGGTCATACCTAATAAAATAAGGAATTCTTTTTTGATAATTTTCTATTTGGAACCTTCCTGGACAGAGCTGAACCTTAATCAATATAATTCATAATAATATATTAAATATTAATTCCAAAAATGTTTATTTAGCATTCAAACCAACCCAATTATGTCTGGAGCCTTTACAAGCAATCCTGATTTGAACAAATCACTTCAATAATTAAACTGATTCATTGAGTTTAATCATAAACATTAAATAACAAATTTAACTATAAATTATAATAATTAGTAATTCATATAAATTAAAAAAATCAAATCTTGCATTCAATCAAAGTTTTCTCTATTCTTTTCCTGTTTCTTTTGAAATACTCTATCCTCAACCTACTAGGTGTTTTTGATTTTCCAATAATATTCATTTCGCAAATTTTACTGTTTTTCTTACTGTTCCCATTCAATGGATTAAGCCGTTGACGAATTGATTTCATATTGTTTATTTTATTCGGATTATCGTATTTTAATTTGGCAAATTTAAGAGGATTTTCAACCTGTAAATTAGAATCAATTATTAAGCCAATTTCTTATACTCCATTCTCATCGAAAGTGCCATCAATACAGCAGTAAGGATCCATCTTTAGATTGTCAAGACTTGAGTCCAGCACATCATTATTGATCATATCATTAATCGAATTGGGATTTTAAGGATACCCTTTTTTGTATTCGGATATCATAATATAAATAAATAATGGCTCACGATTATGCTTAAATTGCCTTCGAATGATAAGAGAAAAACAGTCTCACTATCACTTCATATCCAGAGATGACTGATGCCGTAAAATTATGATAACTTAATAATTATAGTCATTTTTCTATATATAAGTAATCTGATTTTGATAGCATTATTCTATTCGAAATTATTATAAATCATTCGAAATATAATCAACAAATAAACGATATGTTAGTAGATATATATATATAAATATTATATCACATGAAATAGGGTTAACTCTGGATAAATTATAAGTCAACCGCTTTTCTACTCTTATTGTATTTGCCAAAATATTCCAGTATCAAAAATGAGAATCTAATGATATTACCATGTTTTGCAGTTCTTAAGAAATCCTTAGTCATCCCTGCCTTAGTTAGATCATCACAATGAACGAATAAATCACTTCCGTCTTAATCCATAACGATGAATCCGTATGATCTGGCTTCGTCATAAAACTTAAGAGTACCAAAATATCTAATCTAATACTTGCATCTCATAGACTTACATTTGAGAGAATGTTTGTGCCTTCTTATAAATTTAGATTCAAAGATTGCAAAAGATCATTTTAAGTAGTGGAGGAGTTGATGACTGAATTGCATTCCTGCATGAGCAAATCTCCGTCTTGGTTGATTTCATCTAAGAGTTGCATCTGTAAGCTTGTCCTGGATATATTGGATGGAGAGAGAGGTACATTCTTGACATTAATCTTATTGATTCGATTGTCTTTTTAATCAGAAAGGTATTTGAAAGGATCTGAATATGATCGCTTGTGTCTTCTTATAGGTAAACCTATAATGTCATTTATTACATCCAATAGTATGTCCTTGATCAATTTATGCTTTTCCTCGCTGCCTTTCTTGCCAACCACATAAAAGTAATTGAGATACCGTGCAAGATAAATGCGCTTTTTAAAACCAAAGTTGATGATTTAACACCTAAGATCTTTTTCCTCGCATATATCATAAATCACAATTTTCCTTTGGAATTGCTAACTTATAGTATTTAGGTCGTCATCTCTGCATTTATCGCTTAAGGACTTCCAATACACGATGGTGCCATAAAGTGCATGTGATATGGCTTTCATTAAGTCCTAGGCTCATCAATGTTAAAATTACCAAGGCTGGAGTCAAAATTTCTTTGTCGTCCTCAAGTAGGAGTTTTCTGAATGATTCCATTAATTTGGCACTCTCTAAATCGCAATTTAGTTTGTTCAATGAGGGTGTCAATTATAAATCATACAATTTACTTGGAAACATAAATTGATTGAGTAAAATATTTTTTATTAATTCTTAACCAAAAATTAAAATGTCTTGAACAAACTTGATCTTGGTAGTCTTGAATAAATTTGGTATCAAATTAAATGAGAAAATGCAATTTAATTTGATCCTATTAACATTGCATTAAAATTTGAATTCAATTATTCAGAATACCAGGGATTTTTGTATAACATATAACTTATTTTAATAATTTATTATGTCTAAGTGGGCAGAGAGCAAATATGAGGGTGAGCAATTAGAAGGTTGGTTTCATGGAAAGGGCAAATATTACTTTAGTAATGGAGTCATCTATGAGGGTGATTTTTTTAAGGGCGAATTTCATGGAGATGGAACTCTCATATTTCCAAATGGAGTAAATAAACTTATATTCCTGTAGGGATAATACAAAGCTAAATGGGAAAGAGGGAAGATGCTTGATGGTACCTACTTTTTTGAGGACCATTTGAAATATGAACCTATGGATTGGAAATATTGTATTGGAGATGACAGAAGATTTCATCAGGAAATCAAATAGAGTATAAAACCAGCAGGAATCACTCAAATGACTAAGGATGACATTCTTATTGAAATTCCTGAAGGCACTTATGGTATAAGTTTTTAAGATTGAATTTCAGATGTTGGCGAAGGTTATTATGAGCCTGTGAAATCTATTATTTACAGATATGATGGTTCAATCTTAAGAACACCTAGTGAACCTGAAGTTGAGAACATTCTCAAGAAGTGTAGGTACAATCCCAAGAAAGACTTTATCATTGATGGCAAAGACGATAAAGTTATTCAGAAAATGACTCAGAAGTCTTAGTGATTATATATATATATTTTAATTATCATAAATTCAAAATGAAATGTGATTTTTGTGAACAGACTACTACTCCAATCATAGGTAGATTTAATATGTGATTAGAAGACATTATGCGTCATTCATTGTTCTTGAAATACTCTTAATCCTAAAATTATCATTACACTAAAGGTATAAGTGAAATATTGCACAACTTTCGCACATCTAATAATATTCTTTATAAAGACGTTTTGCTCTTTGATACACCAGAAGAACTGCTTTGTAAAGTGTTTCACTTCTCTATTTTATATGAAAAATTGCAAATGTTGGGTGAGTATTACAAAGTACCAATCAATTCTACTTATAGTTTCACAATGATATTCCACGCTTGTTTATGATGCCAGCCATTATTTCCCTTAATTATTACCATGATAAGAAGAGAAGATTAGAGTACTATAGAATTGCCAAACTCATTGCAAATGAGAATAAGAACAATCCTGATAAACCTCCAAAGGGAATTGTGGGCGACTCGCCATTGCCCTATTCCAGCCAATAACTGACGGCTTAAGAAGCGAGTTCCTCTGATGAAGTATAACAGCACCTCAATCTAGCCGATATCTAAATGCGACAAGATCCTTGAAGGCATAAGTTTCATTGAGACCAAGCCATAATTTGTCAATTTCAAATAGTAACTCTAACAATACCAAATATTATAATAAACAATCCCAAACTTCAAATATGAAAATTACACACCCCAACTTAAATAGTAAGCCATCTAGTTTAAGAAAACTAATAATCCAGATAAACAATAACGCAAATCCAGTATTACTAATATTCTCAATATGCTCAAGAAAAAGGTTCCGTAGAAAGCAGTTAAAAAGAACAATTCATCAATCAAATCAGATCAATTGCATATAGTATATATAATGGTTTTATATTATCATTTAGACACCAAGAAACATAGATATTAAATCTCCGACTAATAGTACTCTACTACCAAATTAATAACGAATTGCAACACTTTTGAAATCACCCAAATGTGTTACTCCAAGAGCACCACAATAGAGTCCTTATCTACCAAAAAAGGTGTAACAACTAGAAATCAAAGTGATGTCTGATCTACAAACTCTACTTGCCAAAAAGCACTCCAGAAATTCCAAATAATATTCTACCGTTCATTTTGATAATTTATCTTTGGCCTAAGATCCTAGAAGCCTTACATAAAGGTTTGAATCCACCAATAATACAAAAGGACAATTTGCAAAGAAAAAATTAAATATTAAAGAACTTAATTAATTCAGAAGAGTCAAGATCTAAGAACCCTTATCTAATCGAGATCCCCCTCGCAAACTTAATTTTAAATCTAAGTCTAATGATAAACCTTTAAGCATAAATATAACCAGTGAACATAAAATTCACTTATATTAGCCAGCCTAATCAGCTAGATAAGATATGAATTCTTAATAGGCAACCATTTCATAAAAATTGCTGAATGGATAATCTATATCTTAACAAATTCACCATCAAAAATCAGCCACTGCTAAATCATTAGGAAAATCTATGAAACTAACTAATACATTTGATTCTCAAATTTGTAAAGTAGCACTCAATTTAGCCGTGAAGAATATTAGAACTAGAAAATCATGAAATAATATTTTATAAATGTGTTACTTAAATTAATTTAATCTTAGACATTTAAACTAACCCAATTTGATTCTACTGCAAAAAAAAGGATCGACGTAAATGGAAAACAAGTTATATTATATTAATAACAAAATTCCTAAAGAAAGCGCATCCAGAAGAATTATCTGCTTACAAGGAAATTAAAAATTCCACATTTAATATGAAGTAGTTTATTATTAAAACCAAGGACGAATCAAAAATATGCCATTTAAAGATGCCATTCATTATTACAAAATTAAATATTTTATTAGTATACTAATAGATTGGAGAATACTACTTTCCTTATTATAAATTCTATAATAAGCATAAAATTTTATATAAACTAAATTTTTCAAATAAAATAATCACATCAATAGTTATGTTTTAAAATTTCCCTTAATCCTAATATCATTTTACTTGCTTAATCACTATATCCATTTGCTTTCGGGATATAATTTTACATGAGTTGTTAAAGTCCTTTTATATCATCTGAATTTTTTAACTTACTTTTTATTTTCACTGTATTCTTCACTTAGATTGCTTGTGTTTCTTCCTTGATTTGAACTCTCAAACCTTAGTGTATTGATTAAAGTTACTTTTCAAAACCTTCGTTATTTGATAAATCGAACTCCTAACCCAAGCACATTAGGTTATTTGTTATATATTTAATAAACATGTCAACCTTAAGGAATTCATTTAATTTCATCTCTAGTATATTAAAGCAATTTTATATTTTATTAAGATATTCCGACCTATCATTTAGTTCAAGTTATTTTTTTTATTTATTTTATTAACCGTTTTTCTATATTTAATCATCTATACCAATTTTCATTCTCCCAATTAAGCAATAAAGTTCAAAAAGAGCATCAGCACAGTTGACAATTAAATTTTGTTAAGCATAAAAGTGAAGAGCCTAAAAAGCAGTTTAGTTCTATTGTTTTTTAAATTTTAAATCATTTATCTTTATTTGATATTACTAGGCTAATTCATTATATTCATTTAATTGATGTCTATTTTTGTACTGTTCTAATTCGTTAATTTTAATCTTTAATTTCTCTATGAAAGAACCTATCTCTTTACAATCTTTGACGAATTTATCTAAAAATGCATCTGTATTTTACTATTCCTACTATTTAACTTAATTTTAAATTTATAATATTCTCGTCTATTATTCTGTAGCCCAATTAATGAAAGTTTAAGTTCTTTTAGTAAACCTTCCCTGATTTTCTGCTTTCAATTTCATAAAATTGGGATCTTTGAGTAAAATTTCATTTTATTCAATAAACCCCTCATATGTGTTTAAACAATTTTTTATATTCTAATAAACTTCCTCCTTTGAATCATTTAATTTGTTGTAAATTTTTTCTTCACTTTATTTTAATTTTACATCTAAGAATTATGTTTCAAGATTTGAAGAAAAATTTTTTAGAGTTAGAAGATCATCATTCCAATATTTATCCTCTGGCTATGTCATTTATTTTTTAATTTCATTCAAACTTTAAAATAAAGGGTCAAGAGTCTAAGAGAACATTTTAATTTAAGAAGTTATTTTACTATTTTCTAGATTTATTTCTTCAATCGATTAAAAATTAGACATCGAAAATTAATTGATAAGCATTTCAATATCTTAAACTATCTTGTTCTGATTTTTACAAATATTTTTAATTAGTTCCAATTATTTGAAGATATGCTGTAGTTAAATATTGTCATTGCACCTATTTTATAGGTCTTGCACTTAATTTTACAAATCATTCCTTCTCTTTGAAACAGATTCAAATAGTTATCTTAAAATAGAATTAGTATTCTTTTATTCCTCTTAAGCATATTATAACACTTTAGGCTTTAATTATGATCGCCTTGTCTCTTTTTAATAATAATTTTCAATTAAATTTAATTTCATAGTGGAAATTTGAAAATCTTTTTCAATATCAGAGAATTGCTTGTTAAAGTTCTAATTTTTATTCTATTTTAATTCATTTATCAACAAGACAACCCTATTTTTTATTTCTAACAAAACATCTAATTCCTTACTCATTTCCTCAAATTGCTTTTTTAACTCTATAAAGAAGTTTGATTGTTACTATTAATAATTAATTTGATCCTTTTTTTTTTCCCAATCTTCTATTATCACTATTAAATTTTATAATTGATCTTGGATTATTTATTGTTCTTTGTTCTTTTATAATTAAAGTATGGTAATAACTGAATCTAAATTAAATGCTATTTTATTCAGCATATCTGTTAGATTAATCATATGTTTATTTTATTTTTCAATTAGATCTAATTTCAATTTTTCCTCTTTTCCTAGCTTTATTGAGTTTTAAAGAATTTAGAATTCTACATAAAGTGAGTTATACTATTAATTCATTGCTTCATACGAAGATACAAATTCACTATCTTTTTAAATTAGAGCTCCTATGATTTCATTACCTTTCTTTAATTCTTCCTTTAATTTCAAGAAGAGATCTTGTAATTTACTTGCCAATTTTTCAGAACTCTCCAATACAGATTTTAAAAGTGAATTTTCCTCTTAAATCTATTAATACTGTTATTCTTCTCTTATAGAATTTAGTTCTTAATTGCAATTTTGTATAAAGGTTTCGACCAAATTAGGTACAATCAAATCTTAATGAAGGTTTTTAATTTCTTCTAATTTTTAAATATTTTCTTTAATCAAGTTGCAGCATTAGTTTTATGGTAAAAATTCAATAGTAATTTCTAATTAAGAAAGCTTCTAATTAATTTCTTCTATTAAATTAAGTCTATATTATAATTGGTACTTGTAGTCAGCTATAAATTTTTAACATTTTTAGGACTAATACAGTATTTACTATTAAATCAATTCCTTTTATTACATTTCTATACTGATTTTATTTCTATTTAAACTCTATTAAATACTCATCAGTAGCTATTAAAATTTGGCAAAACTTCTGGATTTCTATTCAAACTCTTCTTAATAATATTTATTTAATTGTTCTTTTAGTAACAGTTTACTAACCTGTTGCCGATTTTATAATTAAGCTTATATCTGAAATTCCATTTCCTTTTGAAGTTAAATTTCTTTATTTTTTGCCTCTTATTCGTATTTTATTTTAAAGTTTTATTCCATTTATGTTATCAACTTCTATTTGTCCTCTTAATATTGATATTTTAACCCTTCTATTTACTGCTAATTGCAATTAGCAATCTTTTTATTGTATTCTTCTTACAATATTTACAGCTCATTTTGCTATTAAGCTTTTAGATTCTCTTCGGTTTCTTTTTATACTTTAATTTTCTACTCAATTAATTGTTTTTGATAATATTCCGTAATCTCATTTTTATGTTGTTCTATATCTAATTTATGTTATTCTGCTAATTTTTCTTATTCCTCTTAAAATTTTATATCAAATTCTTTTTAAATTTCAAACCTAATTTATTCCATTATTTCAGGCCTAACTATTTGCATATTGTTTTAGCCATTATAACCTTACAAAGACTAAATATTTAAAATTCTCTCTAGTTCTTTTACGACATATTTGGCATCCACTCTCTATTTACATTCTCTAACTATCATCTTTTTTAAGAGACTCTTGATATCATTAACCCCTTCTTGCTTATTAATTCTTAATTAATCAATTTGAAAATAAATAGACTCCTAACTTAGATTTAAGATATTGTTCAAGATATCTTAAACACTATTTCCTTTATAAATTTATACTATTTAATACCTCTCACCATTGTTCTTCTTGACAACATTTCAAAGAGAATCATTCCCAGAGCCCAGATATCAGCTTTTTCATCATATATCTATTTATTGATTTATTCAGGTGGCATATAATATGGTGTCCCTACCATCATAGTTTTCATCCCATTCTATTGTCTGATGAGTCCAGTATCGCATAACTTTAGGTGTTTCACATTGTTTATTTCCTAATACACTACGTTTTCCAATTTTAAGTCCCTATGAATCAAGTATAATTGGTGTAATTCTTGTGTTCCTTTAGCAATCTTGAAGCATAATATTTTATGAATACCTAAATGAAATAGCGTAGTATTTCTTCAGCATCATTTATTTTTGATAATGACCAAAATCTTTGAAATGGCCCATCGGCTAAATCCATAGTAATAATTATCTCATTATTATATGAATCTAAGTCCAATATGTTAACAACATGATTCAAATGTTATTTTGTGAGTATTTCTAAAGTTTATTATTCTGTGTAATTTAAATTAGGTTAAACTTTTAAGGCAACATATTATTTTTAATGATTGCAAACTTTATACGCCCTATAAACATAGCCTCCGGTCCCTTGCCCTAATTATTCCTCTAAAACATAGACAGCCTTTTTTTAAGTAAAAATTGTCTTTTTCTATTAATTCATTTCTTATAATTATATAAACTGCAGGTAGTAAGAAAAATTTCTAATACATTTTTAGAATATATTGACACTTTATAAATTCATTTGAAATACTGCAATTTCAATCCTAAAAAGATGTATATTTTGGAATTCTTATAAAGATTCAAATATAACAATAAGGACAATCAAAATTCCAATCGCTCTTTATTCTTTGATTCTACCTGATAATGATATCGCAGTCAATTATTGTTTTAACTGAAAACTTTTTAATTTTAATTATACTGACATCTATCTCGTGTATGATTTTTGTAATTTAGCCCAATCCTCCAAAATGTGAATTTCCACTATTTTTGTTCATTCCTTTATGCAATTCATCGTTTGCGTATGTGTGATGCATTCAAGTTGTTTATCATATAAGCATATTTGGATACTTTTTAGAATTTGCATATCGATTTGAATTTCTGATTCCTAAATTACCAACTTGATACTCTCAGTAATAAAACCTGACTGGAGGCTTATATTATGATTTCTTGAATCTGATCATAGGTTTTGTTTTCATTTTAATGAAAAAGTGAGATTTCTTTTTAAGGAAACTAGAAATTCTTAAGGGTTAGTATATTATATAATATATATAATAATTCATTTAGGAGTTGGTTTCTTATCAAGTATAGCTATGGACTACTCAGCATAGTGAACGACTGGCATCTCAAAGAGATTTTTTGGAACTATAACTTTCACCAGTTATTATTATTCATTCTATGTAGACAAAGTATAAATTGAAGCAGGATAAGTTTGAATGTGAATTCCTCTAAAGGCAGCTGTTAATAGTCTTGCAGACATCTTATTTCAGATTTAAAATTTATTTATTAAACAAACAATATTCTGCATTTTCTTTAAAATTCAACATCATAACGTCATAATTGAGTTCATTAAAATTTTAATTTTTATATTTTGTCGAACATAAATAATACAATTGTTAAAATTTTATAAAATTTTTTATATATGCTTTTTCATTTTTTTTATAATTTACCAAAAAATTATTTCAATCTCCAAATTCCAAAATGAAAAAATATTTTCGAAAAGAATCAAATTTCAACTTAGTTTTGGGGTTATGAATGGAAAACAAAGAGAATATACGGAAAATAGATACATAATTGTGTATTGTATTTGATTAAATTCGTTTTAATAATATAATATAAAAATGAATAGCGATTATCGAGAAGTGAATCAGAATGAACAGGAGGAATAATAAATGTATTTAGAAACCCCTATTTATAAAGAGGCTGTGAGTCACTTTCGGACCACTCAATATTATTTTATTTCTTTTAACTCTTTGAAGATTGGATGCGGATTTGCACTATTGTATATGAATCACGAATAGACTGATTTGAATTATTGGATCCTTGCAATCATGTTTCATGCATTTGTTATGATCATCGCTCACAAAAATCACTTAAAATATTTGACAATGAATAAAAGAATATTGGCATATAAATTAGATTAAATTGTTGCTGGCCCAATTGTGGATTAAGTCATTGAATCAAGGAGATTAAATATATTATCAAGACAAATCAAACTAGAAATAGCAAAATCAACTATCTTTGGCAAATGGTGTTGCAGAATAATTACAATAATTTATTAACTTATTTTTGGTTATGGAGTATACTTATTTTGTATATATTACAGTATGAGATCAGCAGAATTAATGAATTAATATTACTTTTTATGTGCAATCCTTATAATCTCTCTCTATCAATACATTGATCTTTATTTGATATTGGTCTTGGCAATCCTAGGTTCACCATTTTTGCTTATCTTTGGTTGTTATTATTGCGCAAATTTGTAACAAGATTTACTTAATTTAATAGATTTGGCAAAGAATAATAAAGAAATGAGATCAGAACTCGATTGTAAGCTATCAAATATAAACCAAACTTAATAGAAGGGGAGCAAGAATGCTGCATTTGTAGATGTCCTTATGAATTAAATGAAGAAGTCGTTGTCCTGAAATGCTCAAAATTGCATCATTACCATGAAACCTGTATTATGGTATTTTCGTTATTTACAATTTTCAGTCTTGGATTAACATCAACAATACGTGTCCATTCTGTCGGAAATCTATATGATTAATTCAATTTTTAAATAGAACAAATATATTACTAAAGAAATTAATTTATATTTATGAGTAAATTAGATTTTAGGAAAAATTAATTAATTTAATTATTTATATGGATTTTAAAGAAGTGAATGGCAATTAGTACCATAGAAAAAATCACTTCGATGTGGATGTTAGAGAGAGGGCAAGAAAATAATTAGAATAAGAAAAGGTGGAATAAACCAAAAATAATTTAAGAAGCAAGATTAAATCACTTGAAGATGTACATAGAAGAGACAGATCCGGCAATAAAAACATGAATAATTTTCAAGGAAATGGGAAAAAATTCAATAACTGGGGAAATGAAAGAGCAATCAACAGAGTATTAAAGAGAAAAGAAAGATAATAGATCAATGATTAAATCTGAATTTTCTATATTATTTAAAAAAAGAATTGTATACTATTCTGAAAATAATCTATATTAAAAAATCGATTTATTATAAAAATGATCAAAAAAATATTTAAATGCTTTAAATGCTCTTTTTGGATCCAAATTTCTCTGCTCTTTCTTAACATCCATCCAAAATGGCATTCCTTTGCACAAAGTTAAGTAAAAGATGAATAACTAAATAGAATTATTATGATTGGATACAAAAAACTATAATACGATGCAATTGTTTTTTAAATTAAATTAGTCTTAAAAAACAATAGTGCTTTGCAATTTTTCTAATTGATTACGAAATTATATATTATGAAATTGTATTTAAAGTTCATTCAGAAATATAATTTAATTTCTTTAGAAATAAAATCAATGTTTTTATGATCTTATTAAGTTGTAAAAATTAATGAAAAATCATAAAAGTATTAAAAACTAATTTAGATTATTATATTTATTTGAATTAGTTTATAAATTATTCTAATGGTCAATAGAAACTGAATATCAGCACATTGTTAATTATTTATTTATCTTTTTAAGTAATAAATTAATAACTGCTTGATGTATATTGATCCAGCAGACACGAAAGCATGGGCTGAAGAATTGAAGGAGTAAGATTTTGTATTAATTTCATTGTAGATACCAAGGGAGTAGGAAACAAAAAGTGGATTTTTAGAAACCAAAGATCTTCACATAAAAAGAAATGAAATTGAAACAGACTGAATTCAATCCTGTTTTATAGACTTACCAAAATCCAGAAAGGGATGTTAAGGAGAAGGAAAAGGATTTCCAGAAGACATCGACATTGGCATAAAAGAAAATGGTATTGCGATGTTAGATTAGATAGGAAATGGTTAAGAAATATTTGCACGAATATGATTTAGTTAATTTAGAGCATGTTTAAGGAATAGAGAGACCTGATGAGAGAGAGAAAACAAAATAATGTTTAGTATTGGATTTGATTAAATGTTAGTTACCACCCAATTTTAATGATTATAATATAATAACAAATGAGAAGAAGAGCGAAGAATACTATAAAAATATGAAGGTAGTTGTTTAGAAGCGAGTTCATGAGAAGCCAGTGATAAATAGAAATAAGCGAGATTTCAATATCATTACAAACAAGTTCGAAATTAAAATTATACAGGTTTTTGGATAATCACGAAATAAAAGCTTAAGAACAAGAGGCTGCTGTGATGTCTGATATAAATGATAAATGTAAAAGAGTCAGGAACTATGATATTGTGGCAGGAACATTTTATAATGATGACAAAGAATGGGAGTATCAATAGTATTTTATCCAATAAAAACGAGGAAATTGAAGCAGGACTAATTGAATCATGGCAAACAATTCAACGATAGATTTCCACCATCTTGGAAGTTCAGAGAATCAGTTTATTTAGATTAAACGAAAGAGATCCCTGACGAAATCAAGATGATAGATGAGATCAATAGAAATCACAAGAAGCGTTATGAAATAAGGCATGTCTTGGAAAATGAATATAGAGAAAGAGATCTTTAAGATCAAATGAGAACTCAAGACAGATTGATAAAGAGACATAAGTATGATGATTTGATCAAGAAATATGATAAGGGTAATAGAAAGTCATAATATTATCAATAGAATTCGATATCATTACTTTGGAGAAGCCAGAAATTGATCATATTGTTAAGGCATTGCCACCGAAACCTCCTCTAAATTCTTGGGATAAGGTTCAGATGACAAAGTCAGTGTCAGATGCTCCAATTCACGAAGTAAGCATTCCTGAAGGCATTGATTTTAAAGATAATGTTCAAAATCAACACGAATCTTAAGGGAGAGTGAGGTTTCCATAAGTACATAGATAAGGAAGTGAGAAATCCTAAAAATCTATCTCTAAATCTAATAAATCTGGACCAAAGTCAATAGCTTAATCATAGAAATCGAATATTTAAGGAACTGAAATAAAGTCTGGAGGATTTTTTTGATGATTGTGATAAATTAATAATATAGAAATTTAGATTATTTAAAAATAGTAATGCACATAGAAATTAAATAATTTCTATAGAGAATATGATAAATTATATTTATTAATATGTCTATGTGTAAATTATCACTTTCTGATTTTACTTAATTGTTAAAATGCTGAGCTATAATTAGTTGAGTTATAATTAGTTGCCGACATTTTGTATGAGGCCGATTTCTATATGCTACCTTAGGAGCCTTTTCTTGGGAGTTAATGTTGAGAGACCTGCAAAGCACTATGACTTTATAGGTTTTAGGATAATGTATTTTATAAAACTGTCGAGACACTATTTTAAATGTTTTACATTGATTATTTTCTTGGGATTATTTTTATGGGACTGCCACTATCAACATTAGGAAAAATGGATTACGATTGTTTTTTCTACATGATCATACTTGGACTTTGATAGATGAATTGATTGGTATGTTCATTATTATGATTATTATTATTATTATTATTATTATTATTATTATTATTATTATTATTATTATTATTATTGTAGGTATGTTCTTGGGATGTAGTATTTTTGCGTTGAGGTTTATGAATGGTTCGATTGACATGTTGGGATTCATAAGGTTTGTTATCACTAATATCAGTATTAGAGGGTTCTGAATCTTTGCTTCTTTTGGGAAAGGGATCCTTCTTGCTGGGTGATTTAGAGTTATCAGAACTTAAGTTAACTGGAACATTTTTCAGATCACGAATCAAAATTTTATTTTCCAACTTCCTCTTTTGTGTGATATGAGAGTAAAGGGCATCTCTATATTAATTAACTTAATATTTATGATTGTCATCCATTAATGTTTCAATAGGACTATCTAAGAATATCAATATGCGTACCTCTTGAAATTTCATCTTCAGTTCCTTTGAATTCACTGACATAAGGGTGATTTAAAGCTTATTCCACTGTCATTCTTTTGTACGGATTGTAAATGAGAGTTTACCTAATTATATAATACTCCTTATTACCTGATGAAATCAATGGCATCTTCTTTGCCTGATGCGAATAATTATGTTATGCTTTTCTTCTTTTGGGTAGAGATATTCGAAATTACTTAATCAGCCAGTGGAGCTTAAATAGCATCCAATTCATCCTGCTTGGGTCTTCCAATCAACTCAATAATTCTCTCGATTTAATTTAAAGTTGAAGTTCCAGGAAAGATAGCCTTCCCTATTATCATCTCCCCCAAAATACAACCCAGACTCCACATATCAACTGCCTTGGAATAATGCTAAGAACCCAACAATATTTCTGGAGCTCTGTACCATCTTGTAGCTACGTATTCAGTAAGAATTGGATTGCCTAAGTATTGTTAACATAAAAACACTTACTATTATCGTCTGGCATAGCCACACTCCTTGCCAAGCCAAAGTCAGCTACTTTGACCTTGCATTCTGAATTGATTAGCAAGTTGGAAGGCTTTAAGTCTCTGTGGATCAGTTCACCAGTGTGAAGATATTTGAGACCTTTGAGTATTTGGTATATTATATATTTTTTATGTACGGGTTCCAAGATGTTCGCTCTTATCACCTTAAAGTTATTATTAAATGTAAATACTTTATGAAGATCTGTTTCCATAAAGTCAAACACCATATACAGATCTTTGTTATTTTCTGCTTTTATGACACTTGTTAATTTGATGATGTTTTCGTGGTTTACCAACTACTCTAGGAAAATTACTTCACGAAATGTCCTTTGTGAGTCAGTGGCATTATGAAATGCGTCGAAAATCTACGACTTTACAGTTAAATATACTTTCTTCAATGCAACAATCTATTTTGTTTTACGGTCAACTGCCTTCCAAACTACTCCGTAAGCTCCTTTTCCTTTAAATTCAAGCAGTTCAAATTTCCTTAGGATGTGATCTTCCACTTAACAGTGCTCATCCTCCTTCTGAGGTTATTTAGCTAATGGTTGCATTTATAATAATATTAATAATCTTGCAAAACAAATAAATGGTATCAAGTATCATACTTTATTGAATCTAATTATGATTGTTAATAATCTAATTTTAGTATTAACGACTACTCCAATTACAATCTTAGATTCTATTTTCCATAACAGATTTTTATTACTTTATATATTTGCACACATACTTATTACTCAAATTCCTTAAATTTTATAACAATCAAAAATTCATTAATTTACATCCTGTGTTTCCATTTATTATATTAAGTAGAATTGATCAAAATATTTCTGATTCTTGATAACATCAAATCATCGACAAGTCAAAAATGTAATATTTTAAATATCAAACATTAAATAAATTAAATACATACATCATCATTGCTAAATTTATATTTAGATATCCTGAACAATCTCAATCAATTAGGAAAGATATTCTACCTTCATTTTGTCGAGATTTTAATTTTAACAATTTTTATACATTTATATTTCGATCATTAATTACTCTATCATTAAGTCTCTTTTTCTGAGCTACTTTTAAAGCTCTTATACTTCCTTAGAGTACTGAGACCTTATTTCAAGCAACTCCTATTCCATCTATTCTTTAGTTTCCTTTATCAAATCCTAAGTCTTAGCCCTTTCTATTTCAATTAAGTTGTCTTCTTGAATTGGATCCTCTTAAACAACAATTTAACTCCTTTTTATCTTTGATACTTCAGATGTTTTTTACTCCAGTTCTTTTGAGAGCATGTAGATCTTTGTATTTAAGTAAACAACCTAATCAAACTCGATGATGCCTTACTTTTTATTCATAAACCTATTTTACCAATTCCAATTCTTAACTATTCAACTATTCCAATTTTTAGAGCTCCTAGTGCATACAAAAACTAAATTAATAATAATTTAATTTATTATTTCTTTTTATTAGAATTATAATTTTAATTAAAAAAACTAATTAAAATACAAAGTAGTTTTTATCATTCCTATTACCTTCTCTATTTGAGAACAAAGGAACTATCAATCATGGGTTGAGGGTTGTCCGACTGTTGTTAATCAAATTCTTTCAATTAACCAGGAGAATGAGAAGTTTCCTATTCTGGATATTTAAAGGATCGCTATTATTATTTCGATTTACTCCCAGGTGTATTGCGTAAAGGAGTCCTTCCTTAAGGAATTTCGAGCTTATTCTATTGGATCAGAAAAGGATGTTTTAATAGTTTTGTCGCATTCCAGCGTTTGTGTTCATCAACCCTAATAAAACATTTACACCCTTAAATACTCTAAGCAATGTGAAACAAAGTTTTTGGCCTCTTCTGAGAATCCTTCTGGAATTTCTGGCAGCTCTCCCTTCCCTATCCTGATCATGACTGCAAATTGATTATTTAATTGATGCCATGGAGGCTTACCTGTTGCCAATTCTATCATGGTACATCCTAGACTCCAAATATCAGCCTTCCTCCCAGACTTTTATTATTTAACCACTTCAGGAGCCATAAAATTAGGAGTTCCAAAGATAGTGCTATTGCTATTTAATGCAATCTTCTTACTGCTCCCAAAGTCAGCCAACTTGCAAACTCCTTGATTGTCAACCAACACATTTGCACCCTTAATATCCCTATGCATTATGCCATTTTGATGCAAATATTCTAATCCCAATAAAATTTAGCGCATGTAAACTTTGATCAAAGGTTCCTTAAAAGGGCCAAATTTCTGGAGCATCGAACTCAAGGATCCACCTGCAACTCTCTCCAGAAAGATATTTAATGTCTTCTCTGTGCGTTCCATCCCATAATATGAAACTATATTCTTATGCTTGATTAAAGAAAGCAAGTCGATTTCGATTTCAAGTGCTATTATGCGATCTTCGTTTCGAACATCAACCATTACCTGCTTAACTGCCATCAATTGTCCAGTGTCAAGGTTCATCGCCTCTATTACTCTCCCAAATGAACCTTATCCAATCACTTATCCTGGAGTCCAACGAATCTTTTTGGGTTCACTCTTAATGAGACTCAATAGTTAATTGCGATCTATGCAAAGTAATTCATCTGAATCATAATAGTTATCTTCATTCCCATACATCGTTTTCTCATACACTTCAGACTTCATTTCATCCACTCGAGAACGTTGAGTATCGAATTTCTTAGTCTATCTTAGACTTGGATTTAAAGAACTGGCTGCCACATGAGCCTTTCTTTTCATGCAACAACCCATTTAATATTATTTAAAATAAATATATATAACAATATCCAATATTATAATACTCCACAAATTAATTACTAATACTTTTGAAAATCGACAACCATTCCTCTTAACCAATCAAAACTTACCCCATTCTATTGAAAATATAATCAAAATTATTATAATAAGAATCTTTAGATCAAATTAAATATAAAAGAGCCCCATATATTATCTATTTTCAAAATATAACTAAACTCTAATTATTTCAATAAACTTATAATCAATCCATCCTTTTCTAAAATTTTTCAAAAGTTTTGATTAATATAATTTATATAATTAATATAATCAATGATATATAAAAAATTAATTGATTAACAATAAGCTTCATCATCCCAAACACTAAAACTTATAAAAACATCTCATCCTAAATTCAAATTAAATAATATGAAATGTAACAGTTAAAAATTAAACAAATTTTATTGTAAGTTCTCTCAATTCAAACAAATTATGTGATATATTTCTTATTTCAAATACTTTAAAGAATATTTGGTATTAAATTATCATAATCATAAAATTATTTTATCTATGAAATTTTACAGCCTTTTTGCAATTTTGTATTGTATTAATGCTGCAATTAATTATCCGACAGCATGTGATTGCAATGAACATGATACATAAGAATCCTGTGAAGCACATAAATGTTTTTGGAGCTAAAATAAATGTAGAGTATCTGAATGCAACGAGAGATCCTTAGATAATTGCATAAAGGCTTCATAATTTTTAAGCTAGAATCCAAAATACTGTTATGTTAAGAATGGCAATTGTGTAGAATTAAATAATTGTGAATAATTGTAAATAGTCGACACTCCTTAAATTGCAAGGGAGAAATGTTAGTTATTCTAGTGCGCCTATGATTTAGTAAGTGGATATTGCTTCAAAGCAGAAAAATGTGATCAAATTTATGATAAGGAGACTTGTAATAGATACGTCATAGGGTAGAGTCACCCCCTTACTTTAGAATCATTCTGCTATTGGGATGGCACTTGCAAAGAAAGAAAATCGTTGATATAAAACTGTGAATCAATAAAAGAATAAGAAGTCTGTGAACAAGCTGGGTGTAGATATCATAATAAGGTTTGTTCATAAATAGATTGCGATGATCTCAGCATTAAAGAATGTGATGGAGAATATGTAAACAATTAAGGAAATACATTTATATGTTAAACAATTGATTAAAAATGCTAGAAAATAGAAACCTAAACTCTCAATAAAACAGTTTGCAATAAATTGATTGGACACACGTTTGTTAATAACAAATGTAGTAAATGTAGCTCGTATGCATAGCATTCTAAATAATGATTAACACTTTTGCACATTATTATCAAGTATCTGTTCAATATATATATTTAAATTAAAACTAAACTTTGTTTCTGTTTGTGATTCAAAACTATCACCTTGATTAAATGATTGGCTTCAAAAATTATGGGTCTTAGTCATTAATAGTTATGCAATCATTCAAACTAGGTTTAATTATTGGCAAGAACAGGTGTTTTTTTGAAGTTCTATTTTTAAGATGGCAGAAAGTAGATGAGGATAGCTTAGACGACAAGATGGAGACTGTTTAGCTTTGTAGTTTAATGGTTATGGAGAGTATTATTGGAAAGACTGTAAGATCTAAAATATAATTGGATTGATAGACATCTAATTTAAAGGATATTAATGCATAGCAAAGATAGAAGAAATGTTATGGAATAAGAATAAAAAGTTTTAAAGATTAATTTGCTAATGATATGAGAGATGGAGAAGAAGAAATAAATTGGTCTAGTGGTTGTAGATATAGAAGAGGATGGAAAAAGGGAAAACTAATATTGTATGGGTGTGCTGATAGATAGTAATGGAAAGAAAATATAAATGATGGAAACAAAGGTAAAAAATAATGATCATCATTATCAGAATTTATTTGCCTTAAATTTAACTTTCTATTTTATCTTAAATTTATTCTCATATTAGAGTTCTTATTTTTATAATAATTAAATTATTATGAATGTGAAGACTAGATTTTTAAATAGCGCTTCATACATATTTATATTTAATGTTAAATACTGCAATTCTATTCTGATCCTATATTTAAAAATATAAATAGCGCTAATTAATTATTAAATTAATTATGTTTCAATAGGAAGATGTATATAATTATTGTAAATTTAGAATCGTGTAAAGGCTAAAAGGGAAAATTATGCTGTCGAAATTAGAAACTAGAGCAGATTAGCAATATTTCATTAAAAAAGAAATTAATTTGCATCCTAAGCAACATTATATAAGTATGTGCCTGAAAATTTCTTGGAGTCGATTCCAGAAGCTGAGATTCAAGTATTTGTCACAGAAAAGCTATTGAATCCTAATAATCAATTGCCTTATATTTTGGAAGGCTTAAAAATTTTAAATGAAAAGAGGAAGTAATTAAAAATTTACAAACTACTCTAATCTAAATTATTAGAATTAATCACTCCTTTTGTAGGAGTATTATCAACTAAAGAAGAGTACTTATCGTACCTAGTGTATTATCATTTATTAAATATCATTTATTATTTAGATTAATCATAATTGGTTTTATTTTACAATATGACAGGGTTCAAGGAATTGTATTATTATATCAAGGATTCAACATTCGATTTTGTAAGAGCAGAAAAATTAGAAGTTGCTGCTTTTGGATTATTTACTATTGCAAATATTTTGAGTGAAAAGGCTTTGGTTCTCAAACATCCATTCATCACTCAATAATATCAATAGTTTTTAATGGACCTTACAATCCTTTAATAGAATATTAAGATAAATCCAACAGTGAATTTCATTCATGGTTTAATGTGGGTTTTGAGAAATTTAAGCCAATTATCAAACAATGTTTATTTCTAATTCTTTGATATCTTATAAATGAACATCACTTTCATAGAAAAGTTTCAAAACAATAATAATGATATTTCATTTCAAATAAGCCAAGACTTCTTACAAGGATTATCAACTATAACCAGAAACATGACAGAAGATGAGATAAGTGAATTATTTGCTACACATATCTAATTGCTGATATTTTTGATATCAAACCCTTGGGATCCAAAAGTACATCTGGAATAGGCTGAAGTTATTCGAAATCTTTTGTATGGTTAGGATGATGTAATTGAACAGCTCCTCTCACTTGGTTTAAGTGAAGTGATTATGAAATTAATGTCCAGCAATAATCAAGAAGTAATTGAGGAGACCATTGGATGCATTAGGAATATCTTTGGTGCGGAAGATGAAGAATTAATAACATCATTTTTAAATTAGCAGTAGTTACCACTCATCAAAGATTTATTGTATCGATGCACAGGTGCTAATAAATTAGAGGTAAGAAATGAGGCATTCGGAGCCATTTAAGTGTTGCTGACAAACTTTTAAGAATCAGCCGAAGTTGTAATCAAATTTGGAGGGATTGAAATCTTGGTGAATTCATTAACAGATACAGTTGGTCAAACAGAAATCATCAACAATATATTAAGTTCCTTACACCAATTACTTTCATTTGATTCTTCAATCAATTTGGATTAAGTCAAGTAATTGATCTTAAATTGTTCAGGAGAACAGATCATAAGTTAATATCTTGATAGTAAAGATGAATTAACGAGAACTTTGGCTTTTAAATTAATTGGATTTATCAATTTAGAGTGATGTTTAATTTCATTTTATATGAATATTCTAAATAAATATTATGATATAAGAAGAATAATATATAAATCATTTTTTTTTCATCAACAAAACTGCTTTATTAGGTGATTTTTATAATTATTATCCTTTTGAATTTAAGTTAGCAGAAAACAGTCTATTTATTGCAAAGCTTGTTTTATTTTAATATTATTTGTTATCTTTTTTTTAAATATTTAACAATGATACTGAATTAGAGTTCTGAGCATTTGAGTTTTCATTGATCTTTGATTGTAATTAGAGAGATTGTCCAAATGAAGGTGGTTTTTAATTAATCTTCTTTTGGAAAGCCTCTTATTGTTTCTTTTAAGCCTTTTCAACAATCTTTAGAAGATCTGGTTAGAATAGCTATTATTCTTGCAATCTATTTTTTTTCGTTTACTAATTCATTTCTTTTTGAGCTTATAAGATCTTTTACAGTCTTTTTTCTTTTAAAAATTCCTTCTTTTGATCTTTATTCATTTTCAAATAGTTCTCAAAATCTGAATCATAATTTTCATCTTCGCTTTCTTCAAACTTGTGCATTAATCTGGCTTATTTTTCCTCCTCAGTCTATTCCATATTGATTAAATCAATATTTGATACTTTTCCATCTCTTCTTTTGAATTCTCCTTTTAGAATCTTCTTTATATCATCCTTTTCTTATTTGTGTATTCTATCCATAAATATTTGAAATGCTCTAATTTCATTTTCTTCATCTAAATCATCTATCTTATCATCAATCATTTCCAATAACTCTTTTTCTATTATTTCGTTATCTTCATCTTCGTCATCATCTTTGATCTCTTTAACTACATCATCATGAGATTCATTATCAGATCCTTATTCTGCTTAATCCTCCACTAAATTTGATTCTATAAATTTCTTCATTTTCTCTCTTTCTTTTTATCTCTCTAATCTCAATTTCTTCTTCTCCTCTAATTCCTTTTCCTTTCTCTTTCTATCCTTAAACATAGTAGAAACCTTCTTCAATCGTCTAAACATATTTAAATCCTCTTCATTAATATCATCTGCTTGTTAATCATCATCACTAGAATCAATTAGAGCAAGTCTATTGGTTTTGTTGTTTTCTTAGACCTTATGATCTTCTTTCTTTAAATCATCATCTTGCTTTTTTTCTTCTTAGTCCTCTTCATCATCTTCATTCTAATCCTCATCTTCTTCATCAGCATCTGAGTGATTTTAATCTTTTTCTATATTAAACTTTCCAGATTTAATTTATTGAAGTTATTACTTTTCCTCATCATCAATTTAACTCATGGCATCGGATTTCTCTTCTATTATGGTACCATAATTTTTCTCTTTCTCAACTTCATTCTTTTCTTATTCTTCAATTTCTTTTTCAGTTAATTTACATTCCTTAACTTTATCATCTATCAATTTATTATTGTCATCACAGCTTTAACTGCTTCCATCATCAATATCCTCGCTTTCTTAATTAAGTTCATTTTATTAAGGCACAAAATCTTCATCAGGAGATGAATCGTCATCATCTTAACCGTTATTTGCCTTTTAATTTTGTTGTCTCTTCTATTCAATTTATTCGAAAGTGGTACTTTAAAATCTATTCATTAATTCATTTAATGATAAATTTATTTTGTTTGCTTTGTGTTCAACTTATTTTTATTGCAATAATTATTAAAACTCACTTCTTGAATAAGCTTTATTGCTATTATTTAAACTTGAAGATGTTTGGACAACCCTATCGAATCCCTTCTACTTTATTTTATTTAGAAATAGGGTATTTTCAAAGATTTTATCTTTAGCACCATTAATTTTTGGAATGAACAATTACAACTCTGGATCCTCAATGTCTTCTTAGGATAATCCTTTTTTCAATCCCATGGAATAGGTTTTTCTTAACAAAGAATTTCTGGATTCTCCATCTAGTTTCTAATTTTACTCTTCTTAGATAAATGAAGCTGCTTTTATTATCTATGGAAATTTGGGTAAATTATTTTGATTGTTTCCATTATTTCCATTAGATTCTAAATCTTAGGAAGGAAGGATGGTACTTGAGATTAATGACTTTTATGATTTCTATTGATCGCCAAAAACAAGCACATTTTATTTATATTATTACACTTTATTTAACATGTCTCGTTTTGCTTTTTATTTAATTGCACTTTCTTCAACTTATTGTTTCTCAAATTTTAGTTCAAATTAATCGGTGTCTATTTCTTAATAATTTTGGTTTTCATTTTAAAATTCAACTGGAGCATCCTCAAATTCAGTAAAGAATTTATGTCTATTTTTGATTAGTTAATTGATGTTTTTGGCATTTTAAGCTTTTCTTTTGTTCTGTTTATTATCAACTCCAAAAGTATCTCTTTCATTTCTATTACTTTCATATTCTATTTCCATTTCTCTTCTAGGTGGCTCATCTTCTTCCTCAGCTTAGATAAACTTTTTATTTAGTAAATTTTCAATAGTCTTCTCATTGGTTTCTACTCCTTTCTTTTTTGGCTTAACTTATTTTTATGGTTTTTCCTTAATTTATTTTTCTTAATTTTCCTCATTTTAATTGGCGGCATTTTCATTCTATTTTTTTTATCTGGGTTTGCGAGGTTTCTAAGAATTTTAATTTTATTTTTTCTATTTCTTCCTATTTGCCACCTCCTAGATATCGCTTTGATCACTAATTTCAATTGAATCGGGTTATTCAGCCTAAAACACATCCTTTTATTATTCCACTATTTCCTCCTCTGAACTTTTGGCTCTCTATAGTCTTCCTCTAATTGGAGCAGATACTTCTTGAACTGAATTTGAATCATTCTCTGACATTGGTGTAAATATCTTTATTTAATTATTACTCTAAAATGTATTATAAATAATCATTTGTTCTAGTGCAAACTAGTTAATTTTCTAATCGACTTATATATATAACATAATTTAAATACATTTACATTTAACTCTTTATGCTTTCAAATTCGAGTAAATCGAGTAAATAGCATTAAGACTATCACTCCGAATAAATCAAACCAAGCATATTTAATAAATATATATATATTTTAATTTAATAATGGGTCTTGCATGCGGGGCTCTTTGTTCTCGGGAGAGAGACAAAACCACAAAAAGTGAGGCAGATTTAGCAGAGTTTGCTTTTTATCAGCATCTAGAAGAAACTAGAAGCCAAGGTTCTTATCGAAGAACAGCTTGTATGATGGTATCAATTTGTTAAACATCTAATTAAGCCTATTTCAGAGTTTGGTGGATTGATGAATAGTGCATCGAATTATTGGATTAACAAATAATAATATCAAGTTTGTGGAAACAACAGGCCTATGTTTACTTATAATTTATAAAATCGAAATCTCTTATTAAAAATCGATAATTCCGTTTTTACCCTTCAGGAGAGATAATGTGCTATCAGAATTCAAAGATGGTGGAGAAAGAAGCAAGAAAAGGCAAGAAAAACTAAAAAACATTCAAAATCCTATGTGAATCTTTTTTATCGTTGATTATTTTTTCAAATTCACTTCCCCAAACTCTGCTTCATTCAATATTAAAAATGTTCATCCTTAATGTTTTATTATTTAAATTATATTAAACCAACTGCAAGAATTAATAAAAACTAATAATTATTAATATGACTACATTTATTAATAATCTAACCGAAGACTCTTTTCGTATTATTCAAATAGATAGAGTCATCGTTGATTAGATTACCCACTCCTCTCCTCCCCAAAAATTATTCAATAATATCTGTTACATAATTTTATTGCTTTTTAAATAAAGGATTCAATCTTTCTGAAAATGTCTTAACAGCAACGTGTGGCTAGAATACTTCAAAGTAGTGGGGACTTTTATACTTTTCCTTTATTTAACATTATAATTATTTGAATTTGATATTAAAAAACAATTCTACATTAAAATTTATTGATTAAAAGAAGTGGTAACTTTTGACGACAATAATACTACAATGAGAGCCTTATATTATATATTATTTTTAATTTTATCTTCTTGTTCCTCAAGTGTAATTATGAAGGATAATTGTTAAATCAAATTTAGACTTTTCTATCGTTTATGTTTTAAAAAAAGCCCCAACCTATTAGAATTAAAATAATTCTATAATTAGTAGACACTCTCAGTCTACATTTAAAAAGGGATAATAATTTTTGGGGATTTATTAATTTCTTTAACTATTTTTTTTAAAAGATTTTAGACATGATTTTTACTCTGTTAACTACCCTCTTATTTTATGCTTTAGGCTCCGAAACAAATGACGTTGAGCTATTTTAAATAAAGATTTAGGATGTTTCATTCGACTAGAGCACAAAGACTATTTCTTTAGACGAACAAACATTAATATTTACTAAACATTTTAGAACTTATGAATCTAAATATTAAATTGAATTAAGCCTCTTAGACATTTATAAAAATCAATTAATCAAAAGAGTACAGGTTGGGAACTCTAATATGGAAAATTATCAACCTTAAATAATTCTTATTAATAACTTCATTTATGTTGTCCACATCAGTCAAAATTTAAGTATTGTTAAATTAGGCTTGAAGAAATACGACCTAAACCTAGTGGAACAATAGGTTGAATACACATTTGGAGATTCCTTAGAATCCGCTAAATTTGATTCAACAAAGAAATATATTGATCTTACTCCATTAAATAATACTGCTTTTTCTATAATCTGGAAGTCTAGAGCTCAACTAGCGAACGAATATTAATGGAATTACATCAAATATGATGCTAAATCCGATAAAACAACTCCAACACTGACTTTCCAAGATAGTTATGATATAGCTATAGCTCAAAATCTATTTGGGATAGTTGGAATAGCCCAAATCTTTAAATCTACAATAAATATAACAAAAATTGAAAATGATAAGATTATCGATGTAATTTCATTCTTTTTGAACTCTTATGCTGATGAAACGTGGGCAGCTTGTAATATTTATTCATTACCTGATGGCGAATTTATCTTTTTCCAAAACAATTATAACATGCTTTTCGTTCGTTATGATCGATATTTTTAATAGAAGAGTAATTTTATGAACCCATAAAATTATTTTTGCGATGGTTTTAATTAAAAGTTAGCACTATTTTAATATCAATATCAATTATTTATTATGTCATAAGGATATGAATTTCTATGTTTCACTTAGTTTGATTTTTCAAACTAAAATTTAAAAATACTATAGACTAGGAAAATCATAAAGGAAAAATTTTAGAATTCACAATTATTTTAAAGAATCGATCAAATAGGTTTTAATAAATTTTCAATTAAATGGTTGAGTAATATTAATTAAGTCTTTGAGTTGAATGCTTTGAAGTTAGACATGAATAGAAAACAAAATGAATGTAAACTAAATTGTAAATTATGTGATCCATAATTTAAATGCTTAACCTGTTAAGATGGATTTACCTTTGTAAGTGTCAATAATGAGTGTATTCCATTATGTCCTGATAATTGTGATACCTGTAGCGAACCTTCTTATTGCATAAAATGTAAAACTGGATATTAATACTCATCTGAGAACCTTTGCATCACTCCTTAAAATATTATCAATGAATTAAGGATAAGCGATGAATAACTGCAAAAAGGACAAACTCGAGTCTCAGTAAAGGATAATGAAATTCTTATCTTGTATAGTTTAATTGAAAACTACAAGCAATCAAAACTTGTTTTAAAAAAGCTTAATAGCTAAGGAGCCCTAATCAAATAAATTCAAATTGAATAACAACAAAATGAAATAATTGATTTCGATGTATCCTCTGCAGACGAAATTTCATCTTTTCACATCCTAATCAAATGGTTTACAGCCGATTCTATCATCAAAACCATAGATTATGAATATGATTTTGAAACAATGGAAGTTTTAAAGGAAAAAATTCTGAATATCAACTCATAATTGCTGGTTGGAAATGACTAAATACGAGTTGTTCAACTTAGGAATTAAGATGTGTACTATATATATTATTACTATCATCAAGACTATCGATAATATTTCCTTTGTTCTCTAAGGCTAGATGATTATAGCAATTAATATTGTAGCATGTATTATGAATAAATTCAGTAAATTGATATTTAAGTAAGTTAAAATATTATTTATTTCAATGCAACTACATCAAGAGGAATTTATTAAAATAAAATAGAACAAAGTTAATAAAGCCAATAAAATTTTTATCCAAAGGAATTAGATTATAAAAATTTGGTTACATATGATTCATATTAAATTTACTTGGAATATGATGAATATTTCAATAAACAATTATTCATAAATTTCACTGCCTAATTCCAAAATTAGTTACTGTAAATCTCTTAATCTACCAGAAATATCAAAGAGTTCTCATCTTAAAAATTTAGATAATAATATATGATCCTTGTTTGGATAGGTTTTTATAATGTAGAACTTGAAAATCCTGTGAATCAAGTTTTTACTTAAATTGTGGATCTGCATACATAAGAATTGACTAATTTTAAGAATTAGATATGTAGTAAAAGTTGCGCTTCTTGTACAGATCAGGGTTTGTGTCTGGAATGCAAAAATAATAAATACCAAATTTAAAGTGGTAAATGTGTATTAACTTGTGAAAACAATTGTGAATTGTGTGAAGTTGAAAACTAATGCTTGTAATGTTCTAATGGGTTCTATTTAAATGAAAATTTACTATGCGATTAAACATAGGAATAAGACATCTATTAGCAAGATAATTTAATTTTATCTTATACTGCATCATATGATGATTAAATCCTATAAGTCGCATTAAAAAAAAATAGTTCAAGATACGATGTCGTTTTTGAAGCTTACAATAGATAAGGATAATCAAAATCTGGAGAAACCAGGATTTCAAGTGATTAAGATATTGTCTTATTTAATCGTCCTAAAGTCCTTAAAGTTAATAATTAGATTGTCATCTAATACGTAACAAAAAATCAAAATTAAGAAAATGTTGGATAATTTGTTTTCTTGGATGATGAATATCTTTCCATTTATAGTTTTTCAACTTCTGCATTATTTGGTAATGAAGATGTTATAGATTTCATTTCAACTGATGATCTCAAAATCCATATTTTATACTTTTAATATTCATATTATTATTGGGAAGGAGAATAAATTATTTTAAGATATGACTAATATTCAATGAAAAAAATTGGAAATCCCAAACTTACTGCTTACTAAAGTCGTGTTATAAGTAGAATTGATAAGTAATAAAAAGTTAGAAATATATAAATTATGAAAAACTTACTATTGTAAAAACTAACTGCATCATATATGTACACTGAAGATAAAGTAGAATCGTTCAAGGTAATGTATATAAATGAAGCATTGGATTATTTTTGGTTGGATACATAGGAGAAATTTGAATATTATTTTAATGACTATTTAGTGTGGATGGTGTCTTATGAAAAAGTGAATTCAAATTTAGTCAAAGTTAAATTTTACAATTAAAATCAAGAATTATAATAAGAACACACAATTGAGTCCTAAAAGTAATTAAATTCGTTTTAAATATAATTATAGCCTAAGTTCATTTATTTCATTTACACAGAGCAATCAACAACTACAAGTAGTATGAATATTTAAGTGATAAAATACTCATTAAATGGAGAGCAGTTAACATCAAGATCATTATATCACAATGAACTGATTATTTAAGGATTATCATCTTCATTAAATGACGATTTGCTATATCTAACTTGGTCATCCTTTAATAATAATAGAATATTCAAGGTAAGATTTAACTCAGAATTGAACACTATTCCTTTCGTTGAATAGACATGCAATACTAATTGCGAGATTTGTGATAGTAATTTAATTTGTACTCAGTGTGCTTCTGATTACTAATACAATGAATTAACTAAGAAATGTGAACCAATATGCGCTGAAAATTGCTTTTCATGTAAATAACCCTATACTTGTGATTATTGTAATGGTAACTCAAAATTCATCAATAATAAATGCAGAAGTCTTTCTGACCTTAAATTGGAAACCCCAATTTGTTAAGACTCCTGTTATGGCTTGCCATCAATAATAACCTTTTCAGATGAAACCACAATATATTCATATCAAAAATATGAAAATTCACAATACAAGATAAATCTTAATATAAAGTACCAAACTCAGACTAGTTTATTATAAGACTAAAATCTCTTAAGTCAAGATCAGGAAATTGCTTATCATTATTTATATTTATATGAATAGAATCAAATAGCCTTAATTTGGTTGAGTGGAAATTGTTAAATCTAATGCAGACTCATGTTACAATTATTCTAAAAAGATTTATAAGTTCTTTCCAATCCATATGAATTGAGAATAATGAAAGTGAAAGTTAATAATTTTAATTTGCAAATATAAAAGTTCAATAACAATATGCTATTATTATGGACAGAATTAGATGTGAATGATAAGAGTTAAACGATGCTAGGGGAATACAGTATGACTAACGGATTTTCACTTAAATTCAACATAAACTAAAATGAAAATGATGATTCCTCATTTGCAAGTTTATTAATTTAGAGTGGCTATTATTAGATAATATACCTTAAAAATAATTTGATAATAAATTCATTGACAGTGGATGGGTCTACAAACACTTATAAAGTAATTTATACATCTAAAAGACCAATCACATCGTTGGCTGCTACAAATTTACAATATTATGGTATTTTTATGGTTTGGGTTGAACAAGAATAAATTGGACTTTATTTATCATATAATTACTTAGTTTCATAATGGTTTGATCAAAATTTAAATGCTAGAGGTTCTTAAATCAATTTACTAAAAAGTGTTTAATAAATTAAATAATTGGCTCTCTCTAATTCATTAATTTATGATTAATGCTTCTTGTCATTTTTAATTGAAGAATTTAATGGTTAATATAGAATTAGATATAAATATTATAGCTATTATGACTCTTATGCGGATTAAAAATTAGAGAATTTTAAGATTGGAAATGCTTTATCATAATATGCATTTGATTATGGCTACAGGATTTATAAATAGCCAAACTCATTAAGTTTGATATTTTCAGGTTTTATTGGTTCATCTCAGTAATTATTCTTTTTAAATGACGAACAATAACCAACGCTTATAGGTAATTGCTTCTAAAGAAATAGTAAACAGGAATGTGTATTGTGTAGACAAGGGTATTATTTGTTTGAAAATGAATGTGAATTAGAATTGCCCTAGCATTGTATTGATGGCAACGATGGAATCTGTGAAGTATGCGATTTAGGATACAAATTGACTAGTGATCATATCTGCTCATTAGATGATTAAAGATACAAAGAAATGAAAATGAATGCTTATGTCTTGTAGAGTAAATAAAGAATTACCACATTTAAGAATGGTGACTATGTAACTGTTTGGTATAGACAATACTATGAAAATCAAGGAACAGGTGTGTTTATGTCTATGTTCAATGCACATGGTAAGAAAATATTGGAAGAGAAGAGAATTAGTTTATCATTTGCAGGAATTCAAATCTATCCTGATGTTTAGGCTTTAGACAATGATTAATTTTGTGCTGTTTGGATTGAAGGAGATTTATAAGTGTCAGCTAAGATCAAACTTCAAAGATTTACAAAAGACTTAGTTAGAGTTGGTGATGAAATCATAGTCAAGGAAAATGTTTAATTAAAACATGCATAAAGATTTGACACACCAATAATGATATAATCTATAGTTAATGGATATGTAATTGTGTGGACCCAAAATTATTTGGAATCAAATAGAATTGTAGAAAAACTTCATGTTGTCTTTTATGATTTACAAGATAAATAATAAGGTTTCTTTGTTTTGAACAAATAAGAATCAATTATAAATTCTGAACCTGTTGTTGCATCAAATGATCAAATAATTGTAATTGTATGGCAATCAGATTTTGGAATCATAGCAAGCAAATTTAGTCTTAACTATGTTTTTATTAGTTAATAGATCCTATCAGAAAATGGCCAAGCTCCTACAATAGGTGTTTTAAGTGATAATAAATTCATTATTGCATGGAGAGAAACCTTTGTTAATAGCAATGATATCATGAGTCAAAATATTATGTATAGAAAATACTCTTCTAACTTGAATAACTGGGAATTTAGTAATTAGATCATAATTCCAGACCATAACTTGAATAATCCTGATGTTCTGGCTACACTCAAAGGATTTGCCATCATTTTTGAAAACAGACATGCAATGATGAGTGATTTAAGGAATCTTAAAATGTAATTATTTAATCTAGATGGATATTAAATTACACAGATCATCGATGTTTACAATGAATGGAATCTATATCCCCATCATCCTTAATTAACATAGCTACCTTAAGGTGAATTCCTGGTTTCATGGACTCTGAGTTTGTTATAAGAAGCAAGCTTTTAGGATGATTTATACATGAAGAGATATAACAGTGAAGGAATTTAATTACCAATGGATACTGTTGTTTGTCCATAGAATTGTTTACAATGCAATGAAAGTGATGTTTGCCTAGTTTGCCTAAAGGATTATGTTCTTAACAATAAAGTCTGCGTTGAATCAATTCCTCATTGCACAGCATATTTAGCAAATAGTGTGGAATTAGTTTGTTAAACTTGTGAAGCAGAATATTAGTTGACTCAAAACATTTGTTTCTAAGTAAGTAAATTAAAATAACTCAATGTTGAATTCATAAACGAAATCACTTCCTAATTTGCTATTGTCAAATTTACAAACAGTGACATTTTATTCGTTTGGGTGGATATAGACAAATTAATGTTCTAAAGGTTTGATCAATATGGTAAATAATATTATCCAGCAAAATTCTCTTTTAAATCAACCATGAATCAACCTGATTAAACTCCAGCATTTGATGCTTGTGAGGTTGAAAATAACTACTTTGTTTTTGCCATGTCAAATTTTCAAAATATAAATTTTTTGATTTATGATAACACTGAAACACTTTAATTTTAAACCATGTACTAAATAAACTAAAATAATAACTTCTAAATTTAGTCCTTAGTTTTGAAATATTTGGGAAATAATTAAATAGCAATGTTCTTTTAAGGATTTGACTAATACAATTAAGCATAATTATTTATGTAGATTTTTAAGATTAACCAATAAAATGGAGTTAACTACGAATTATAAAGTTAAATATTAGTTCTTTAAATGTAATAATAATTATAATCTTAATTAATTGATGTTTAAATTATTAACAATTAAATTAAAATATGCATTGAAAATGTCGAAAAATCAGAAATAAGATACATTTACAAAATCTATGATTTCTTTGGCAATTTAGTAAAAACAATTACAAAGAAGAATGACAACACTTAAGTAGAATTCAAGATGATGGAATTATCAGATGGATCATTCCTTGAAGTGTGGACTGAAATTAGTTATTCTAAATATGAAGTATATTATGTTGTAAAGGCAAATAACAACAATTTATTTGAACCCAAGAAATTGTCTACAAGTTCAGAATTATATAAGCTTGATCTAAAGACTCATATGTTGAGTGATTCAATAGCAGTTATTTGGAGAGAAGGTTCTTACAAAGGAGACATGACAGCTAATACAATTTACAAGACTGTTTTAATATCCAAAGAAGACTATCAGAAAACTACTAATCCACAATAGTTGAACTCAGACAGTTTTGTTAAGCAAGGAGTGGACAACTTTTTGCGAATAATCTAATTGCCAAATTAAGATATCGTGATTGGATGGATTTCTTATAATTTCTAGGCTAAATCAAATGCCATCTCTGCTATTAAGTTAAATTAAATAGGCGAAATCTTAGAGTTTAGTTAATATAGATGCTCAAATGGATGCTAAGAGTGCACAAACCTAGGTAAATGTATAAAGTGCTACAATGAAGAAAAATATATATTAAATGCGATGGGAAATTGCATTATTAAGTAGGGAAATTGCCAAAACTTTTAGACTGATTGTTTTCATTGTTTGGAGGGATATTATAAGGACAGATACAATCAATGTAATGAAATAAAATAAAATGTGGAAATAGATTTTATAGATGTTCCTGCCTTTTAATACAATCTTTATCAAATAGCAAACTATAAAAATGGTACTTTCATTTTGGCCTAAAGAAATTCAGAAACATCATTAGGAGTTAGAGTAATCAATTAAGAAGGGACTTTAGTAAGGGAGTATTAGATGATCCTTGAAATGTCTTCAGAAGAAGCATATGGGATAACTATACTTTACTTTTAAATTATTATTGATGATTAAGATGTTTTGACTTTTGTTTATATCACAGGCAACTCAAATTAGCAGTACTTTTCAAATTAAGTAATTGAACAATATGATAATCAATTAAACAGAATTGGGGAGAGAAAAATGATTCTTTTGAATACATATTCATATATGTACTCTTCTCCTATAAAGTTCATTCTCTAATATCTAAAAAATAATTTAATTGGAATAGCATTACAATTAGATCAAAGAGTATTTTTTAGTTTGTATAAATCTGATCTTAGTGAATTAATTGGAAACATTATAATCCCAAATAAAGAAAAATTTGAATTTGCATCAAATGGAGAGCATATTGTCTATGGGTATATAGAAAATTAATGTGACGTGCAATTTTAACCGTGCACTGTGATAAAAATTTATGATAAATAATTAAGGTTTATGAAGGACATACAAATAAACGATGCACAATATGTTAAAATTGCTATTAATGATCAATTATAATTTATAGTACTTACCCAATCCTAAATAAATATCATAGACAAGGCATAATTAGTTAAATCTAACCTTATAAATTAATAAATGACACTTCCAATTTCAACTTTTGTTAATTCAAACAACGAATTAGTGATCTTTTCTTTTGATTAAAAAAATACATACACTTTATAGTTAACATATTTTAGTTTTGATGGATCAGCAAAAAGAGAAGTCTAGGTTAATATGAAAAACATAGAATCTGTAATCTATGGGCTATTTTATCTTCAAAATACAGATATTATCATTCTTTTTTCTGCGATCACAATTGACCCTATTAATTTTGGAAGCAAAGCTCTAATAAGACTAGCAAGATTTGATTAATTTGGAGCCTCTTAAAGTACAACTTAAATCATATGTCCTTAAAATTGCGAGTTATGCTACCAGGAAGCTACATGTAACATCTGCAAACCTGGATACAATAGGAATGAACAAACTTTATTATGTGAGAAAATCTGTACTATTGAAGGTTGCCAGTCATGTGAGAATTCTGATTGTGATGTTTGTAAGGACGGAATGTTCTTTAGTTTTGATGGACGTTGTGTAGCACTCGTTTAAGATCCATCTACCGATGCAAATGTGAGATATACTATTGATAAGCAATTTTATTAGGAGATTAGGAAGAAGGTGCTAAAATTCTCAAATAATGAATTTGCTTTGATATATTAGGCTAATGATTTTGTAAGATATTAAAGATTCAATGCATAAGGATAGGAATTGCTGCTTTCTGATTTCAATGTAAACGCTTAGATCGTATCCTTGGATGCTGCAATTGTCAAAGGTCAAATTTATATTGTAATAGTCACTAGTTTAGAGCCATAAAGTTATTAGATTTATTCTTTCATCGAGACACTCAAATCATTTAAACCACTCCTTACCAATTAACTTCCATATCAAATTACCTCTGCAACTATCAAAGCCTTTTCATCAAGCTATGTTATTCTAGTTACCTCATACGATAATTATTATTTTGATTTCGCATACATGCAATGTTTAACTCAATCCCTCTACTTCTATGATGAATTCAACTAAATAAAGGATTCCAAAATCAATTTCAATAATCCAGTACCCTTTACATATGGAGATTGCAATATCAATAAAATAAGTAACCTTTACATTTTTTCAGACATCCTCTATACAATAATTACCAGTTAAACATATTTAAGAATAATTGCGCTGAATTCTTAAGGTTAAAATTTTGGTGAAAATCCATTAGACATACCAAATATAGAATAGATTGAATTCACCTTAGATTCCGAAGAGATTGTAATTCTTTTCAAATAAATTGGAACATAAGCTTGGAACCTAAGGATCATGAATACTCAATTTTAGGCCCTATTTAATAAGGACAATTATCTAAAAGGTGATTTAAGTGTTGACATGGTGACAACAAACTCAAATATTGTTATAGCTTGGAGTCAGAAGAACAAATAATCAATAGTGGAGTTTGTAGTGTTAGATAGATTGGGAACCAAAATCAAATCTAATTATATTAATGGACAATACAGTTCACTACCATAGTTGACTGAATTAGACAATCAAATTGTTTGCTTGCTTTGGAGTGTGTGGACTAATCAATAACAATGGACCGTATCATATTCTCTATTAGATAAAAATGGTGTGTTCACTCCATTCACACATGTTGTTTGTCCTTAGTATTGCTTGTAATGCAGTGAGTCATCAGATTGCTCATAATGTAAAGATGGATATGATCTAATGACCTATTATATGGATGATAAAACAACACATAGGGTATGCTAAAAAAGATGTGACCCCTTCTGTTTAGCTTGCGAATCAGGAAGATGTTTGAGATGCTAAACATAGTATTATGTTGGTTTGGATGGAGTTTGCATATGGAATGAATTTGAAAATAAGGCTATTCAAATCAATGAGTTTAATTAGTATAGTTAAGTTACACCAAGTGCAGCTAAGTTTTAAGATGGTTCAATTTTGATGGCTTGGTCGAGTAATAATGAAGATGAGGATAGTTGGGGAGTGTTTGCTTAATTGTTAAATAATCAGGGATAGAAGGTTGGAAACAATTTTAGAGTGAGTTAAAGTGTCTTTGGTGCATAACATAGTCCATAAGTGGCAGTGCTAGAGGATGACACAGCAATCATTACATTTATTGAGGGTAATCCAGAAAAGGAAGCCATGATTAAAGGAATCAGATTTAATAATCATCTAGACATTATAGGGAATGAGCAACTGTTTACTATTTTCCATTTAGAGAATTTCTAATTGAACAATAATTTCATCAATAAGATAGTAAGTTTAAAAAATGGTGGATTTGTTATTATATGGGTGTCTATTAATCAAATCAATCTTCAATTCTATGATTCTGCCAGCAATCTCGTGATTTAGACATAAATATTGAATTAGATGTAGTATTAGAGTTTGGAAGTGGCTGTGACAACTACTGAATTAGCTATTCTATATTAAATTGCTGGCTCTAAATATAGTGTATGCATCTACTCATAGGAGGGAGTCTTGTTATCTGATTAAGAATTGTAAGGTTGGGATAATGATCTAATTAATCAATTTAAATTGATTAGCATTTCTCATTACTTTGCTTTGGCTAGTATTATCCAGGTTTCTGACTCTTAGAAAGTCAAAGTGCAATTTTACAACAATTAGTTCTCTCCAGTTGGTAATTCAATCATTGTGGCTTATAATTCTTTTAACCCAAACTAGAAATATGCCTACTTCTAAAAGATAGATTTCTTCAGTTTAAATGATGGGGCGTTGTTGATTTTGGCTGAAAGCATGGATTTGGCTTTGTATCGTTAATTTTATATTGATATCAACTGGTAAGTGACTGAATTACTGCCATTCGGATTCAACTTCTAATACTAATTCATTGCCTACCAAACAAAATTGTATGTGTTATCAAATATCAATGCTGATCAGTATTTCATTTATTGTAATGCTCCTTCATAAAATGATCAAATATATTCAACAAGTTCTGTCAATTAGAACATCTATATCTAAAGATTATCGAAGGAACCAAAAATAGTTCCAATTGATTAGATCGTTTGTTCTAGAGATTGTAGATCATGCGCTACTTAAAACACTTGTACCCAATGTTTGGACTAATATTTACTGTAGGATCAATTTTGTATGCCATAATGTGAAAGTAACTGTCAAGTTTGTTTGATACCAAAGATTTGTGAAATTTGTTATGATGGATACTATTAGAGAGTACAAGGTAAATGCTCACCAATTCCAGTCAATTATCAAGAACCCCAACTTCTGCTGAATTATCCGTTCTAAAACAATCTGATTGATTTGAATGTATTGCCTAGTGGATAAACAATTCTTTACACTTAGTAGACCTTATTTGATCAATAAAAAGAAATATTCACTCTTTACATTTACTAAAACAATGATTTGATTAAGCAGATTTCGGTTTAAACGAACACATTAACAACCAATTATTACTTTATATATCCATTTTACATTGAAGAGAATTATTACTTGCTGTTCCATATGAATGATGGCATTAAGATTATTAAGTATAATGCCCAGCAAGAGGAAGTGTTAAACACTTTCTTGAAAATAGAAACTATTGATACAGAAATCAACATTTGGAATATCATTTTAAATCCAATTGGAATTAATCAATATTCCCTGATCTATTACAAGATGTTCTTCGGAGTATATAGAGTGTTGTATGATGAAGCATTCAATGTGATTCAAAAAGAATAGATCTATGATTGCAGTTCAGGTTGGTATGGTTTCAACAGAATCAAGGATTCGATCATGTTATCTAGATATGATGAAAGATTAACATTTACTAATTCACTAACCATTTAACAAACAAAATAAGTTTGCCTGTATTCGGAAATATTCCATTACTATTCTTGTGATATTTACTAACTGTTTAATGGCAATAAGATTTAAATTATTTCAGGAACCCAAAATCTTAAGTATGATAGTAACAATGATCTTGAATCAAACTATCAGGTGTATTATAGAATACTCGATAGCTAAGATATACCCTTAACAACTGAAGCCTTGGTGTTAGAGAACAAATTTTCCAATCAACAATTTGCTTAGTTATTTGCATTTTAAGATTCATTCACAATAATAATCGAAAAGCCAAACTATCATAATTACGAAAACATTGAAATATATTCATAGAGATTCGACAATGCCGGTATGAAAATTGGAGATCCACAATTTGTTCTATTCAATAAAGGATGGCAGAAAAGATTCTATAAGCAAACTTCAAATGGATACATAATTTACCAAGAGTAAAGAATATTCTAATCAAGTCTTCCAGTAGACTAACAATAAGTAACCATTTATTATAAACAATATGACTAATTCGGTAATATTTCATTTTGGAGCACAAATAAGAACTGCATAGCCAATTGTGATAAGTGTATCAACTCCTATTACTGTGAATAATGCAGTCAAAATTACTAATTGGATACGAACAGCAAATGTAAATTAACATGTCAAGACAATTGTAATCAATGTACCAGTTTTGAAGTTTGTGACGCTTGTAACATCGGATATAAATTAGTAAGTGGACTATGCGTTAAAATTATTTGTGTTAGTAATTGTGCATAATGCTTAGAAGACACCACCACTACAACAACAACCTATTGTAAATTGTGTGACGATAATTACTATCTCAGCACTGATAATTAATAATGTCTTCCTCATTGTCCTGCTAATTGCAGTCAATGCAGTGTTCCTCTTGAATGCTAAACTTGTGCTTTCGGTTATGTAGTAACATCAGACAAAAAGTGCCAATAAGAAAACTCATCAATACTAGATTAAATCAAAAATACCACTGTGGGAACACCCCTTATGGCTACATTCCCAGATGGCAGCTACATCCTTATGTGGTACTAAAATGGAGATAATGCTGGTGTCTATTTCTAATTGTATTCTGCCGATAATGTAAAGGTTGGAGACCCAATGAAAGTTACTGGAAATGCTAGAAGATTGTTAAGTCAACAATCCATCATCTAAAACTTTTATGCAGACATAATTTCAATTGATTATGAATTCTTTGTTACTTGGATGGATGCCTCTTCGGCCGCAACCGACGTTAAATTGAAGAAGTTTTCCTCTGATGGAACTGCTTAAAGCCAAGATATTCTATTGGGAACTCATTAAAAAACAGATTTACAAGACATTAAAATACCTTGTCAAATTAAAAAGACTCCAAACAATTCTTTATTGATTGCTTATATGGCCAAAAACGATAATTTATCTAATGAATTCTCCATGTTCATTTCATCATATGACTCCCTCATGAATAGTAAGACAGCAGTTCAGGAAATTAAAAAGGTTAACTAATTAGCTGCTCCATCTATTGTGGCCGATGAAAATGGAATAATCTCCTTAACTTATTAAAGTGATGGCTATGTCTTTGTTCAATAAATCACTGAAGATGGCAACTTGATTGATTCTCCAAAAGCAATCGCCGACTCTAATTCCATCAATTTAAGAGTTACTAACTTGGCCAATGGAATCATGGTGTTTTTATGGGAAAACAAAAACCTATAGTTATCCTAACCTCAATTCATCTTGAATTACTAATTGATATCTAAGGATCTAAAAACAAGAAGTGAGGTTAAGAGTGTTGGTGACATCTAGATTGCTTCCTTGACTCCAGATATCTAATCATTTAATGAAGGATTTATAGTCGCCTGGAAGATCACTGACTCCAATTATAAATCAATTGGAATTGAATTTTAGATCTTCGATTCCATGGGTATGTCTAGTAGTCAAATCATTGAAGTTTAAATCGAAGGCATTTATCCTCAAACCCCAAGGATATAAATTATCAATGAAAATCAATTTGCCGTGACTTGGACAGCCAAAAATATTGATTCTGATGGAACAATTCTAGGGGATGGCATTTTTATGTAAAAATACAATAAATATGGAACCTTAATTACAGATTCATCTTCCTCTTCTGATCTTTGCAGTTATTAATGTCAAAGTTGTCAATCACCTCTGGTTTGTTTGAAATGTTAATACGGTTTCTATTTGAACAAAAACAATTAATGTATTATGGATTGTGGTGCTTACTGTGATTCTTGTGAAATCCCTTGGACATGTTAGGTCTGTAAGTAAGGCTATAAATTAAATAACAATGAAGCTTGCATTGAAACTGAATGTCCCGAAGGCTACTTTAGAAATACATCTACTAAACTTTGTGAACCAAAGTGTCCTGATAACTGCGATGACTGCACAGTTCCAAATATTTGCACTACTTGTAAGATTGGATATTCACTATCTGATTCTTCTTGTAACTCAATTGTGGAACTTGATAATTAATCTACAATCATGGCTATTGTGATTATTATCTTGGCAGCTGCATTCATAAGTGTGTCAGCTTGTTCAATCACCTTGTATTGCAAATATAAAAAATTGCTCAAAGAACCAAGCTATTGCCAAGTACATCCCGTCTAAGAAGTAAATAAGAGTGTTAGTAATGTAAGCTGCAATGTCAGTGTCATTAGATTGAGACAAAATGAATGAATGATATATTTTTTCACATTGCAAAGATTTAAAATAATATGTTGTACTATATTTTCTTATGCTTTATAATAATAATCTCTCATTATTCATTTGGCAATCTTTTTTTTGGTGAAATTTCTCTAATTTTATGGCTCTTATTTGGGATTTGGTTTTGCTTTTTTTGCTTTCTTAGCATTCTTTGCTTTTTTTGCTTTCTTAGCATTCTTTGCTTTCTTTGCTTTCTTTGCTTTCTTTCCATTTTCTATTTTAAATGGCCCATCCTCTTTTATTTGATCCTCCTCTTTTATTTGACCCTCCTCTCCCAAATCTAATTCTTTTTCTCTATCTATTAAAAGTTATATTAATTATTTTACATTATAGATCATAACATTCACTTTCTGATTCATTTTTCTATTTTTAAACTCTTTTCTAAATAGGAGGATCAGTAATAATCTAGCAATTCAATTCCTCATTATTTGATTGTGGATAATATTCATTTTCATTTTAAAAGTTTTAGTTGAATGATTCTTCGTTTTATTCTACAGAAGGTATTTTACATGATTGATCATCAAATCCAACTTCTGATGAATTTATCTAATTTTCTTTGTTAATTGATTGTACAGAAATTTGATTTTAGTTTTAATTTTTCATCTTATCACATCCTTAACTATCTTTTGTATTTTAATGTTATTATAAAGGATAACTTGACTGCATTGATCCGTCTTAAAAGATTTTGGGGCTGCAATGCTAGCTTTATATGATTGGTAATTTAAGGCCTGATTCTACAAGACCTATTCCACTTTGATTATTATCTTATTCACCTTTTTATGAATTTGTCTTTTCTTTACATATCATTTTACAAGAAGTTTAATGTACATCCTAATCAGTTATCGAGTATCTTTTTGTTAAAGACGAGGTAATGACTCTATTATTATTATAGCTATCTTATTCATTAAACAGTTATTATTCACTTTATTATTGTATATTAACTTATTGATCTGTAATTTATTAGACCTTTTTTTAATTTTTTATCTTACAATTTACTTTTTAATTAATTAACTTTAGAGTTTATTTTTTGATATGTTTACTCACTGATGATATTGTTTCTACACTAATTTAAGGACATTTTTTGAGTATTTTGTTAATAAGTGCACTACTCTTATTTTCATCATCTAATTCTGATTTTAATTTTATAAACTCAACTCGCCAATCCTCCCAAAGAAATTCTAAGTCTTTTTTTTTAAAATTAAAGATATTTTTTTGTTTTTTGTTAGTTTTGACAGTTTTTTCAGTTTTTTTATCTTAGATATATTTAATCAGCATACCTAATACCTATAGTTGCGTATTAATAAAATTAATCTTATCCTAATTAAAGTTTGATTATTCCAACTATTTCAACTATTCCTACTATTCCTACTATTTCGACTATATCAACTATTCCAACTATTCCAACTATTCCTACTATTTCGACTATATCAACTATTCCAACTATTTCAACTATTCCAACTATTCCAACTATTTAAACTATTCCAACTATTCCAACTATTCCAACAATTTCTACAATTTCAACTATTTCGACTATTTCAACTATTCCAACTATTTTAACTATTCCAACTATTCCTACTATTTCAACTTTTTCAACTATATCAACTGTTCCAACTATTCCAACTATTTCAACAATTCCTACTATTCCAACTATATCAACTATTCCAACTATTTCAACTATTCCAACTATTCCAACTATTTCAACTATTTTAACTATTCCAACTATTTCAACAATTTCAACAATATCAACTATTCTTTTATATCCGTTATTGTATCATTTATCTTGCTATCATTAAAAAAGATCCTTGGAATTCGTTATGTTATTTTTAATTCCTCTAATTTTTTGTTTACTTCCACTTAATTGAACGATAGTGCTATTTCTAATTTCTTCAATTTATTGTTTGTTTACACTTAATTCAATGATAGATCTATTTTCATCACTTCATCTTATGGAATTTCTTATTTATTGTTTACTCTAACTTAATTTAATGATAGTTTTATTTCTAATTTCTTTAATTTATTATTATTAACTTTCACTTTATCGAATGATATCTCTGTTTCTAATTTCTTTAAATTATTGTTAACTATCACTTAATTGAATTATATTTTTGTATCCATATCCTTTTATTCGATCATTTCTTATTTCTTTAAGTTTATTTTTAATTTCTTTAATTCATTGTTTGCTTCCACTTAATTGAATTATAGTTGAATTTCTTCATTACATCGAATGTCCGTTGAGTAAAGGATTAATTTTTGATGAGTATCTATTTTTATTAACCCTTTTCTCTTTCCTTCTATTATAAATGTAATTAGTTTATTTTTTGCCTCATCATCTATTATTTACCATAGTAATTTAAATAAAATGTTGTAATTTTATTTCTTAGCATTCTTCTTAGCATTCTTCTTAGCATTCTTCTTAGCATTCTTCTTAGCATTCTCAATGCAGTCTGACGATTCCGGTTTTAATTCAACTCCTTTTCTGTTCATCCACTAGATTGTTAATTTTTTATCTAAAATTCATTATTTTATAGTATTTACCAATCTCTTCATCTGTTTTCTAACTCATCTAAGTTTATACTTATTTTTATTCATTATTGGTAATGTTGTTTTCCTAATTGAGATTCTCATTAATTGTTTCTTAATTTTGCAGACCTTATGCTTCATTAGGAGTCAACTGACTCTCTTCATTACCTTAGGGGTAGGGATCATTATAGGAACGATTCTAGCTCATTTATTAATTTAATATTTAATCATAGGAATACAAAGTATTTTATATATTTTTTTTTGAATTTTTACTATCCCATCTTTTATAAATTACATTATTAAAATCTACTTTTTATAAATCACTTATTTTGAAAATTAAAATTTTTATTTTTTTATTTCTTCAAACCCTTTGATTAATTCATACCTTTTTATCGAATTTATTAGATACATACTTCCTCGACTCTAATTGTAAGATATAAAACTCTAATCTATTGTGATTGGGTGTTCTCTAATTCAAAATTGATGTCGCCTGATTTTAGATTCACTTTTAGGGATGAATCCATAAAATCATATTGCAAATTGTAAGATGTCTCAGATACGTAAAGGGACTTGCTTTGATTGCCATCGATTGTATTAATTATTAATATTAATGAAATAATTTGTTAACCCAGTTTTTCAGCCTGTAGATCACTCTATGTCAATGAGTTATCATAGATCTGAATACGTACCCAAGATTCCTCAACCTACAATAGGACCAGAATTGCCTTGTGAATTTGAAAAAATATTTTCATCAGAAACAGACATTTCATCCAGGCTTAATGATAGCATGATACAACCATTTGATAATCGCAATTTTTACATTGATTAATCGCCTGCTTATAGGGGAACAACCGAAAGTCAATTCCATAATAACACTCTATCCATTACGTAGGTAGTTGAGTACAAAAAATATAATTAAGAAATCATTAAATATTCAGAGGACGATAGTTTAATAAATTCATCATTTTTTGGCGTTCTCAATTAGGAGAATTTCTCTAGACCAATATAATAGATGGATTCAATTTACAGGAAATTTGAAGAGCCGAGTTAATTCAATCATAACACAAAAAATGCTTAAACACTTTGCGACGAGGAGTTGAGAGCTGAATTGCAAGATCAAGTTTAAGATCTTCACACTAATAATAAATTTATTACACCCTTTCAATTTTCGTAATTTAATAAACCAATCCAAGATAGCACTAATATGTTAACAAATCCTACTAATAGTTATTCATCATCATATGAAAACAGAAGCACAACTACCAATTTATACTAACCACTCGATCAAAATTACAAATCATAACCAATGTCATAATAACCTAATATATAATCTTTGCAAAACAATAAAGACCCAATAAAATACACTCCCACTACATACAACAACACTTATTCTAAACCTATTGAATCCAATCCTATAATTCAAAATACTCCTCCAAAAAGTAGGTTCATATCTCCAACATTGTAGAAATAAATAGAGTAATAATAATATTCTGAAAATTATTAAAGTTCTCATAACAAGTCAGAAAAATTCCGAGTTAACAGTCCAGATTAATTTGAAACAATCAAAATTACAGAAATAGTCAATGTTGATAACTCATAAAATTACTCACTAACTTCCCCCTCTCCTTCTGCACCAATATTACCATTAAGACATTCTAGTTTCATAAATAATAAACCTGAAGCCTAAATCAATAAAAAAAATACAGAAGTTTACTTCTCATAAATGGTTCAGCCTATGGCCAATCAAAAAGTATTATAAAGAACAATTGTCAATAGAGTTTAGGATAACGAATATTAATTGGATGCTCAATTATAATAATACTCCAGAAAAATTCAATCACCCAATAAAACTAACGGAATCCTAGATTAATAATCTCAGCTATCAAGTAATCGCACTTCTTAACAATAGATTATTATTCCTTAACCTCAAAAATAATCATAAACTATTTAATCTCCAATCAAATATCCTTAATCACCTACTTTGATTACTATACAAAAAGAAAGGTTGGATCAAAAAGAACTATTTCTATAAGCAGAAAAAGCAATAAAATTTTAGAGAACATAACCTAAGGCTATCCTACCTGAGTGGTAAAATTAATCAAATAAAAAGGAGCCTTAATAATTGCAGAGAAATAACTAGGCATTTTCTAAGAATAATGGCAATAAGTAAGATGATCTACAAGTGTTGTGTGTAATATGCGAAGATCTCATTCCTTTTGAGGATGTAGATTCCCACTCCATTAGATGTTTGGCTAAATCTAAACAATAAGCAAAAACACAGAATGCTCATACTCTTATTCTAAATTTAAATCAGAAATTAGAGTAATTAAAATAGAACATCATTATTTAATCTAAGCAATTAGAAGATGAATTGGTGAATAATGAAGAAATAATTAATTGCATTACAAAAATAATCCAATGCTCTTAAAACTATAAGAAACTCAAACAATACAATGAGTTATTGGCGTAACAGTATCAAAAGTACTAATCAAATTTTGATCAAAAACGATTCATTATGATACTGACCTTATAAAGGGTTTTAGCAGTTTCATAGGAGAAGCAACTCAAATTATAGTTTGTGGAAGAAAGCTAAAACAATTAATTGGAGGACGAGAGCTTTTTATAAAATGAACTCAGCAGATTAAATAAATAGGTTGAGATTGAGAAAGCGTAATATAAACAATATTATTTAGTAATTTAGAGCAAGCCAAGTTTGAATAAGAGTTGTTTAAGAAAATTTAAAAGGAGGACTTAGAAAATATGAAGTATTTGAGAGCACAATATTTGGAATAGAATGTAGACAACGAAGTTCTATCCTAAATCAACTCTGAATGGGATGTAAGGAACCCAGAAACCAAAACCAATAGAGTGACAAATAGTATTGTATCAGATATCTAATACTAACGAGATTTTGATGGGTTGGCAATTCGTAAGGAGGGAAGCAGTCCGACAATAATTTAGAATGAAGTTTAATATTTAAATATTATTTTAGGATTAAAAAAAAGCATTTTATTAGTTAGCAGTTCAGATAAAATTAAATCTACCTCATAACCATCCAGGCAAAAACTTATTACTTTAGGATGCCTATGAGAAGGCTGTGAGTTTAAAAGTATCCAGAAATGGGTGGGAGAAGTTTATAATAGAAGAAATTAGAAATATCCAATATTGATATTGTTTAATATATACTTATTCGATGTGATTAGCTAAAATAATAGTGGTTTCGTATATATTATTTTTGGTATTTTATTATTATAAAATGTGGTAAGTTATGGGGAAATGAAAATGAGGAATAGAAATGAATATTTGATAGTGTATTATTAATAAAATAAAATAGGGGATTGCCAATAAAATCATTTCAGACATAGTTGTTAAGGTTGCTGCGATGATAATATGCTTTATTTATTTTCCATAACTTATAATGGCTTGTGAATTTCCAATTGTAATAAAATTGAATAATATCTTATGCATTTTTCGTTTTAATCTATCTCTTTTAAGAATATAATTACTAGATGTGACAAGAATTCGTATTGTTTACCATATCTACATATTCCACATTCAAATATGGCAATTTCTTTGGTTGTCCAAGTTTCTATGAGATTTAAACAGATTGAATACCGAATGAAAAATCGTTCCTTAAGGGAGAGATGAGTATGTCCAACACATCCTGTTATAAAAGAGAGTAAACATTTTAGTTGTTTGGCTGCTATTATTCGATTTGTTCTTGATTAGGAGAATCGTTATCAAGAATTTTCTTTTTTCTGCCTGGTTTCTTTTCCTTTTATACATTCTTAAAATTACTTGCTTAATGTCCTTTTTGCTATCTATCAAGACCTTTTCTTTCATAAATTCGGCTAATTTCTAATCACTCTTGTAATACAATTAGACCACAACACTCAGGAGGCTCTCAAATGCATTTACCCACAATGGCTAAGTTCCTTTTTGTCTATACTGTCCCCCTTGAGGTAATTTCTTAGTGAATATAAGCGGTGTGATCGAGTTTGGCGGTAAAAACTTACTAAGTAAAAATATAATGAAAAAATAAATGATGAATATAAGGAAATATAGTTTTGGGAAGCGATGAAAAAGTACTTACTCTAATAGCACTTCATCTATCAATGCATCTGAGTTGCTTTTCTTTTTGTATTAGTATATTACCTCTGTGGGGAGCTCCAAATATCCGGTGCTAAAATAATAATAAATAGGCAATAATATAATATAAGGAATATGGGAAACTGTATTTGCAATGATCAAAATAATATAAAAAGATAGTTACGTACATATGTGAGCCTTATCGTGCAAGATGCTTAATTTGCTATATCACTTATTTTTGTTATTCTGTGTCTCTTAAAGATTTGTATTGCAAATTGGTGGCTAAAATAATGCTAAGGCTTGTACAAATCTTATCTCCATTCTCTCCTAATTTTATTACTTTGCGTATGCCTAAATCAATTCCATTATTGTCTTCGAATTATGTGCTATTATTTTAATTTTCCTACTGTTCATCAGATTGATTCTTCATTGCTAGCTACTAACTTAATATAATCAAATCCAGAACCTATCTATTCGATGAAGAAAATGCTTATTGAAAATAATTAATTTGTTTCATAAATAATACTAAGCCCTTATATTCACCAGTCCAAAGACAAGCTATCTAACCAAATCTTCTTCAATCTCCGTTCATTTCCTGACCCAATTCCAATACTTTAATTCATATATGCATTTATTTATCTTTTTAATTTTCCAAACCATCATTGTGACTCATTTCATTTCCCTCCCTCTTAACCTCCATCACAAGATTGCATTAATGGGTTTCACCAAGTTCATCTTGTTCCTATCATTGAGCCCTCTTGCAATGAACTACTAAGTGCAAAACCCATTAATATTGGTCACTTCAAAGTGAGAATGCCTTTCCACACTCGCCCAACATTTGATAATCTCTGATAGAAGAGGTCCTTCGTTTACAGGATTATTGCATGTTATTCTTTAAAAGAAGAGCTCAAAGCAACATAAAATGATAGATCTAAATATTATGTGAAAATGGGAAAATTCTTTTGGGATTGTGAAAACACACTCAAGCATCTAATTTATACTCTTGTCATTTCAATTTTAGTATTACAATACCTGTATACAGTAATCAATAACGTAAATTAATTTAAAATTTATATCACTTCTCATAAAAAGCAAATGCAGATATCGGTCTTGGGACATCCATTTTTAAGCAAGGCTTCTTTGACTTTTTGATGTTGTCACTCCCTTTATAATCAGTTCTTGAAAACTATCAAACATCTAAATTCAAGAATTACAAGTTTTAAAAAGTTCTCATCCTGAGTCAATATATTTTTCATTTCACTTTTGTAGGTATTACTTTCCCTCATCTTGATTGGACTAACATCATTCTTTTGACCTTCTTGAACACTCCCTCGAAATCCAGAAGATGAGTTTGCATGCTTATATGTTTTTATACTTTCTATCTACTCTTTGTGTTCAATCTAATGTGAACAAGAAATCCTGAGCTTTCAATATTTTCAATCTCATACTTTCTTATCCACCTTTGAATCGGGAGACAAGATGGGATCCTTTGCCACTGGTTATCCTGGAACACTTTTCCTAACCTTCTTTTGAGCCACATCCTATTTCTACTCTTGTTAAAACACTTTTATTGAATATCTATAATTTTTTTCTTGTTGAATATCTGTTTATTTTTGTTGATATTTTTTCATAAAATGTCCATCATTAAACATCATCAACTTAACATTCGTCTTATTAGTAGATGTATGGACATTTCTAAATGGGTCTATTTAGGAATCTATTCCACTAAATATGCCTTTCTTTTTCCCGGATTTTTATGCCGGTGCATCTTGATTTGCCTATCATCCCATGAAAGAAATACTTATATAATGGTGTCTGTCACTTTGAAAGTGGGAGAATTCATTCTATTTTCCTTAGATTTCTTGCATGATTCAATCAAGGCATTTTGCATTATTTGACTATTGTACAGTTTTTCTCTGTCCTATTATTGGGATTTGATTAATTTCATAGGAGTATTTTTTGATTGGCCTTCATTTTTATCTCTGGATAGAGCAGATCTAGAATTAGACTTATACAAGGTTAAAATGGACATAAAAAAATATGTAATTAAATTTTATTTTGTTTTCACACTCATCCTAATTAAGCATTAGTTAAAATATTAAAATTTCTATTTGTACAAGTGCTCCCAATCTTTCTTTTATGCTACACATAATCTATAGAATAGATTTCGCGTCTATCACTTTTTTAAGGAGAAGCACTGGAAGCAACATTACTGTACTTATTTTTATTTTTGCATTCCTGACAATATCTTACCCTATTCACTGTAACCTCCTATCTCTTGACACTTTGATCATTGCAACTTGTGTGGAGATTGTTTTGAGTGCTGTCTTCTTGATTCTAGTAGTATTTTAACTCTTCACTTTTCGGTTGAATTTGTTATACATCTATTTATTAATCTGAAGTTTAAACTGCAAAATCTGTTTTTTAATTTTGAACAAGGATTGGCATGGATTCCTGCGTAGTCTTTTGTTATTTAACATTATTTTAAAAAGACATAAGCTAATCTTCTTGTTGGACTAGATTATTGAATAAAATTTGTTGTCCAAAGTTGGTTTTATTTTGTTTTTAAACTATTTCTCTTTCAAATTGTTTCTCATTCATAGATTCATTAATGGCTATATTGTTTTAGGTGTATTGTATAGAATCTGAATTGGTTTTTATTACCTTCTCTTTGCAAAGGTAGGTATTTTACATAGTTAATTTGGCTATTTTATCTTTCAATTAATCTTTCAAAGAACTCGATTTCATAATTTTCTCATTTTGATGGAATGAGACTTGGGGTGTATTATTGACTTTGGTTTATGAATATTAATATGTTCGATTTTAATCCTGAACTTTATGAATCAATGATTTTAACGGATCTAAATCAGTTGAAATAATTTTCTTGATCATCTACTAAAACTTATCGCTATTGTTTTGTGTTTGTAGAGACTGTGGTTGAGGTTGATATGGTTTTTGTTCAGAGGAGTGCCATGACTTATTTATTGCGTGTTTTTCATATTGAATCTTTGTGTTGTCATCGTTGAAATATTGATTTACAATTTAGAGAACTTTATAAAGTAAGAGGGAGTATTGTTATGTGTCAAATAAATGGAGGAACTGATCTCTGTTGACGCAAGTCTAAATAAATAGTTTATTCAATCGCTTGATGCCATGAACAATGGATAAGAAGAGATATATATTACATTGTAAATTTTAATCATTCACTTCTTGTTTAACAGTTATTGTATTAGAGAAATGTTTTGTTGCTTTTGGATTGAAGTGAAGAGAATGATTAACTCCCTAGATAGAGAAATTATTGTACAGTGGAAGGGTCATCAAAGTTAAAAGAATTTCCATAAAATTGATTCATTTTAGACAATTATAATTATTTATTAAAATATATTGATTAATGGATTTTAAATCTCGATTTAAGGGAAAGATGACCGTGATGAACAAAGACGGAGTCATTGCCATGGTAAATAAACCCTCCTTGCCCATTGTCAAAAGCAATCAATATTATTAGGAAAATGAAGATTCCTCCCCTACAAAAAAATAAACGAGTCTCTACACTGAAGGAATCAGGGAAACCAAATCTCATGTCTTTACCAATATTCAGGTCTCTCCCAAATAAAAAAACTCAACCAAATATTCCCAAAAATTTTCTAATGCTGGGAATTAAGTGATCAAATCTACTTAAATTGCATCTAAGCAATAACCATAATTTGATGATCCCAATACATCACTCAAGCCACTGCATTTAAGAATACAACCAGATTTCAATTAGATTGATATGGATGAATATGAAATTGTTGCCATTCCTAAAACCATGTTGGGATAACTACGCCAATAAATGAGTGTTGATAGATATGCTCTCACTCACAGTTTTGTTCCAGACAAAAAATAATTGTTTGAGTATCATTCATTGAGTTTTTAGATTTCCCTAGTTCTCACCAGAAGTGACTACTCAATATACACAACATCATTAAACTCCTCATTTGAAGAAACAAAATACCATTGATTCATCAACAATGCAGCAAAAACCCCTCTTTAGCAAGTAGAAATCCGAGAAACTCGATAGAACAAACAAAGTCATTCAATAAGCAGGACTTGGAACTCTTAGACACAAGTAAACTAATGATATCTTATCTTACTAGCACTTATACTAAAAGATGAATTTTATTTAATTATTATTATATTTTTGGATTACTTTTATATAATATTTTGATAACTATGATGATTGAATCCATCAAAAGGTTCAAACAATTAATTCACCCTATTTATATTTATTATGGTTTGCTATTAATTTTATTTGTTATATTTGATAATTTGATTCAATCAAAATAAAATTTAAACATTATTTCTTCAAATATAACTTTATTCTAATGAAAAAATGTAGATGAACATAAACAGCCTCAAAATATCAAATTTTTGCGTTTTCCATTCCACTCCCAAGAATAACAACCATGCTATTTTATTGACCAATTAAATATCTAAAAAAAAGAACACAATATTTACTATATAAAAGGATTCTCTAGGTAATAATTCAGAACTCCAATATAATAGTGTATTAAAAAATAGTTGATTCCGGATTAATCATTTAATCGGAATTTTGGAAAATGATTTATATGACTCTATGCAAATCAGGAATCATGAATCCATTTTGTTCTTAATGATGATGCGATATATCTAAGTTTATGATAATTAAATTTTGATATCGATTAATAACAAGCAGGATAAAACTCTCTTTCATATTCAGACATAATTTTGTTAATTTAAACTCAGATAATCAACATTCTATATAACAATATTTTGAGAAAATCATTGAATCATCGAAAGATAGAATAAAATGATTCAAAAATGAAATATATATTTTCTTCTAACTAATTAATTAAATTTCATAAATTAAGAAAAATCTTAAACATTATTCAATGAAAAGTTCAATGGAACATTTCGATGCTCGCGATGAAATGGCAGATTTTCCAGAGGAGTTGAATGTCAAAGCAATTCTAGAGAAAGTTAAGGTATTTTTAGTTGTAAAACAACTAAAAGAAGATAGTTCGCCAAATTTGGTCATACCAAATCTATATATAGGATGTTTGGGAACAGTATTGAATAAAAAAAAACTCTATGAAAGTATATAAAATGTTTAAATTACAGCTTAAATAACCCATATTTTAAGTGTGTGTGAAATGCCAATATTCCCTTATTAGGCCGAAGATTTTAAATCTCTTCTCATTAATATCAACGACAGTGTAGATTAAGAAATCAAGTCCAAGTTTGAGATGGCTAATGAATTCATTCATTCTGCTATCAAAAATAAGTAAAATGTACTAATTCATTGGTATTTTACATATGTATTTAAAGTTTTGCTGGTAAATCCAGGTCTGCTTCCTTTGTTATTGCTTATTTAATAAAATATCTATAAATGACACCTCTCCAAGCTCTAAAACTCCTTCAATCGAAGAGAAGAATAGCCTAACCCAATATGGGCTTTATGAAACAACTTGATGCTTACCATAAAGAACTCTACAGACAGCCACAGATACAAAAAGAACAAAAATAAGAAGAAAGCTCTCCCGTGATGAAAAAAGTTAAATTGAATCAACAAGATGAACATTTAGAGTAAATTAAAGACCAATAGATACTAAATTCATGATTATTTTTGCCAGAATACTTATTTTCATACATGAACTTTATATATTTTACTGATTGAATTATAATTTTAATTCAATAAAATTATCGTAATTTTAATATTAAACTAAGTGAACTTATAAATAACATAAATTATAAGGACCTCCCCTTCAGAGATTGTAAACTACACATATATATATTTATTTAATTCATTTCCCATTGTATCATCATTAAGACAACCTAAGACTCTAATTTTACTGCTATTCTAAACGATTCAACTACTTCTGTAATTTCATATATACTTAATAGACTCTATTATTATTGTAAGCAAGTTCCTCGTTTCTTAGGTATGATAATTATTTAGAATAGTAAAAATAATATTTATAATAATAGTAAAATCTTGGATATAGTATATAAACAATAATTTATAATATCTACTTTATTATCTCATTAAGCATGTACTTCATCTATGAGTTTTTTAGTTGCTTATTTTTTGTTAATACAAATTAGCTAGTATATACAAATTACTTACAAGACATAGGAGAGGATTTCTATTGCTGTTCGGAGGCAATAAATTCCTTTATATTTAATTTAATTTAAATTGGCTTCTTTGAAGTTTGAGCAAAAGGATTTTATTGTATTTAACTTGAAAATTGATTATTATCTTAGAAATAATGAAAGTTTGAGTACTCTTAAATATTCGAATTTCGATTTTATTCTTCTACATCATTAGAATTTTAATAATATTAACTGGATTAAAGAGCCATTTAATAATACTGAGAGTTCTATGTAGGACTCTCCTATTATTAATTCTTACAATTTTCCTGTGACTTAAAATTTGAGTTATTTTGCATCAAATCTTGATTCGATTGCCTTTCTTAAGCCAATTCATATAGGTCTACCTTTTTGATGTTTTATGTCTTACCCTCAAAACTATCATCTGAATAATATTACTATTGTTGAGGCTGATCATAAGAGTAATTTTTATTCTATTCTAAAGATAGATCACCTCTCTATTTGATCCTCTATTTGGTAACAGGTTTGTATAAAGTTTATATATATTTTTCTGAAGAGGATTAGACCGGAACCTTGAGTATTTGTGAATATTAAGCATAAAAGAATGGTTTTGCATATAATTCTCTTGATTCTTAGGTTGATAATAATCTTTTGAAGTGATCATTTATTTTAATTTAATCTAAACTTTTGGTTTGCTACCTCTATTTTTAAGAGACACTATCAAACTTCTTTTTAGATTAAGGTAAGGTAATAATAATATGACCATCTTTTGGCTTATTGCTAATTGTTGAGGCTTTTTGCTATTTGGTTAATAATTTAAAACCCGAGTTTTGATTAGAATTTTAGCTTTAATAAACATTCTGATTTAAGTTCCTGATTTTATTTTTTTAATATTTGATATTTGTATTTATTTAGCCATTTGTTTGAAAATGGTTCTAGATGTATATAGGATCATAATATGGGTTTGGATGCAATGAAGAGTAGTCTTATACAAAATATCTTTATTTCTATCCTTTTTGAGTTGAAGGGGTTTATTAATTTTTATTAATGATATTTTAAGGTACTGTATGGATCCACCTATATTTGTCGTGCTAATAAGATTGATCACTCATTTTTTAATCATTTGACGATTAGATTTCACTTTGACACATGATGATAGAATTGCGAGCAGAGAATGGAGCTGTCAAAGGAGCTGATTATATTTTGCTATTGAATATTTGATTAGACAAGAGTCCATCGGATTTTTTCTATATAACAAATCAATTTAATACAAATTTTATTCCAATTTAAGAATTTCGGCTACAATTTATAAGTTCTTTTTACTTATCAGTTTAGATTGATTTGGGTGCTGAGCTTAAATTAAGAAGCTAAAATTACATTAAGATTTTTTATTTGTTTGCAACAAAGTGAATTGTAAATTATTGTATAATTAACTTTCTGCATTTAGTTATTATTTCAAAACGGAATCATAATTTTTTTGTGATTCAGTCAAAGTTAATGAGTTATTACTTGAAATATGAGTAAATTTAGATACAATTTGTTATCGGAATTAATTTGGTTATTTAATTTGGCAGAATAAGTAAATTAGGAGATGTTTAGGAAAGTAAGCTAAATAAGATGCAAAAATAGTTTACATTGATATTAATTAAATCAGGAATAGCTAGCAGACATTTGGAGATATCAGAGAGCTGTTATATATTTTATCCATCAACTATCATACTTTATTCAATTTGCATATAAATAAAATAATAATAAATATAAAGTGAACAACTTTTTGCAAAAATAATTATGTCTTATGATTATAAAATCAATCAAATCTGATACGTCTTAAATTTGCAGCAAGGACAGAATCATCAGCTTGGATGATTTCAAACTTCTTTTGGATGAAAGAAAATTAGATTTCTTCTAAGCAATCTTAACTTGATGAGAACTTCACAGTCTTTCCTTTGTACACTTCTTCATCAAAACCTTAGACGACAACTCCGGGAGGAATCTTTATTGATTTGACTTAGCTGATCTTTTCCTAAAAAGATATTGTAAATATAAGATTACTCTAGCAAGGGAAGGAGTGTCTCTACAGATTTCAAATTTGGTTCCCTTGAATCCACATTCAGTATACAATTCAACACAATCTTCTTTTAATTCATAAAGGAGTTGGAATTCTCTGAAACCCCATGATTCATCATCAGCAGCTTAATCTAATGTGGAAGTCAAGACAACGTTAGCAGTAGGATTGGTGTGTTCAAGAATGACATCAACATTGAAGAAATAAGTCATCCAAGTGCTTTAAGGAGCTCCGCAGATTTTGGCTTGTCCTGGAGTACTGAATCCGAAAGATCTTTCAAAGACGACCTTGCCATCAACGAAGAGTTAGAATTTCTCATCATCCCATGAATCTATCTTCCAGAATTAGAATTATATTCTGAGTCTTGAATGTTTTGGAAGATTGAAGTTTCTCTCAGCCTTACCCTTGACACCAAATCTTTGATAACCACCAAACAATTTCTTTTATCCACAAGTTGAAAATGGATTTTAATTTTGGAATACGTTTGATGGAATCCAATCATACAATCCTTAGAAGTCTTATTCATCATTAAAGAAGAATCTGTTCAATGTCATCCATTTAACTAATCAATTTATATATCTATTTAATTACTTCCTTCTTTGCATTCACCATTGACAAGATCGAAACCTTATCCACATGAAGTACAATCAGATTTAGCTGGTCCAGTACAACCGGTACATCCCTTGAAACATTGGGCAGCAAATAATTAGAAGTCTCTGACACCCCATGATTCATTCTCAGGTGGTTCATCCAATGTTGATTTCATTAAGACTTTGACTTCAGGGAATTTGTGAGGGACATTAATTTCAATATTAACTATCTTTTCAGCCCATCCTTCTCCTTATTTAGCACCTGTATCAACACCACAAAGATCAACTCCTTCATTATAAGCAAATGCTTGTCTGAATTTCTCTTAATCATCAATTTCCATTAAGAACAACTCGTTATCCCAAGAATCAATCTTCCACATTTATACCTTAACCTTGACTTAATAGTGTGGTGGTAAATTAGTGAATCTCTTCCACAAATTGGCTTTTCTTCCTAATTTTCCATAACCACCAAAGAGTTGGACTCCCGCACATTCATTTCCTTCTGGTTTTCCTTCTCCATCTAACGTCCATCCTTCTAATGAAATTTGTTTATTCCAATTAGTAGCTACATTTGTCCAAAAGAAACAATTGTCTGGTTTATTATCTGCACATACTGCACATTCTGGATGACATCTTTGGAATGATAATTTGAAATCTCTGAATGCCCAAGATTCCTATTATTATTTATATGATTATCCTTACATTCAAAGCATCTTCATCCAAATTTGATGTCAATACTATACTTACTGTTGGTGAATTGTGTGGAACTTCAAATTCGATGTTATAAAAGGCTTCTTTCCAGTCATTTGCTGCACCACATAAATTTGCTCCTTCTGAATAATGCCATTTAGCTTGCCATATGAAACCATCAACCAAAACAAACATAATTTCATTATCCCAACTGTCAATTCTAGAGGTTTAATTATATAAATTAAATTTACTTCCATAACTGCACATTAATCTTTAATTTATAATGGGGAGGAAGATTCAATTATTTTAATGCTGTTGCTCCTTTTCCAAATGCGCCATAACCACCAACCAAACTCACTTTGTCGCATTTACTAAAGGTGTTTCCCTTAAATGCCTTCTTTACAACCCAACCTAAGCATAATTATCACTCTTTACCATCCAAATCATTTATTTCTGCTGATGTAAATGCTGTGTAATGGGTTACCCATGGATCCTGAGCTAGCAAGATCTGCACACTCAATAAAATAAGCAGAATAGTCTTCATAATATATAAATATTAATGCTTTTCAATTCTCTTTAAAAACGAATACTTTATAAAATGAATTAGCAAATTATCCAATTTATATATATAATCATTCTACCTGCCCAACAGGTGAAATTCTAAACTAACGACATTCTACTACATAATCCAGTTTATTCTCGTATCTTGCGTAAAATCCGTTTAAAATCTAACCCATTCAATAAATTAAATTTCTAATTTGCAGTAAACAAAATTCACCGCCATATTATTTAGGTTTTACCCTTATTCAGTCCTTTCTAATAAACTTCTTTTGGATGCATATAAAATCAGGATAAAAAACTCTTTAAAAATTCGATATCTTTAAATTATGGGTTATGATAATCGTAATGATTTAGTACTAAGAATACATTTATCAAAATTTATCTGAAATAAAAATAATACAATTTTTTGAATGCAAATTTCGATTAACTTTTGGAAATCAATTAGAATATATATAGTATCTAATTTCATTGCATTCCAAGGAAAATACAGAATAAAATGATACAAAATGAAAAATTTCAAATAAGAAATTTAAATAAAATATGATTGAATGATTTCTTTAATATTCTACATTATAATTTATTCAATATTTTATTTGAATATAAAAATGCTTAATAGCAAAACAGATGAGAATTTCAAATAAGTGAAAATGAATCCACTTAATAATTCAACCAGCAAATAGCTTTATTCATTTTCGAAGTCTCCTCGGTTCAATTACAAGGTTAGGAATGAATAAAATTCAACTTCATTTTATGAGATAAAAGGCACAATCGGTTCTCCCAATAAAGGAGTTTCTTTTGGATTGGGAACAAAAGTGGATTTCTCAAAATTGAGTGATAAAACCCCAGGTCCAGGATCATATAAATTAGAGAAAGAAAAAACATCATCAAATTTACAAAAACACACTATGGGTATTGGGAGAACGTATTTTAAACAAAAGAATGATATGCCATCTGTTGGGAAATATAATATTGCATCTAGCATCATTAAAAATGAAAGAATACCACATTTTGGTCAAAAAATTGCAATTAGTATATGAAATAACAAATAGTAGAGGATGAAACATGTTCTCCAGGTCCAGGAAAATATGATATTTAGTATAAGGAGCACTCTTAATCAGTAATTTACCATCCAGTATCAGGAAGAACCAGCAGAACGCCTGATTGTATTCCTGGTCCGTAATAATATAGACCGAAGACAGAATTGTCTGCAAGTTATGTGAATTCAAATTGGTCAAATTGCAATGTGTCAAAGTTCTCAAAGGAAGAGAGATTTAGCAGTAAATAAAGCAGCATACCAGGACCAGGGAAATATTAAATACCAGGAGAGTTTGGTATATACTGATTTATATGAATAATTATAAAGTTTATTTAAGAGTGAGACCAATCGAATATGATTAATCTATGCTAAGTATAGATTAGAATGTTATCTCTATTAAGGTATTTGTAATGAAAATAATGACAGGATCCAACAAATAAATAGGCTGAATGGCAGTAGTATCGTTATGACAAGGTTTTCCCATCCTCCTCTACATAATAGGAATTGTTTGATAATGTCTTTAATTTTGATTATGAGAATAAGAATGGATGTATAATATCTTATGGGCAATCTGGCAGTGGTAAAAGTTACTCCTTATTTGGAAATGTTCAACATCCAGGAATCGTTCCTCTATTGATTTAATAGATACTCTAAAAAGGATTGAATGTATAGGTGTCATTTCAAGAAATCTATGTGGATTAAATAAGAGATTTAAACACAAATTTGATCACAGAGGAATTCACAAAGCGATAAATATTGTTAATCAATGACTTTTGGGAGATGATCAAAATTTTAAGAAGCACGGATATCAAAAGATAAATGAGAACTCATATTATACTCACATTGGAGATCAATTCCAATACTAAGTTATAGTTTGTAGATTTAGCAGGATCTGAAAGAGTCGCAAAAAATATAACTGAAGGTGAAAAATTTCAGGAAGCCATCTTGATTACTGCTAGTCATTAAGTACTTAATCGTTGCTTAAATTCTTTCAATCAAAATCCAAATAAAATATTGCCAAAGAAAGAATCCAAATTAACTTCAGCATTAATAATTGAAAATAACACATAGGTTGTGTTAATTGGAACTATTAATCCTAGTTAATCAAATTATGAAGAATGCTTATTGACACTTCAATACTTAGATAGAACTAAAAATATATCGGCTACGATTAAAAAATAATAATCTATGTTAGGCTTTGATTCTTAAGTTAACATATAATAAGAGAAAGAAATCAAGAAATTGAAGGATGAAATTGAAGATTATAAAATTAAAGTAGAACAATTAAACGCTGATAGAAAGAAGAGATTTCTAGAATTACAAAGGCTTTTAGGGTTGGATATTGACTTGGAAAGGCTCTCTGCTAAAAATGCAAAGGATATCACCATCTTCAAAAACTAATAAGATGCTCTATTAAAAAATGTCAGTTTATCATAATAAATCGAGGAATATCATTATGAAAATGCACAATTAAAGAAGGACATTGAAGATTTGAAAAAGGATACCCACACTAAATTGGAAAGATATTAATAACAAGTCTTGGAACAAAAAGAAATTAATAAAAAATTAAAAGACTAATTATAATTGTCGAAAATGAGTGGAGATGATGCAATTCGATTGTTATCATAAGATCGGGATTAATTTATTAAAAAATTATAAGATGAATCTAAAAATTTACTAGAGGACAAAGTTGCTTCTATCCTTAACCTTCCTTAAACAGCTTAAACAAAAAATGTTGAAAATCAAAAACTTCAAGAATTAAAAAAGTAAATCAAAACAGAAATTGAAAAGGAATTTAATAAAAGTCTAGAGATTATTAAAGCTGAATATTATAAATCATTGGATCATTATAAATTTTAGTATGAGTAAAAACTAAACCTTAAAGTCGAAGAAATTGAGAATTTTCTTAATTAATTCAAGAAATACAGAGAGAAAAAGAAGTATGATCCTTTATATTTTATAGATCCTAAATAAATGAAATTGTTGAAGAATTATTAGATTTATACGATATTATTACCAAGCAAGGAAAAGTTATTGATAAAATAGAAACAGGAGGATATAGTGGAGGATTAAAATCATTTAGTATTCCTAAATAAGACAAACCTAATTTGCCAAATAAAGTCAAACATAAAAAGTATAATCTCTATTTATATATAGCTTATTTCATTTTCTAGAAACTAATAGTGTTACAGCTACTTTGACGAAAAAGGCATCAACTATAGAAAAAACAATTAAAACAGCTACCAAATAATTACGATAATCATAAAGTTAGATTATCTTAGAAATTGATTATAACTAATTGGATTCTATTAATTTTATGTCCATGGATTTTAGTACTGTAAGGGCATATGCAAATAAATTAAGAGAAATGATCAAAGAACTTCAAGATTAAATTACTGTGAATTCAGATAAATTCAAATAACAAATAGCACAACTTCAAAGAGGTATAAATTCAACTTTTTAGATTTCTTAAAGAACGTGACGATGCTTAATAAAAATATAATATGGAAAGTAGAAAATACAATTAAACCAGAGTTGTTATAGAATCTCAAAATAGAATATTGTAAAAGGTTAGGCCCCTCAGTTCAGTGCAAAGGAAATAGTGATTTTGAATAATTTAATGTAGAAATCTAATCATTATATACTCCAACTCAATTTAGTCTATAAAAATTCAAAACTGATCCCTTCTTAAGATTATGGCTCTTCATGTTTTCTAATTTTATTTATACGATGATACATAAATCTATGCCCATTGTTGCTTTTCTAGAAACTAATCAAAAGTGTATTGTTTGTACCCGTGTAACAAGGCTTATACTAAGAGATTTTCTTTTTAGTTGTCATAAAGCTTGTTATTAAGTTTGAGAATTTCATAATATACTCTAACAAATTAAGAGTCAATTCATTTTTTGAATAATCAACTATTCAACTTAAATTGATCGAGAATGTTTTTAGGTTATAATCTATTTTAGACCATAATTGAATTGGAATCTCTTATCAGAATTCTGTCATCTCAACTTGTAACAACCCTTGGCAAACAGGGTTTAATGACTGAATATCAAATGAATATTGCTTCTTTATATTCATAATCATTTAATAATCAATAAAGGATATTTTATAATATTTTTCTTTTCCTCTCTAAGCCTACATCTAGAATAGATTTCTATATTAATATTTATAGTATCTTTCCAACATGTTCAAGTTGATACTCATTTTAAAATTCTTATAATAAGCTAATATGATCTGTCCATAATGAAATTTCCTAAATAAAACTTTCAGCCTGTATTTTTGCAAGATTTATCTATTTTTCAAGACTATTTAAATTAAAAGTCCAAACTGTGATAGTTTATTTGAGATCATCATCAGACTTATTTAAATTTAACAAAATACAAGAATTTTGGCTTCAATCATATTTTTATTTTTTTAGATACTTACTTTTTTAAGGAGGGTTATAATTCGCAGAGTTTCTTTTTAAGCTGTCTCTTAAGTAGATGGCCTTGATTTTCCAACTTTTGAATAAAAAGAGGTTTTTAAAAAGCTTTCCATCATATTTGAATCATTTGTTGGGCTTGGCTAATTTAATCACAATAAAAATCATCATATTTCATACTTAATAACTTTATACTGTATTAAATGAAATTCTACAAACAAGAATACATAATTCTATTTAACCTAGTCACAATTAAGTTTACTCTTTTTAGTGAGACATGAAATAATTTCATCACAAAAAATTTCAAATACCTTTCTAAATTTATCTGATAAATCTGGTAGATTTTATTCGTGCTTGTTGAAGTCATTTCTTAAGTCTTTTTTTTGAATTATTGAACTTCTAATTTACATAATAATTTATAATATTGTTTTTTGAGTATATATATATTAATGAAATTCTCTTTCAACTTAGCAACTGTTTGCGAAAATTAGACTTTTACATTTTCTTAAATTTATTTTTAATTATTTACCACAATTTCTTCTTGAAATTCTTTAGATAACAATTCTTTCTATTTTTCAGCCTCTAGTCGAAGTCTTTGCCTTTCTTTCAATTCTTTTTCTTTCTCCTATTTTAATTTTTCTACTTTATCCAATTTTTCTTCAAACATTTCTCCTTTTTTCATTCTTTCTTTTTATAGATTTTATTGTTATTCTTCGACTTACTTAAAATAAGATTATAATTTTTATTATTCTTATTTCTATCTGTCACTTAATTGCTTGTTCAAATTGTCTTATAACTATTGAATATTGTATATGTAATATACTTCTTAGGAGGATTTGAACTTTGCATCTAAAGATTGACTTAACTCTTTCAATTTTCTGTTTTCTATCTTTTTCTTATTTTACAAAACTAATTCAATTTAATGGTTATGTTCCTATTTTTTTTGACTTAAAAAATCTAATTATTCTTTTTAATATTCTTTTTCAAATTTATTTACCGTGTCAATTGTTTTATTAACATGAAGTTGTGATTGCTGCAATTATTAATTATATTTTACTTTCAATTATTCTTCTTCAATCAATTTTGCTTGACTTAAATTCCTTTCAAATTCGATCCTCTTTTACTCAGCCTTTTATTTTAAATCTTCTTTGAATTTCAATTGCTTCATAGAGATGTCTTAGAACTTTTCTTTTTTTTTTAACAGCAGTTGTGAATTTCTAACTTCCTTATCTCTTAATTTTTTTTCATATTCTATTAGATGCTGCAACTCTCGTTGTTGTTTTTATCGAAGCCTCAACAGTGGATCGATTTTTGACATTATTTACAAACAATTAAATAAATAATTAATTATATAAATATTCATAAGAGTTGTAATTTAGCATATTCTTATTTTTAAATTTTCTACATGATAATTTATAATATACTTATAATTTAAGTTATTGCTCATTATGAATTGATTCCTTAATCAACTAGGTTTGAATTCTTAACTTCTATTTGCTTGATAGTTCCTGCTCCTACATCAGTTTTATTTCATTGGCCTTTGATATTTTGGCTTAAAATTTATCTAACTTTTGGCTCTCCTCTTTTGATTGCATTTTCCTTTGTGTCTTAACCCATTCATCGTAAGCATCCTTTCCTAGTTCGATTTTGGGACTAAATTCTTAGAAAAGTTATGTACCGAGTGTGAATATGAATGGCATCTCTTTCTTGTGATTTGAATCGTAAATGGTTCTATTCATGTTTGACAACAGAAAGCTGGCTTTGTCTCAATTTTTGCATTTATCTATCGGATAACATTTGCATCCTTTCACAAGATTTCAGGAGGATTTAACTTTTTTGTAATTCCTTCATTTTTAGGGATTGCTCATATAAGCGAGCCCTCTGGATCTCCTATTCTTATTTTTGCTTGAATATTGATAATGCGTGCATGAGTTTAATTATTAAATGAATTAATGAAATAAATAATAACAATTTAAGTGGGATAAAGTGGAAATCAGATAGGGAATGCGATATGGAATCAAATGATAGACGATTGCGGTGAGAATTTGGATTAAAAGTTTTTTCGGAAAGGGATTCCAAGAGCAATACTTGTAGATAGTGAGGAGAATACGCTGGATAAGATTAGAGGAGATAAGAATTCCTCATATTACGATCCAAATAATTTTGTAAGTGGAAAGAGTAGTAAATGCTTGACATTTGCTAGTGGTTATTACGGTTCGAATGATTTATTTGATGAGATTGTGGAAAAGGTAAGGAAAGAGTAAGAGTAATGCGATGGAATTTAAGCAGTGTAATTAGTTCATTCAATTACTGGTGGAACCGGATCTGGAATTGGAGCAAAATTAGTATATTATACAAGTGATCATTTTTTTGATTGCTCCAAAATCAACATTTCTATTTACCCATCAAAGTATGAAAATAGTGTGATATATCCCTATAATTGTCTACTTGGTTTAATGCATCTAAATTACAATTACAATATGGGATTCTACTTTGATAATGATGCCTTACAATAAATGACAGAGAATATGTTCATCTACGATCAAAATTATGAAACGTACAATCAATTATTAGCTTTTGCTATGGATGGGATCTACAAATCGTTTCGTCACAATTGCTACTCCAATACAAACTTTTATAAGATCTAAACCAACATCACTCCTTTTCCTAAATTGCATTGCTACACTGTGTCACTAGCTCCTCTATTTTCGTATATCAATTCACCAACTCTACTGCAAATGAGTAAAGAGATCTACTCTAAACGAAACCAAACATTCTCGATGTCCATGTCTTAGGGTCTGTTTTTAGCTCAATAAATCATGATCTATGGGGATGCTGACATATTTTCAGTCCAGTAAGAATTCAAGTAGACCATAAGTTCGGATGATATACAATTCGTTAAGTGGATTGCTGATCCTATCACCTACAGCATTTGTCCTGCTAAACAGAAATAATGCAATCCAATGGCTTTTTCAATCAATCATCATACTGCTATGGGGAATAAACTTAATTTATTGAAACAACAATACAGGACTCTTTTCCAAAAGCGAGCATTTTTGCACTTGTTCTTGCAAGAGGGTCTTGATGAAATGGAACTTTAAGAAGCAGAATCTGCATGCGGAGATGTGATTTCAGAGTATTGTTGTTGCAATGATTAAACTGATACTACAGATGAATGATTATATTGTTTTTTTTATTATAATTTTATAAACAAATCGAATATGTTAACTCCATTCAATAAAGATCTGAATCGCGATCCCATCTATTCCCGTATTTGTAATCGAAGTTGGAGTTGCCAAAATAATTTTTTAACTAAGGACGTGAATCCTCATAGTTTGAGATGTAATCATCGCACTCATCATAACATTGATCTATTTTAGTATTATTCATCAATCATACCTAAAATGGGTTTCACCATTGGAGTATTAAATTATATCATGGGTTTTGTCGTCATATTTAGCACGTTCTCCCCTTCTACATTTTAATTGCACATTCTCCTGCGATTTCTCTTGTTCCTCTTTTACCCTGCTGCTGTGTAAGGGTTGAATTTCTGGTGGTGCGATCTACTTATTACTTTATTTTACCTGCACTAGGATGGAGATCTAGTTCCTATTGTTTGTGACATAAGTTTGAAGATTTTGTTATTCTTTCTATTTTATTGACTCTGCATCGATGTGCTGTGATGCTACTCCAAGAACTCCACGTATATTTGATGTTCCTAATTAGTCCAATGGCCTTAATTTTTTATCCCATTTTAACCTTATTCTTTGTTGATTTTCTTTTTTGTGCCTTCTGTGTTCTTGCTTCCTTCCTTGAAGTCATTATAACAATCCTTACTTATTAACTAAAACCCATTTCACTTCGGTTGTTCGTTCTTTGACTGCTGTTGGTCTCACTAATTTCATTTTATTAACCATATTGATTTTCCTAAGGATGAGATGAATAAGAGGGTAAGTTTAAGACAGAGCTGTCCTTCATTCAAGGTATTAAAATAATTATTATATTCTCATCTACACTTACACCCATAAGTCCAAATACACTAAAATATTTTCACCTACCCCCTTACATCTTCTCATTTTTATATTTAATAAGTTATCATTATTTTTATAATTATTTATTTATTATTTTATACCTATCCATCAAACTATTATTATTCAAGTTACGCATATTCTAATAGAATATATTTATTTTTCATTTTCCAAATCCCATTTATTTTTGAATTGATTTAATTTATCATTTTATCTTTCTCAAAATTGTCTCTACTTCTCCCCAAAATGTTGATGTAAATATTATCATGCTTTTAGAATTCTAATAAATTCTTGTTCTATTTCCCAAATAAGCCGAATTTTTGAGTAAACTTGTACAATTCACAATTTAAAGATAGCTATGAGATTTAGAGATAGAATAGACAATTTATTTATTACAAAGCATATTTTGTGAGGAGCATAAGCACAAATAATATTCTATTTATATATCACTATTTTCAAATAAGAAATTTATTTACAACATCATTATTTTATTATAAATGAATTTAACGATATAATATATTAATATACGCAAGTGTTGTAAACAATCAGAATCTCAATGACTTTTCACTTTTCACAGCTCCAAACTTTTCGTTCAGTAAACTCTTGATTTTAGTATAGTCATTGTAACTCCATGATTTTTTGGTGTCCTTCTCATCCAACATCTTCAATGCCTATAGAAATATCAACAAACTTGTATTACTTGTCCCCATGTTACAAATCTACCCTTGACTCTTAATCTCTCTTCAGCAACCTTTTATCTGATATGATAATGAACTTTCTTTTCGTAAGTTCGATTATGCTTCTTATCTAAATATCGTTTGACTTTTTATTTTCTTGCCATTTCCTTGAGTGATTCATGATTGGTTGAAGTGCATAATTGTTCCACCCAATCTTCGAACTTTAATGTTTCTTCATCATTAAGGATATCATCGCACAATCCTACCTTGATTCTCAACAGATCATCTCCCTTCACATAGTTTGATACAAATTCATCCTACCTTTGAGAAGGTGCGAATCGCAAAACCAATTCACCTAAATGATTATCGACGTTAGAGGGAGCAGGCAAATTCTTGGGGTATGAATATTTCTTTTGATTTTCACGTTAGAGCATGTCAGCCAATCTTTCCAAATCTCCCATTGGTTATACGTCTGATTGTTCAGCTGTAATAGATTCCAATTAAGAGCATACTTTTTTTTTGGGATCTTCATCAAGATTGAATTCATCAAAACTAATTGGCTTTGGCCTTTTGAAATGTGATAACTACTATGGTGAATACACAGGTAATTGAATCTCCTCTTATAATTCTTCCTCCTAATTCAAAAATATGCATCAAGTATTACTTATTCATTCTCTGCCATATAATGAGGTTCGCATTAAGTAAAGGAGTTTTCCTTCTCTATCTCTAGCTTCTCATTCTTTTCTTATACTGCATCACTTAACACTTTAAGAGTGTTCATACTACGCACAAGATTTTATTTTGGTTTAAAAATCTTTTTATTTATATCCAAATTATCATAAAACCTTAAGTATGGGCCCTCTCTTGAAGAAAGGATGAGAATTCTCCTTTTTTCATTCGAAACACTTAAAAATGACTATAACCAGTGTGAATTAAGATATCATAAGAATGCAAAAATTATGGGTGACTTCGAAAAATAAAGAATACTAACTAATAAGTGATTAATTATATTAAGAATTGATTAATGAATAGGTATAACATTATAACTTATGTGTTTAGAAATTGTTCACCAAAGGATGGAAATATTTATGGCATTGTGATTGAGGATTGTCTTAATTTTATTATTAATTTTAAATTATGTATTAAGACGCCAGTTACTATTCATAATCGTAGTAGAAATAATCAGTAAAGAATAATTCAATGAAAGTTGCTCGATAATGGTAGATTAATGATTAAAAGGCAGAGAAAAATGGATTACACAAAGCAATTTATTGGGTAAAAAGTTAAACAAAGAATGAAGATGGAACTTAAAAATAAGAGAGATGGGTAGCTGACTAAAAATATGTTGGTGATTGGAATCAAAACAAAAAGTGTGGCTTTGGTGTATAATATTATGGAAATGGTGATAAATATGAAGGTGGATGGTTTGATAATCAAAGAAATGGATAAGGCACATATTGGGTGAGCGAAGGAAAGAATAAGTATAGACATTCAAATTTATGGTTTTAGAATGAGAAGAGAATATACAGGAGATTGGGTGAATGACAAGAAAACAGGCAAGGGAACTATGTTTTATTAGAATGGAAATAGATATGATGGTGTATGGCAAGATGATAAATCACATGGAGAAGGACGTATGATTTATGCGAATGGCGATGTTTACGAAGGCTCATGGTTTAAAGGCTTAAGAAGTGGTTACGGAGTCTTAACTAAAAGAAATGGCGATCATTTTGAGGGCTATTGGGTAAACGATAAGAGAGTAATAAAAATACATTATCATTATTCAGGAAGGCCAAGGATCTTACTTCTTTGCCACCAAGAATCAAGTATTTGTTGGAGAATGGGTAGATGATATGCCAAAAACTGGAGTGTATTCTGAAGTAGAGGATCCTTATACAGTGAAAGAGGAAAGAGAGAAGCATTTCATGGATCCTTACGTGCTGCCTGACATTCCTAAAGTTGAATTATAAGATCCTACCAATGTTCTTAAGGAGTCTATGGAGTTGGCTAGAAAGGAGAGAATCATTTATAGAGCTATTCACATCCCATTAGATGAAATGTATTCTAAATAGGAGATGGAAGACTTGGCCTTATAATTTGAGTCTGCCTCCAATCAGGAACATAAAATTACTTTAATTAATAGCAAAGCCATCTTTTAGAGCATGGGTTTTGATATTGAAGGTAGTTATATGGAGTTATTTTAGAAAAAATACTTTAAAGCTATTTAAAGCATTTGTAAGAGGACAAGTACAATGAATTTGAAATAGAGTTGGAAACATTTATGAGATTAGTAGCAATAATACTAGAGAGTTAAGGGTATGAGCAATCAGATATTAATATTTGATATAAATTATTATTAGTATTAATTAATATAATAAAATTATAAATAGTAGTATTAAGTAATACTATTTTGTTTTTTAGTTTTAAAAACTTAATAGTTGACTTCAGTTTAATTATAAATTCACTTTGAATTCAAGTAAACGAAATAAGAAATTCGATAGATGGCAGGCATTTGTAATATATGTTTTCACCTTAAATTGCAGTTCAATAGGATATGATTATTTTCCTCAATAAAATTAATAATAATTAGTATCGAATGAAGATGTAGAAGATTCAATTTTCTTTACATATTTCAACTCAACATTATGAATCAGACTTTTTGGGGATTATCTTTTCTAATTATTGAGTTAATATATAGTATATAATCTAATTCATCCACACATAAACTGCTTCGTTCCTATAAGTTTCGTGCATTTCGAACATCTGTGTTTAGCATCCTTACATCCATCTAGAACACATGGCAAGAAGGCTAGGACTGCTGTTATTATGCCTACTATCAAAATGAACATCATTAGATAACTACACCTACCCATCTCGAATTAAATATAGGTTTCAACAACTTCATTACATTTTGTACACAGTAATTTCTCTTTATTTCTTGATTATGGCACCTTTGGACAATCGACATCCAGTTCAATCACTTTATTTTGAATAGATAGTTCTACTTAGTTTGATTATATTATTTAATAGGTTCCTTAAGATTGACCACTTCTAGTTGGTTAATTTTATTGATCAGAATCAATCATTAGATTGGAAATTATTTATTTAAATATAAAATTATGGTATCAATCCAGATAATCTACAACTCATAATATTAGCAATACATATTTATCATGATATTTTATTATTTATAATAACATTAAGGCGAATGAGGAATAATACATAGAATAAACTTGAATAATGATTTCTAATTCCTCACCCGCTTCCTTAAAGATATTTGAATGTGTATCTATAAAATAACCTTTATTATTTGCTAAACATCTAACTATCTCCCACAGCCAGAATAATCATTGCTTTCTTTTAAAACTTTATTTGATGAGCAGCAAGAACCCATTAATAAACTAATAAATAAAATCATCTTAGGAAAAATTAGTTGAATAATAATGAAGTTTCAAAATATACAAAGGAAAGTTTAAAATTAGATTGTAAATTAAATAAAGTAAAATTAACTTATGTGCAAAAAATTACTTTTAATTAGCAGTAAACAATCTGAGAATCTATTATTATATTTTAGTGCTACACTTCCTCAAATCAATTTTAGAATAATTATTTAATAGAGGTTTGTTCAAATAATTAGATTATCAATAATTTATAGTTTACATACATAGATTTAGATTAATTAGCAAATGAAATCCAATGTATTATTCTACTACTAGTAACTTAGGATGGAAATAATATAATGGTATAGAAAATTTAAAATATGGTCTATCCAAATAAAACTTAATTATAAAATAATAAACAAAAGTGACATAAAAAAAAGGTCTAATCCGATCCCATAAAATTTGGAAGTTTGTAAATTTTAATAAATGGATAGTATTATTCCTCAAAACTATTTTTGAATACCTTGTAATTTTATTCCAGAAGTAACCTGATTTAATTGATATGTTAGAAATTCTGATGACTATCCTATTTAGAATTGTTCTTTTTGAAAAATTAATCTAATATAAACATCTTCTCCTTTAATTAATAAAATGTCAACTTCGAATCCTAAGGTTAATTTTAATTTACAATTATTAATCCAAGCAATATATCATTATTCTAAATTATTGACTTGCAATCATTATTTGGGGTTAAGTATTTTATTAGAAAAAATATTTATTGAATTAATGATATGATCTCTTGAAAGCTAATCAGTTTTTCCTTTACATTAATAACAAACATATAGCAAAGATGAATTTTTGTATAATATCCAATGATTTATTAAATAGATTGTATTTAAAATTTATTTATTAACTATTCAAATTCATAACATTAAATAAAATGAAAAGTGACATCATAGTAATTTTCGCTTGGATGATCATTCCTCAGTACTTACTAATTTATCTTAGGTTTGCTTATTGTGAATGTAATTACTTAATTTCTGCACAAAACAGAAACAGTCTAGTGGAACCCATGTAAGACATTGAAATTGAATTAGATGAACAAGTAGTTTTAGGCAATTAAAATATTGGGTATGGCATATGGATGAAGTATCAACCTTTTCGAGCCATATTAGGTATTAGTATTAATGATTTTACAAAGCAACAGATTATTCATCATAAAATAATGACAACTAGAAATATTTTTTTGTTTATTCACTATAAGACTCTGAATCAAAAAGTTCTATTTTAATTTTTTATATTGAGATGTCGACTTCAACTTCAACAATAAAGCACTAGATTGAATATTCATTCTAAACCTTAAAATCAAAAATTTCTGTCAACTTTAATTTTGCAAATTATGAAGGAAAATGGATATTATTTTACTTTTATTTTAATTATTAGTCAAAATCAACAACAATAACTTTTCTCATATTAGAGTAGAACATAGATCCTAAAGTTCTGACAGTTAACGATGTACCAGCTTTACCAAATATTGTAAAACACACTATTGGAGGAAATTTAATTTTAGATTAAGAGTAGGGATCTTTGGTTTTGTCATAGTTTTTAGGAAAGATATCACTATTATTTAGCGAAAGGGAAACGAATGTGTTAGAGGATAGTAATAGCTTAAATCAGTTTCTATAATATTGTAAAATCGAAACTTAATGTAAAGAATACTCATACCAATTAACTTATTAAGATTAAGAGTATAGAGGATTTAGTTTTACAACAGAAATAACATCTATTTTAGAATTTCCAATATATAGTATTTAAGGATGGGTCAAAATAAAATAATTGCAAATGAAACATCGCGAAATGGTTATTTTTAGAATTACTACTAATAAAGAATATAATGATGATTTTATAATTGGAGATAAGGAATTATACTTAAAATATTAATAAGACTAATAGCCTATCCTTAATGGATTTGAAATTACAACCTATTCCTATGCATTCCCAACAAAAAGTGTTTATTAAAGCTCTAATAAAGATATCATAAAAGTTCTTGGATCAGAATATCAATAGTTATTAATAAATTGGCATTATATATAATACGAAATTGGAACTATTAATAATGAAAGATCAGCATAATTTTAAATATACTTCCCTTCTTAATAATAAGTTCAAAAATTTGTTTGGGAATAACCAATACTTCATTTTAGTGGAGTAACATTACGTTGTTATTTAGGAGGTGATAAATATACTTAAGATTATATGAATGGTTATTTTAGTGATCTGATATTAAAAACATATTGTACACCTCCACTCATTAGTATCACGCCAAAATGTCATTATTCTTGTCAAACTTGCAATGGCCCTAATTATAATAATTGTTTAACTTGTCCGCCTTAAAGCAACCGTATTTTACAATCTGAAAAAAATACATGCCCATGCAATATTCATTTTGTCGATATCAAGGATCAATCGATCTGTAAATAAGTAAATTCCATTTATCCAAATTTAAAACTTTTAGAAAAGAAAAGATATTGTAATCAGAATGGTTATCTATTTTGCGATCTCAATTCTAAAGTATGTGCTTAGGGATATTTTTTGTATCACTAAACTTGCCTAGAATGGTATTAAAATAATTTATCTTAGCCCTGGCTACTCTATGGTTAATTCAAGAAATTATATTAAATGTTCAAATTGTATTTCTAATCCTACTGATTTTTCATCTACGTTAAAATGTACTGAAGATAGAATTTAACAAGAATATACATGTTCCACAAAATAAAGGTTCTTAAATGAAATAGAAAATTATATAGTTATTATTAATAGCTAAAATAAAATGGAGCTGAAATTGAATGCCAATTTAGATTATTGCTATTATGGCTATTTTAAAAATATCGAAAATGAGTGCCTTCCTTGCTAAGAAGGATGCTTCTATTGCGAAAATTATGAGTATTGTATTGATTGTAATATTGGTTATTTTCTGAATTAAGAATTTCAATGCAAAGTATGTCAAGGCTGTAAAGAATGCTAACTGTAATAAAATTCTGTGATTTGTAATTCATGTCATTTAGGAGCATATTTAAATTCTGATGGTATTTGTGCTCCTTGTGGAGAGCATTGCGGAAGTTGTGATAATAACCAAAGATGTCATTATTGTAATAACCCAGAAATGCATTTTTTAGCAGTAGATGGTTACAATTGCTTACAATGCTAAATTACAAATTGCATCTATTGCTATCACTATTATATTAAGGAAAATAAAATTTATTCTACTTTAGATATCAACTTTGAATATGATTAGAAATATTATTCTACTTTGAAAATAGGATGCGCTCTTTGCAAAAGAAATTATTATTTTAATTAAATTACCTCGACATGTGAAATTATAAGCTTTACAAATGAAGAGATTAATGAAAATGAAATGTGCATTTTTGGTTTAATCACTGATCAGGAAACTAATTATTGTTTAATCAGTTAGAATAATTATGGATCTACTTAAAATAAAGATTGCTATAATCTTTATAATTGTGTTGAATGCATATAAAATTATTCACAAGAAAATTCATTTTGTATAGTCTGCGAAGATGGGTACTACTCATCAATTTTAAGAGGAGAATGTGAAATGTGTGATTATTCTTGCAGAACTTGCATTTAATAAAACAAATTATTTAAAGATTATTGGAAGTGGAATATCAAAGCTTATTATAAATATGTATTTAACTCTGACAATTAGCATCCTTTTGAGGAACATGCAATATTATAATCTGAAGATGATTTTGAATTAATCTGCACATCTTGTCCATACGATTATATTTTGTATGAACATTAATGTATTTATGATTGCGATTATGATTGCACAGATTGTCAAATTATAGATGGGGTCGCTACATGTATGCAATGCAATAACAATTAGGAAGAAATTAAAATAAGCAAATATGTATAAGAATGTAAAGAATATTTAAATTGCTATTACTAAGCAGTATTGACTTAGAATATCTATTGTTCTAAATAGGATTTCGAAACTCAAATAAGAAATAAGAATCAGAATGAATAATAAGAATTTAAGAAAAGCAACATTTACATAGAAGATCTATTTTCTCTCGAATATTTGGAGTTATTTTCAATAGATATTATTCGATATTTAGATGATAGCTAAATAAGGGAAGTTGAATTTGAGTTTACTTTGATTTAAGGTAGTGAGCCTAAATGCATAATTAGATAATATTAAACTTTATAATCAAGAATATTTGATGTTTATAAGTAAATTGTTGCAATTAGTCTAAAAATAATTGGAAGCACTAATCAAACTACTCTGCAAATGACATCACTTAATATAATAGGATTTACATCAATCATATTTGAAATGATTTAATTTGATTCTTCGATTATGTTTGATTAAATTAATGCAAATTAAGTTTTAGTGAGAAATTGTGTCATATCTTCTATCAAATAATTTGCAACTAATCCATAAATTTTAAATCTTAATTTAACTAATTTAGAAATTAGAAATTTAAATATAATAAATTCAACAATTTTTGATTTTGTTACTACAAGTTGTTAAATCTACTTAAATAGAATTTAAATTACATATGCTAATTTTCAAAATTCCAGTTTATTTTACTTGTACCCAAAAGTAAATAACATCAAAAGCTCTTTAATAGTAAATGAAGTTTCTGTTTACAAATCTTAATTTTATAATTCTTTTCTATTTAAGACAATTGTAGAATCAAATCAAGAATATGGAAGTATTTTGGTTGATAATATTTCGCTTAATAGTGTTAGTGTTGCTAACGAATCATCTATTTTCTAAGTCATTGGAGCAACTCTCTTTTAAACCTAGAATATAATAATTATTGATAGCTAATTTATCTAGTAATCTTACTTCTATTAGTCTAATATCATTCAGATCTAAAATATTAAAATAATTGATATCTAATTAATAGATAGTACATTATTTAGTAATAATATCCAAAATGAAATTTCTGATTTATCCAGATCTGAAGAAGAGAATGTATTTGTTATTTAGTGTAAAATAGAAAACGTATAATATAATCGAGCATAATCATTTTTCTAAATTATTAGGTTAAGAGAACAATTAAATTTAAATGCAAAAATAGAGTTCTTCTACTTAAAGAATTGCACATATACAAATAACAATTTGCCGAATCAATTATTTTATAATCAATCAAGCATTTATATCGAATGCTAGCACTGCACGTTTAATAACTTTTAGATTTTAAGAGGGTATGGATTACCTGAAATGTCAGTTATGCATTCTAAAGTTTTGTAAATTAATACATTCTATTTAATGTAAATGGAGTAGTATTATTTCAAAACTTTGCATCCTTCCTTAGATTGTGCAAATAATTATGCAAAATATTAATTGTCTTATTACTTATATTTTGGATTTTTTGAAAATGTAACAATTACCAATTTACACTTGAATTCCAGTATAACATATGATTATCCATTTATTATATTTAGAGGATTTGATTTGATGGAGAAAACATAAAATTAATAAGTAATTATTAAGGATTCAATCTTTGATTCAAATATGCTGATAATTAAAAGAGCAAACACAGCAACATCGCTTATATTTATTTAATCAGAATAAAACTCCTCTTTAATTTTTCACAACGTTTCATTCTAAAAAAATCACCTAAATTCTTATTTCTAAGATACATCTAAATTATCAGCATCAACATTGTTTCTTTATTTGTAATAAGGAGAAATTCAAATAGGCAATTCAGTCTTTATATCTAATCTTGTTACTAACTCTACTGATTCGATTATGTAAATTAAAGCTTCTTCTATTAGTATTGCGAACTCATCTTTTTATAATAATAATATTCTTTCTTTTTCTTAATTGAGCAAAAATTTACTATTATTTAATTAAGTAAAAGAATAAGCTATTAAAGCGGCATTTCCTATTAATTCAAAAAGTGGGAATGGAATTTTAATTGCATCCAACATCAATATTAATAAAGTAATTGTCTTAAACTCTAAATCTTATTAAGGTGGAGGATTTACTTTTATTACATAGGGTACAAGCACTATAAATATAGAAGATTCATAATTTTCAAATTCGTAAGCATCCTTATCAAGTTCTTCCTATTCAGTAGGTGGCTGCATTTATATTGATGCATATCTAGCAACATTGAGATTAATAGTAACTAATACTAGATTTGAACAGTGTTATAGTAGAAGAGAAGGAGGAGGGCTTTATATTATACCATCATCTTAGTATAACTTTATTTCAATGAAGAACTTATAAGTTTCTAATTGCTTTTCGATATAAAATACATTTCTATCCTATACGATATTTAATTTGGAGAATTTTAAATTCGATATTAATTTAACTGAAATAGACTTTACTGCAACTAAAATTGGATTTGAGGAATACTTAAAGCAGTTAGAATTCCCAACAGAATTGGAGATTGATTCACTTCGAAGCAACAATCCTATAATTATGATAAAATATGGGAACATTAATATTGTGAATTGCAACTTTTATTCAATACACATATAAAGCCTAATAAAAATCGAGTAAGCCACCAACGCTGTTTTGGAGAATATTCGTGTAATAAATTCTTCTTTTTTTGATGCATCCATGATAAAAATTAGCTTAAAAAATTGTAAATATGCATTCATAATATCTAGCTCTTAGCGGAGAAATCTCACTTAGGAATTTAACTTTATTAAACATAAGTGAATTTGAAAACTATCAAAATTATTCAGAGAATTCTTGCTCTATGTAAACTTTGGACTTTCCTGAATCATTAATTTGCAAACCTAATGCAAAATTGAGTTTGTCTATAAATTTAAATGAATCAGATACTTCTTAGAACAAATTGTAATATCAATGCAATTTGAAGAAGATTTATGAAAGAGAAAATAATAATTTTAGCTTAATTCAGATTGAAGATATAAATGAGAATCAAAAAATAAAGGCTTAATTTTTTAACTTACATTCAATCAAATGCATAAGGTGTTTAAATGGACTAATCAGTATTCTAAATATTAATTAAATTAAATAAAACAACATTCTTTTTTAAAATATTAAGATTATAAACAGTATTTGTGGATATACAGGTTGTTTGTCGATTATGAGTTATTGGAATGAAAATTTTTTGAAACCAGAAGTGTTACCTATTAATTCAAATGGCAGATAATTATAATAGCATGATTATACAAAGTTAGCATTATAGATCAATCATCAAGTTAAAATCATTGATAGTTTATTTTTAAACAATAGTGCTATTTACGGTGGTTCTCTTTTCGTAATTGAAGCCTAAGTTATGATTCAGAATTGTAGATTTTAAAACAATTCTGCTATTGTTGGAGGTGCTATTTACTACTCTTCTAAAAGCGCTACTTTGTGTATATTTGATAGTTTTATTATTGAAAATAAAGCTGAAGTAGTTGGAGGACTATTTCTTAACTAATAATCCATCCAATAGACAAAGTAGTTGGATGTGATTATATTCAACAATACTTCAACAAAGTTTGGTGAAGATGTTTTTGAAAGTCCCCGCTCATTAACCATTTCAACAGACGCTGGGAAAACACTCTTATAAAAAAAATTAATACTGGCTAATTCAACAAAAGTAATAGAAAAAATCGAAATTCATCCTTATAGAATTTTAGGATATACTTAAAAGGCAAATTTTCTAACATATCCATCAGGAATTTCTATTTCATCCTATTAATACTTTGACTTAGAGAATTCTGTATTAATTCCATATAACTTGACCTTTCGTATTATTCCATTGAATATATATCAATAGCAAATGAAAAAATTAACTGACTCTTTCTGTTCTATTTCACATTAAGTACTAGATCTCACTAACAACACTATTATAACAACGTTTCCAGCTACATTATCCTAATAAAAAGTAGAATTCAACTAAACATCTGAAGATTTTAATTTAGATAATCTAATTATAAATTTTCATCCTTTAATCAATGAAAAAGTTGTTTTAAGATTAAAAATCAATTGTAATATGATTAAAATTCCCTAATTCGATGCATAACCACCATATTAAATAAACAGTTTTATCACGGATTACGACTTAATTGTAGACATAAAAACATTTAAATGTCAATTAGGAGAATACTTGAATACAACTTCTGGTAGTTGTTCTTATTGTGATCCATAGCTTTAATAATATTCTGTATAAATCAATGCTTAAAAATGTAATTATAAAGATGACTAAAAGATGAAATCTATTAAAAGCTCTATGATTGAACTAAAATAAGAATATTGGAGAGCATATTACTACAGTGATCAAATCGAGTAGTGTTTTCATGAAGGAAAAAACTGCAGAGGTGGATGGCAATCTGGTGATTAATCTTGTTCTTAAGGTCACATTGGAGCATTATGTGAGTAATGTGATTTATATAACATAAGAGGGGATGGATCATATTCAGTAAGCTCTGCTTATCAATGTGGAAATTGTGATCAAATAGTTGGTAATATGTTAACTATTAGTCTAATTAGCATTTGGACCCTTATTTCTATTCTAATTTCTGTATTGGGTAATATCAGAAACATTGAAGAATTGATTCTAGGGATAAGATTAAAGTCTTTTAAAATTAATTATTTGAATACTAAAGTTTCATCAACAATTTTAATAAAAGTTTTTACAAACTATTTTTAAATAATATCTACTATTGCAACTTTTTAGCTTTAAGTTCCTAATGCTCTGACATCAGTGATTAAAAACATTGGCAATCCAGTTGATTCTATGGCTTATTCATTTGATTGTTTTTTAATTAATCTATCTGATATTTTAATAATATATTTTAGAATTATCTGGAGTTTAGTAACTGCAGCATCATTTTTAGGAATTTTTTTCATTTTAGGATGCTTAGCCATATTGATCAAATTTGTAAGATATAGATTTTCATTTATTTCAACTCCTCTTTTATACATTTTTTTATACATGCAACCAAATTTAGTTGGAGGATTAATTTCTTTGCTCTCTTATAGAAGAATTTGTAATGATCTTTGGATATAAGGAAATGTTGCTTATAGATATGATACAAAAAATCATCTTTTCTGGGTTCTTATATTTTGCTTACCTTTGATAATTATATTTGCTTTATTTTTTCCTGTGTATTTTTTTTACAAACTCAAAATTAATAAAACTTATTTAGATAAATCTCACATCAGATAAATTTGGGGATATCTTTATAATGAGTACAAACAAAAGGCATATTTTTGGGAAATTGTTAAAATTTTGTAAAAAGAATTAATCATTGTGGTATTAGCATACTATGAAGATCATATACCTATTAAAGCTTCATTAGTTTTTTTAAGCTTGTTAGGCTACATTTTTTTGGCTCACTCTCTTTAACCCTATTATACAGGAAATATGAATTAATTAGATAGAGAAGCAATTATTATCTGTGCTGTCTCTATTATTTTAGCTAGTCAAATATTTTTAGCTCAAGAATCAAATTTAGTTGAAATAATTTGGCCTTGTTATTTCATTATAGGTTTGATAAATACATTTTTTATCTTTAAAATTTTTGTTTAAATATTATTTGCTTATTTTAATAAGCTTAACGATTAGATTGACAGGCTTGTAGATCTTATTATAAAAAAATTTCCAAATTTGATAAAAAAAAATTTCAACTAAAATTTATTTAAAAGTAAAAAATAACAAAAAGCTAGAATCAAAGAAAGATTTGCAAAAATTAAAGATTATTTAATTCCATAGGCTAGGCTTATAATTCAATGTAGAAGGTATTTATGGTTATAAATTCTTATTAGAACCAATAGATTTGATTTACCAATTCGTAATAGGATTGACTCATCTCATACCTAAAACTAATATTCAACAAACTTAAAATTAAGTCCAGCGAAAAATACATAAAATTAATAATCTTATTTGTTAGATTAATTAGATGACTAAAAGAACTCTTTCTTTTAATTAATCTCATAAATACAGGGTTCACCTGATATTTTCAGATCCACTCCAAAAGAAAGTAGCAAAATAATCACCTTAACAAAAAATTGAGTTTTTTATTCTTATAAGGTATTAATCAAAATATCATAAAGAGGTTGTATTATTTAATATATTATTATCGACCTTCTTTCTTAGGTTTTTTTGAATAATCTATAAATTTAATTTGAACTCACCATCATTAACCTTTTAATAGGCATTTCAAAAATTATATTATTGTGTGAACACTTCAAATAAATATATTTGTATATATATGGAAATTAAATCAATATTTTTTTTCTCAATTTATTATTAAAAATCGTAATCCTCAAAATAATGATTATAAAAATTAGGAAAGTTATCATACTTGATCTGTAATATTTATTCATAAAGAAGCTATCATTGTAATTCTAAGCTGTTACATTTTAATTCATTTGTTACATATTCATAAAAATAAAATTTTTATATCCTTATAAATTATTACTTCTGAGTATTTGATTTTGCTAGGTTTCTTTTTGAATTGGGCAGATGTTAATTCGGTTGGTTTTACAAAATTCATAACATTCAAATAATTCAAGAAATGAGACACCCTTATAAACTGCTAATAATGATATTATTTGAAATGATTCAGCAAAAATGAAGTACTCAAATAATTTAGTGATAATCAAAGGATTATTTTATTTACCATAAAGATTCAAAGTAGATTTATCATTGCTTGATGATCCAAAATATTTTTGTAACTTTTTTGGCATCGAAAATGAGAATATACAAAAAATAAGTATTAAATGGAAAAATATCGTATTTGTTGGAATTTTACTATACAAATGGTTTCAATTGAATTTATTTTATTCCATAATATTGGTTTCCAAAAATATTTTACCCTTTTAGACAGTTGGCTTAGGATAATTAATTTAAAGAAAGTTTTAGAACAAAAATGTAGAATTTTAAGGAAAATTCAAAGACAATAATATTGTTAATAATTGTAATGCTTACTCCTAATTTATAAACAATTAATTAATTTATAATATTGGTATGGAATTACCAAAATGTTATAGTCGATCTAAAATAATTTATAGAAAGTAAGGCTTAAAGATGAATTATGGTAAAAGAATCCTAAACGAAATGTTTATCAAATTTACAAAAAATCTAATATGTATATGTTTCTTTTGAATTTTTATGATTAGCATAACAGCGCAAATACATAATTATAGTATTGAAAAATAACTGAAGGATTTAATCTTTTTTAGAGATAGATGAATCCGATTCTACAACTGCCAACTTGATCTTACAATTCAGCTCTCAACTCCTCGTCGCAAAGTGTTTAAGCATTTTTGTGTTATGATTGAATTAACTCTGCTCTTCAAATTTCCTGTAAATTGAATCCATCTATTATAATGGTCTAGAGAAATTCTCCTAATTAAGAACGCCAAAAAATGATGAATTTATCAAACTATCGTCCTCTGAATATTTAATGATTTCTTAATTATATTTTTTGTACTCAACTACCTACGTAATGGATAGAGTGTTATTATGGAATTGACTTTTGGTTGTTCCCCTATAAGCAGGCGATTAATCAATGTAAAAATTGCGATTATCAAATGGTTGTATCATGCTATCATTAAGCCTGGATGAAATGTCTGTTTCTGATGAAAATATTTTTTCAAATTCGCAAGGCAATTCTGGTCCTATTGTAGGTTGAGGAATCTTGGGTACGTATTCAGATCTATGATAACTCATTGACATAGAGTGATCTACAGGCTGAAAAACTGGGTTAACAAATTATTTCATTAATATTAATAATTAATACAATCTATGGCAATCAAAGCAAGTCCCTTTACGTATCTGGGACATCTTACAATTTGCAATATCATTTTATGGATTCATCCCCAAAAGTGAATCTAAAATCAGGTGTCATCAATTTTGAATTAGAGAACACCCAATCGCAATAGATTAGAGTTTTATATCTTACAATTAGAGTTGAGGAAGTATGTATCAAGTAAATTCGATAATAAAGTATGAATTAATCAAAGGGTGAAGAAATGAAAAATAAAATTAGAATTTTTTTTGTATTTTAATGTAGATTTTACAATCTGGATAGAAAGAAATAAACTAATGAATTAATTTTTTGCGTATTATAAAAACATAAATAAATTAATGAACTAGAATCGATCCTTTAACGATCCCTACCCCTAAGAAAATGAAGAGAGTTAGTTCAGTCGTCCTGAAGATTAAGGTCTGTAAAATTAAGAAACAACTAATGAGAATCCCGATTAGGAAAACAACATTACCAATAATGAATAAAAATAAGTATCAACCTAAGAAGCGGAATCGACGTAAACGAAAGATGAAGATGTTGGTAAAGATTAAAATAATGAGTTTAGTTCAAATAACCTAACTTATGAACAGAAAAGCAATTCAATTAAGACAAGATATGAAAACTTGTAACAAGAATATGAAGAAATAGAAATTCACAATTTTCTTCAAATTGCTTTGGTAAATATTAAAAAAAAAGGAGAAGGAAATCCTAATAAGATATATAAGCTAGGAAAAGAAAATAGGCTTAATAACCATAGATACTCATCAAAAAGTAAGCCTAATGTAGGAGGATATTGGAAGTAATTAAGTAACAAAATTATATAGAATTATCATTCAATCTAATTAAAGTTAACGAGATGTTAAAGGAATTACAAATTTAATACTAATTTTCAAGAATCTTTTAATATGATGAATAGATGAAAAAATAAATATAAAGTATAACTTAAGAATTGAAAAACAAATTGGAGAATTCAAATATTGCAAAGGAAAGTATTGAAGAAGTAATGACAAATGTGGAGGAATTAATCAAGCTGAGTGATGAAATTCTAGTAAGAAAAGATAAAAATGAACAAAAAAACATTTTCAGCTTTAGAAAAAAAGATTTCAACAAGCTTTGGGGTTAAATGGAATCTCAATTTTTAGAATTAAAATCAGAATTAAATGATGTGAATAAGTGTCATGGACTTTTTGAAAAAATACTTGACAGTTCTTAAAGTAATCAGGAGGAAAGTAATTACAAAAAAAGGAAAAGAGTGATTAAAAAAATCAAAAAATAAACTCTAAAATTAATTAATGAAAAAGAGGATGCTAGTATCAAAAATCAAGATAGATTGTAAATTACGTAAGGATAATTTAATAAACAAAAATAAAGTTAAATTAAATGTAATGGAGAATAAAAGGAAAATAAATAAGATAACTAAGTAAGTAAATGCTTGAAAAGTGAAGAAAATTTCTTCTCCGAATCAAGTTAATAACAATTAATCGGAGAGGAGTAATTAGATGACTATTAGGATACTCCTTCTAATATATTCCAAATTAAAAAAAAGACTAATACATTAGAAGATTAATAGAACGTTTCTTTATGTAAAATAGTTAACATAACTTTAGCTGAATTAGACCGAGAACTATATTTTGAAAATGGATAACAATTCATTTAACATGGGCAAATGGAAATAGAATATGAAGGAAAAAATAATTTTGAAAAAGAAAAGAAAGGAAAGGAAAGAAATGATAGGAAAGAAAGGAAAGTAAAGTAAAGAAAAATAAAGAAATAAAAGAAAAGAAATTAAAAATCAAATCCATATTAGAACTATAAAATTAATTAGAGAAATTCCAGCAAAAAAGATTGCAAAATGAAGAATGAGAAATGAAATTAAAATAAAAGTACAAGAAAATATACCACAAAATTTATATATATATATTTCATAAATGATCAATTCATTATTTAAATAAATATATCTAATGACAATGACATTGAAGTTTAGATTACTAACACTATATTTACATCTTAGAAGGGATGAACTTGGAAATAGCTTGGTTCTTTGAGTAATTTTTGATTTATGCAATACAAGCTATTCATGAGTGAGTCATATGATGAAATGAACATGGAGAATTCATTAGATACATTATCGGTTTTGGCCATATAAGCAATCAATAAAGAATTGTTTGGAGTCTTTTTAATTTGACAAGGTATTTTAATGTCTTGTAAATCTTTGTTTTAATGAGTTCCCAATAGAATATCTTGGCTTTAAGCAGTTCCATCAGAGGAAAACTTCTTCAATTTAACGTCGGTTGCAGCTGAAGAGGCATCCATCCAAGTAACAAAGAATTCATAATCAATTGAAATTATGTCTGCATAAAAGTTTTAGATGATGGATTGTTGACTTAACAATCTTCTAGCATTTCCAGTAACTTTCATTGGGTCTCCAACCTTTACATTATCGGCAGAATACAATTAGAAATAGACACCAGCATTATCTCCATTTTAGTACCACATAAGGATGTAGCTGCCATCTGGGAATGTAGCCATAAGGGGTGTTCCCACAGTGGTATTTTTGATTTAATCTAGTATTGATGAGTTTTCTTATTGGCACTTTTTGTCGGATGTTACTACATAACCGAAAGCACAAGTTTAGCATTCAAGAGGAACACTGCATTGACTGCAATTAGCAGGACAATGATCTTTAATGTTTGTAAAGATTATATATTTGGTGTTGTTCTTATGACATTGATTATGATTTGTAATTTTGATTGAATGGTTAGTATAAATTGGTAGTTGTGCTTCTGTTTTCATGTGATGATGAGTAATTATTAGTAGGACTTTTTAACATATTAGAGCGATCTTGGATTGGTTTATTAAATTAATAAAATTGTATGGGTGAAATAAATGCATCATTAGCATGAGGATCTTAAATTAGTGTATTGATAAGATTTAACATCATAATAACTAGAAGAATTCCTTTTATTACCAAAATTTTGAATTGATAAAACAATTTAATTTGTCCATTATTAAATTTCAACATAAATTATAAGTTAGGTTCACTTAATAAAATAACAGATACAAACTGAATCTTTAATTAGTATCAAAATTTATTCTAAAACAATTAATTATACTAAACATTCTTTGCCTCTATGGGAACCTTGACTTCTAGTCTTCTAGATGATGAGACAAACTCTAAAACTGCTTCGCTTTTACTAAAGTATTCTCTCTCTCTAGAACAGAGAGTCGGCATCAAGACCCTGAAATATTTATATTTATTAAACATGTTTGAATTGATTTATTCAGAGTAATAATTTCAATGCTATTTACTCGAATTTAAAAACATATAGAGTTAAATATTAATGTATTTAAAATCTGTTATGAATAATACAAAGTTAAGTAACTATCTGGTAGATGGAACAGGTAGGGACACTTATGTGAGCAATTTCAATGGTGGATTTTGGAAATCAAATTAAATATAAGCTGTCCGTCCAGAAAGTGGTTCTTACCCAAATCGTAGATATCAAGCATCACCTGCTCCTTGTATAGATTCAAAGATTAACAGATATAGAAATGATGGAAGTGGAAGAGACGGATATATTAGGTATGCGATCGACTATTTGAAGCTATGATGAGGGAGGATTTTCAGTTTAATTAGGAAGGAAAAAGAATTTCATTTCGAATTTAAGAGGTTATGATACTAAAATAAGATGTAATACCCGTGACAGTTCTCCTATGTTATAATCATTTTCAAGGACATAATCAATTACAAAAAGACTTTATTACTCAAAATAAGTAGAGGATCCATATTAGTCGATTAGAAAATTAACTAGTTTACACTATAAAAAATGACTATTTATACAATTCTGAGCAATAATTAAATAAAGATGTTTCTATCAATGAAAATAATCAAATTCAGTTCTTGAAGTATCTGCTCCAATTATCCAATACGAGAATGGCTATAAAGGGCCAAAAGTTTAGAGGAAGAAATAGAAGAATAATAAAAGGGTGTGTTTAGGCTGAATGAGCTGATTATTTTAAATTAGTGATTAGAACGATACCTAAGAAATGGTAAATAGAAAGAATTCGAAAGAGTATAAATAAAATTTTTAGAAACTTTGCAAGCTTAGATAAAAATTGAATGAAAAATGCAGCAAATTAGAATGAGGGATATGTGGAAAAATAAAGTTCAAAATAACCATTAATATATGTAGAGATAATATAAAAAGGTGCAGAAACGAATGAGATAACTATTCAAAATTGATCAATAAAAAGTTTCTATAAGAAGATGAGCAGCCAAGAAGAGAATAGAAATTAAAGATTTATTTTTAGAATAGATAATACACAGAACAAAAGAAGAGCTTAAAATGACAATTAACTAATTAAAAATACATATATATCTCTCTACAGGAAGCTAGGGAAATAAGGGCAGTAAAAGCTGAGGGTCTGAGTACCTACTATGAACAGAGATACTTAAAACCTATATACAAAAATATCATGGAAGAATTCAACTGACAACTGTTGCTCTTTTCTCATCTGTTCAAATACTTAACACCTAGGCTATTTGCACTTCATCCCCTTAGCCTACATTTGATCTTCTACATATAATTTATATTCTAAGATTGCGACCCCTTTTGTTATATTCTAGATGCTTTGCAGGTGGATAAATACATTATCATAAATTATATTTATCATAACAAATTGTAAAATTTGAATTGCTTGATGTTTAATAATTCATTTGTGTAGAATTGTCTACTATTTTGAATTCCATTAATAACTATTTTCTTTACACATGCTACATGTAATAATAATGTTCCTAGATGTGTCAAATAGAGCATGTTTGAGCTAGCAACTATATTTGATTTAGTTATATGTCTGGCAGTTAAACATATTTTTGTTTCAAAACTTTTAAGTTGATTTGAAAGGCAAGCATCCTTGATTAATTTATTTTATCTTTATTGGAAGAAATTAACAGAATAATAATAGTAATGAATTTATAGATTTTCCTTTAAAACAATGTCAACAACTGGCGAAGTGTGGTAGGAGCTTCACTGAGCTGAGTCAATTTTAACTACATTACATAATTCTGGCTAACAACTTTATATTTTGTTTGTCATGGCAATTACAATGATTGTTGGTCATATAACTCTATGGCAAAATATAATCTTTAACCATGAAATAACACCTGTAAATAATCCTGAAACGAGTTATAAACTAGTGTTAACAGATATTACACAATATTGTTACTTGAAAATTATTTTTTTGAATGAGATTTTGCAGCTACTCTAATATACAGTATAACAATCAAATCCTTCTGCTATTTTTGCTTGACAAATCTGTTGATGTGTAGAGAATTCCTCAGTTGTTTATCCATTTGGAGTTTATTTACATCCTAGATTTGTTTAAAATCCCACAAATAACTTTTTAACTTTAGCCACTCATCTCTTGTTGCGCCATAATTTTCAGATAGCTTATGACACATTATGATTGGCTAAATGTTCTTTTTGTGTGCTATGGAGTACTTTAACCGTTAACATGATGTAATATAATGTTTCATTAAAACAACCACTCATCTTACAAGTTGCTAATACTATTATGTTGCTTATTCATCTAATTCTCATTCTATTGCTTGGTTTAATTGCAAGAGATTAAGTGAATTTGACATAAGTGGTTTTCTAGCAAGTAAGATTTTGATCTCTAGATGGTCTATTACTTTTATTCATGATGTTCATCTCTCTCCCTACTCTTGTCTTACATTATTATAACACCCAAACTCACATTATTATAAGCATATGATCATCAACATCAACACTGATTTCATTAATTTTCATGTCAATGCCTGCTTGTTCTAGCTCTCTGTATCAGTATTTTTCAAATAACTTGAAAAGCGAATGGCAGGATTCTTATAGTTGTTTAGTCGAGTATTCATTATAAAAATATTTTAAATAATTACTTGCCTATCTTTTAATTAATAAATATTATTTAAAGATATCAATAATCATCAATGACATTGCAGCCATTTTGATCTAAATTTTAGAATCTCAATCAAAACTCAATCAAAATGGATCAATCTTCCAATTAAATGAAATTTCTATTTTTAGAGAAAATATAATTTTAACACACTTATGGATAAAATTTATAAAAATTAATTAAAGAACTTAAATGATGGATAGGCCATTCTAATTGATTTAATTAATTGGATAAATCTAATTTAACAAATATTCTACTTAATATATTATCATACTTCTTAATCTTTATTTGTATATTTTCTCTATTAAATCACATTAATTGCATAATACTTATTCAAAAATTATTTATTATTTTTCAATTTTTGCATAAACTAAAAATGTTAAAAATTAAAAATTTTGTTCTTAAATTTTTTTCCTCTTTTGATTGGAATGGATTTTTAGCATTTCTCTTGCAGCAACATCTAACTTTTACAAATTCATACTAATCGAATTCCTAAATCATGATTTATGGTAGCATCTTAGTTGCTTAAGAAATCAGTTATTCTCACATTAAATATATATATTTGAATGAGGGATGATCATTATTTGTTTTACTTTAAAATCTAAGAAATATATCATCTTAAAACTCTGTTTTATATTTAAAATGCAATAAGTTTCCATTTTGCATTTTTTTTTATTTAGATATTTCAAATGCTATAACTTAACTCAATTGTTTTCAATATATTATTTAAGTGGGTTTGGGTTTGTAGTATAACTTTTTTTTAGTATTTGTAATTTTTTCGATAGAAAAAATTCTTTTAGAGAGAGAGAGAGAGTAAGTAATTTAGAGAATTATTTTTTCGTTAAGAAAAAAAATTGTCAAAATTCGT